CTGTTTCGGCGAATAATCAAGACTGGTTTTTCTCTTGCATTGACATTTTTATATTTGTTATTTACCAGAGCACTAAACAATATCCTAGCTGTATCATGGCGACCTTTGGTAATCAAGACTAGACAAGACAATTTCAACGATGTTTTGAACAATGTTCACGCTACCAAAAAAGCAAGTCACCGAGCCTGAACACCCGATCCCCGAAGACAAGTATAGGTTGCTTGGTAAAACAAAACACACTTAAAACCATTGTAAAACTATAAGTTATGACAGCGAGTGTTTGTTGCCTATGATTAGGAATAAATCATCAATGTATATAATGTATGATACAACATAGTAATTATGCTTTACTTCTTGCCTTGTTATCAATAATGCCATTTTTGTGCGTGAGACTAATTATAATGCGTAATGTATATATACTCAAAAACAAAAGTTCCTGTGACACCAATATTTTAGTGTATTTTTCAAACAAGTAAAGCATTGTTTTCAATATTGTAGTACATGTATGGAATCAAGTCACAAAAACGCAACTGCTACAGAAAAGCATGCAAGCCCCATGCATTTCACAACCCAAGAATGGTTATAAACACATGCGCGTTAACGGTATTCCATATGCATTGTTTAAATTCATGCTGACAACAACCACTCAGAAAAAAAAACAAAATTATGCAATTATTCAACATTACAACTGTACGAAATGCCACGCCAGTCCGAAAATGAGCGTCTGCGAGCCATTGGTATGATTGAAGCAGGATCGAGTCAACGTGATGTTGCAATACAATTTAACATCCACAGAAACACCATTTGGTATTTATGGCAACGTTGGCAACAGACGAATGCAGTCAGAGACCATCCTCGGAGTGGCAGGCCACGTGTAACCAATAATCGACAAGACAACTAGATTCGAACAACACACCTACGAAATCGATTCCAGCCAGCAACAGTGACTGCAAGAAGCATCCACGATGAATATCTTCACAGACCGTACGTCGCCGCCTCAGATGTGCAGGGATTGTCGCCAGAAGACCCGCCAGACGTCCCATTTTGACAGGAAACCACCGTCAAGCACGTCCACAGTGGTGAAGACAGCGTCTACGCTGGACGGTCATACTGTGGGGACAAGTTCTTTTCACTGACGAGTCTCGTTTTCACCTCAGCCACAGCGATGGGCGGATTCGAGTGTACCGACGTCGATTTCAACGTTACGTCAATCATTGTGTCATGGAAGAAGATCGGTTATGATATGGGGTTGGATTACAGCAAGACAGAGGACCAGTAAGATAGTGGTAGAGGGAAACCTCAATGGACAGCACTACCGCGACGAGATCATCGGCCCTGTTGTACTACCGTTTGTGCGTCGTCATGGCCCAGGCATTACCTTTCAACATGACAACGCCCGGTCTCATATTGCTCGACTTGTTCAGGAATCTCTTCAACAAAACAACGTGAATGTCATCCCCTGGCCGGGTCGCTCCCCAGATCTCTCACAAATCGAGCACATGTGGGATGAGATGGATCGGCGCCTTCGACGTCAACCACGTGTTCCACAGACACTCGGGATCCAGGAACTTCGAAACATGCTCCAGCAGATATGGACAGATATCCCACAGGACTTTGTGCGACGCCTGGTCTATTCCATGAGACGAAGATGTGTTGCTTGCATCGCAACCAGAGGTGGACACACACGCTATTGATTTGTAAATTGACATTTTGGCATGTTCATGTTTTTCTTTTTATGAAATAACGCATTTTCTGAAGTCAGTATTGCAAAATAAACCATTTGAACACATACAGGAGTCTTTTATCTGTTGCAAACCGATTTTTTTTTTCAGATTTAGTAAAAAACATACCTGCATTAAATCTTATTCAATGTCAGAGTAACTTTTGTTGTTCAGTATATATCTTATTAACAAGTTACTAAGTTGCATTCTGATTGGTCTTTATCGCGACAGTTATGTCAAAATATAGAATGTGAGAAATATCGTGAAATCACGATATAATTTCATCCGATACCAAATGTTTGATTTGAAATGTGTATGTGTACGTGTAGGCATATGGAAACAGTGTACAATTATCAACGCAACTGAAGAATAATTGAAACCAGCGATACGTTTTACGCATTAATTCATTGGATGACTCAGTGCATGATGATTTCTGCCATATCACGTTGATGATAAAATTATTATATATATTCCTGTCTTCATAACAAAACCAAGGATTCGCAAATAACTGAAATGTTATTTGAAGCAATATTTCCCTCTATAGGGTACGAGCAGGGTAAAAGGAAGTGCACAACACCGACATTAATTGTGTTTGCATGAACGTATCAGTGATGATGACAAGAACGCTCGTTTAACCCGGCCCGTAACTATCAGAGGTCTATTGCAATGTGTTTCGTTTTACATGACGTGTACAAGGACCTAAAGAGAAGGGTTTTCATTTCCTGGTTTGAAATGAAGTATTGTATTGCTTGCACCGTGTGATGTGGTTTTTTGGGGTTTTTTTTATCCAATCAACTATGATGACGACGTTACGCTGTTGTTGTTGCAGTTGATTCTGAGCCAGGAAATCACTGAACATTTTGAACCAGCATTTGGAAGAAGTGAATGAGTGAGCTTGGTTTTACGCCGCTTTTAGCAATATTCCAGCAATATCACGGCGGGGGACACCAGAAATGGGCTTCACGCCTTAATTTGGAAGAAGTAAACCTGAAGCAACTATAGGTCATCAGACAAACTTATAGAGAAATTGTATGTCAACCGAGGCATGATTTAAGTCGGAGAAGTGGAATCAACAGATTCTCATGATTCTCCATTACATCGTATTGGTGTATTTTGTTTTTGTATTAACACGGTCTCTCAAGAAGACCCCCAAACACATACATCCAGATTCTCCAAGCTCCTTCATTTTATTTATGAATTATTCTTTTTAACAAAAATATATCTTGAAGTATTGTCATTTCAGAGATTAAATGTATTTATAGTAGGTTGAATGTGTTTCAAGATGTTTTCTTCCCTCTAGGCGGTCATGGTTGTGACGTCCCAGCATGTGAATATCAAAAGGGCGATTGGGTTAAACTGGAAGAATGTAGGGGTACGTAGGAACGCTCTGAGTGCACTTTTATGACACTCACAATTGAATTGAAGTGAAACCGGGCACTGAGTCAAGTGGAAGTGTTTCCCACTGACAGCAGGAGATTTTAAGCCTAAAGAGAGGATTTAGGGGTTGACTATTTTCTGGTATCATTTCGAGTGTTAAAATAAATTCGTTCCAAAAATTAAAGAAAAGAAGATTACACAAGAAAGTAACTTGTCGCTTGAACTGAACTTGAAAACAATCGCTAAGGGCAAAACACGATGTTTGACTTATCTGTGAAGAAAAAAAACTTTATAAGTCTGGAAATAAATATGTATTCTGCTTTGACACAAAACACCGCAACGCTCTCAACCTCAATTCCCACGGTGAATATTTAATGAAAAGGTAGTATTGGTGATCAACTGAAATATTATTGTATTGAAGAAGTCGTCATCGATATTATATTGTCAGGAGGAAGTAGATGTAGTCGCTTGTGCTTGGACGGTGTGACACAGTTTCAGTTGTTGATCACAGCTGTACACCGTACATTCACCGGACTGTTAAAGGCCAAGTAAAGTGAAAAATATAATGGCGATTTTGTTGCGAATATCAATTGTCCCAGATATATTAAGTCAATTCCCGAGGGACAAGTATAATTATGTTCATAATGTTCATAGAAAGTATCTAAATGTCCGAGTGCTGAAATCACAAAACGGAATTCCGACACAAAACTTTGGGGGCATTCTGCATTCAACAAGGACCAATTGCAACCGCTGTCAGAACATGTAAATATGGAATACGCATGGCTGTCATGACCATGTAATGTTTAAATCTTAACCAAGAAACATGTGTATTTCAAACAGGGCTTTGCTGTGTAGGTTTTTTTCAAATTAATGCAGGACCATTAAGATATTAATATTTTTCGTCTTCAAGTTCATTGGTTGGTTGGTTGGTTGTTTAACGCCACACTCAGCAATATTCCAGCTATATGACGGCGGTCTGTAAATAATCGAGTCTGGACCAGACATTCCAGTGATTAATATCATGAGCATCGATCCACGCAATTGGGATCGATGACATGCATCAACCAAGTCAGCGAGCCTGACCACCCGATCCCGTTAGTCGCCTTTTACGACAAGCAGAGTCACCTTTTGCAGAGCATGGGATGCTGAAGACCTATTCTACCCTGAATCTTCACGGGTACCGTCTTAAAGAAAGTGCCTGTGCACATGTACGTATTTTAGATCCTGTAGTTGTGAAAGGAAATAAGGGAGTCTGGACTGAACATAATGCGTAAGAAAAGAAAATTCTATCATGTAATGTGTGGAGGGTGTCAGAATAAGTTTATTATGGTAAGTTCCAAATCGTAGTGAGCTAGTGACCATAAAACCGTAGAAGTAAAACATGATGATTGTTTACCGGGAACTGTTGAATGTTTGATTCAGTTTCATGCAAGTCAAGTGAAATGCAGTAATTATAATTAAAGACAATAAATTGAACATGCATCCATGTTGCCAATTGAACCATTGTTATGTATATATTCCTACTTCAAGCTTTATACGATGGAAAGAAAATAGAGTTTTAATGTAAAGTACTACTCACGAATACTAACGTCCCTTGATATACTATTATATTTGGAAAACGAAAATGGCGTTAGGAATAAAATTTATCTTAAATGGTTGCACATTTTATTCTTTTCTAAGTCTACACACAGCTAAAACGAGAACAAAATCTTATAAATATAACACGTTTTCCCTATTGATCACACCAAACGTTGCTGTTGCTATGGAACAGGAGTGGTTGTTCAATGTATGTCTCACAGGTTCAACACAACATATTTCATTATCAGATCACTCCTCACATTGATAACGGCTGCCTCCACGAGAACACAACTTTTCTCCATACGTGTATGTGACCATCCTGATATGGACCCTGAAACAGAAAGAATTCTCAAGGAAGAGCCACGACGCCCAGAAAAAAGCTCCCTGAAAATGGTCGTCATGGGTTATCAGGGAGTGGGGAAGAAGACGCTAATGGATGGCTTACAGGGGAAGTGGTCGGAAATTAGAAGCAAGAAGACAAGGAAAGGTGAACGTGATGATGATTTAGGAATCGGAGGTAGAGACCTCAATGTTGAAATTATACACACAGCAGTGAAACGACATTTTCCATTCATCCAACGACTGCCTTCTTGTGACGCCTACCTTCTGGTGTATTCCCTTGTCTGTGAGGACTCCTTCAAGTCTGTCACGGCAGTCAGGGAACAGATCTTAAAACAGAAGGGAGACAGCATCCCTATCATATTTGTGGCCAACAAGACTGACATAGCGCAAGATGCGGACAAGACTGTGCGGGTCTACAGGGATCTGTCCATCAGTTGTGAATGGGAGCATGGCCACTATGAGGTATCAGCAAGGGATAGCTCCGACATCAACAGAGTCCTGGAACATACAATGAGGAGAGTCAACAAGAACGACCCCTTGATGAAAGCTGCGAAGGCTGGTGGGACATCCAAACATTGATTAAATGTACAAAATGATTTCAATATTTTAGCAAGAAATATGGGAATATTAGTGTTGTAAAAGCATATTGTGTACAACTGGCACTGGTCAATATACAATTGGACATTCAGGGTTTCGAAAGTAAATTAAATTATTTGTGAACACTGTTTAACTATGTAAATTGTACTTGAAAGGGTAAATGTGATGATATATGTCAGTATATATAAGTGAGTGAGTATGGTTTTACGCCGCTTTTAGCAATATTCAAGCAATATCACGGCGGGGGACACCAGAAATGGGCGTCACACATTGTACCCATGTCGGGAATCGAACCCGGGTCTTCGGCGTGTCGAGCGAACGCTTTAACCACTAGGCTACCCGACCGCCCCGAACAGACAGTGGAAGGATCATAGTATTTATGTGTAAGTATTGTATTCACACTTGTATTGGTTTCACTAAGCCTGGAAATTTCCGATAAATTATGCTTTTGTGGGCACACGCATTTATCTCATAATTGACAAATTAAGCATTTTCACCTGGTAAAAATGATTTATCTTAAACAAACGTAAAGCAAAATTATGTCCTTTTGGCAGGATTTGTCTTTGCCTTCAACGTTTGCTTATGTTTCAATGTGTCAGAATCATACTTGTTGTTCAGTACGCTTCTCATAAGTAAATAAATTACTGTCTTACTATCTCCCTCTTTGTTTCTCATTTACGTGGTAACCCAATGAGTCTCTCATAAGTTCTAAACATCTCTTTGTTGAGTGGTTTATATTGAAACGATGTATTAGGGATACATGAAATAATACGCTTATCGTGATAGGTTATAATAATAAAAATAGATAAACATTTTCATAAGAAGTCGATCTGAATGTTTCGGATGCAGCTTGTTCAAAGTAACAGGTTATTTATATGTGGCTAGGTCATCAATAACAAGGATTAAAAGCCATATTCAGAACACATTGTCGCTTTTGCAGAATCGCGTCCCTCAGCTGCGGTAGGGTCCGCCATGTTGTGGGTTCGAAGTTTAGATTCGCTCTGATTGTTCCCATGTTCACGGCATTCATGTACACAACTTCCGTCTCTGCGGGGTTTCATCTGGGGACCACGGTGGCCCAGTCATCTAAGTCGCAGAACTTAGTTTTGTCCTTTAGGCGTCCATCATCGGGGGATTCGCACTGATTGTTCCCACGTTTGTCAGCACCATGCTCTTGCGGTTGGTTTCCCCAAAGCAGTTACCGCCCTTTATACCTGCTTCACCTCTGGAGTTCCGCTTGTCAAGCTGACACGCTGCGATATAACGTGAAATCCTCTTAAATCGGCGTTAAAACCAACTCAATCGTTCACTCTTATCATGGAAATCGTGTTAACGTTAATCCACTCACTCGGGTTTTCATCACACATTTGGGCGGTCGGGTAGCCTAGTGGTTTAAGCGTTTGCTCGTCACGCCGAAGACCCGGGTTCGATTCCCGACATGGGTAAAATGTGTGAAGCCCATTTCTGGTGTCCCCCGCCGTGATATTGCTGGAATATTGCTAAAAGCGGCGTAAAACCGTACTCACTCACTCAATCACTCACTCATCACACGTTTCACTGATTCGCTGTGATATCACTTAAATGCTCATTTAATACACTCATTCACTGAACCTTATATCGACTATCGGTATCTCTGATCGAGAAATATCGAACTGCTGTTGAGGTAACTTCAAAGTACACCAAAATTGATCGCCTCTGATTAAGTTTCGCTGGGTCATTTAACTTCGAAACAACAAGCACGTCTTTATTAACACCTTCGCGTTTTGCATGATATGAAGTGGCGGAAATATTTCATAATGTTATCTGACTTGGTTTTTTTAACGCAATTATGTCTGTACAAGAACATGTATGTCACCCAAATCCCTTTAACATTACACAACACCGGTAAATCGACTGACAACGAGATGGCGAGATTTTCATCACATGATATCGCTTTTGCTTTTGTTGAATCAAAAACCATTTCTCGTATCTCTAAGTTACTAACAATTCAGTATTAAATTTTGTTTCTTTGTCGTTTCTTTCCACCGCTGTCTGCAATAATCCAGCTGTATCATATCGACCTATAAATAATCGAATGTGTGCCAGACAAACCGGTGGTTGATATTATGAGCAACGTCCCACGTAGTCAGGGTACGATGACACGTAAATAAGTCAACGAGCCTGATAATTTGATCCTAGTGAGTCACCTCTTACGACAACAAATAGAATGTTCTGGACCTGTTACAGTCCCATGCGGGTTGACTGGATACTGATGATGTTGACTTTATAAAAGAAGCAAGGACTTCCATACGTGAGGACATTACACAATAAAATACCACCGTATGATGGACCGGGTATTCAACATCCAGCGACCTGGGCCTTTTTTCTGACAAACCCATTTTTCTGTCACTGCTTCAGAAGACACGCACGCACGCACGCACGCACGCACGCACGCACGCACGCACGCATACGCACGCACGCACACACACAAAATGGAGTCCATATTCTTAATTCAATTACCCCTTCCCGAGCAGCATAGTTTCACAGTGATCACTACCGTGCTGATGGATTTGAAACTTTGTTTAGATTTACTTCATATGAATATTATTGATGTCAGTGACAAGTGGGACAGGAAATAGAAGGTTGTAGTGTGTGACGTACAAGTGGTATCAGTATCGATGTGAAACAAGGACGTGCACCTTACATAACGGTTCATCTACTAAACATTGCAGGCATGAACGCAAAGGGTAAGTTCGCTTTTCTAGTGATCATTTACCTACATCATTGCAAGAGAATGTTTCATCAGATAAAAAGTCTATTCCACTAACATAACTGGCCATATCAAATCTGAAGTAATGCCTAAACAATCTTATTGTCACACGTGGCAATTTGTAACTGAATTCTCCTTATACGGGCAGAACCGATTACCCGTATTAGTAATATGATTACATATTTTATGTTATTGGCTGAAGTTTGTGTCACAGAGTCTAACCAGTTAGGTCAGTTGAGTGATGAACTGTATCATGTTAACCACAGGTGAGGTGAAATGGGGTTTAACGTCGCGTCCAAGATTATTGCACTTATATAGCGACGTGCATGTACGTGTGTGTGTTTGTGTGAATACCTCACTCAGACACAGTACACTGACTCCGAGTCCGGTCCTTGTTTAAGCCCCTTAATGCCGAGAGCAAGACAGGGTAACAACAAGTACCGCTATCCGGGCGGACGCTCTACCACTAGACCACGGAAGCGGTATGTAACCACATGTACTTCCATGAAATAAAAAGTCAAAAAGGTTGTTCCGAGAAATATTTTTAAAACATATGGATCATTAATAAACAGGAAAACGTGCAGCTGTGTAGTTATAAGTAGTTAAATGATTGGACCGCATCCGTGGTCTAGTAGAGCGTCCGCCCGGAGAGCGGAAGGTCCGGGGTTCGATCCCCGGCCGCGTCATACCAAAAGACCTTTAAAAGATGGTACTTGTTGTTACCCTGGCGCTCGGCATTAAGGGGATAAAACAAGGACTGGTCGGCTCGGAGTCAGTATACTGTGTCTGAGTGAGATATGCATGTTAAACTGCGGCAAGGTATCTCAGTGAGCTAGCACTATAAATCGGCATCAGTCCGGGCTAATACAAGCACACACACACACACACACACACACACACACACACACACATGCATGCACGTCGCTATATAAGTGCAATAATCTTGGACGCAACGTTAAACCAAATCTCACCTTCACCTAGTTAAATGATTGATAATTACAGCATTCGTGTAATGAAGCATGAAGTAAAAATTTATTTCTTGTGTAGTTGAAGTAATACGAACTGACGTTCAAAAGTAATTATACCATATTTTTTATGGTCTGGGATTATTCACACAAAAAAGATTCAATCGACATTCACTAACAAATCATAAAGAAAACCATAAGCTCTGACACACATGTATGTAGTTGCTTGAACGGCTGATGCTAAAGGCAAGTACTTCAAAGACATTCAGGAAACGACTGTGTAAGTGAACAGTGAGCATGTACCGGCAGCTGAATCCACTGCATCCCCCATATGGATCCGTGTCTACATCTGTTTAATAACTGCTACTTCGCAGACACGTTTTTTTCATACACGATAGAGTTTATGTGTGACAATAACCTTACAACACTAATATCAACTGGATTTGTATACGAAAATGAAATAAGTCTTTATTTGTTTCGTGGATCAAGCATGGTTTAATGGCTCTAGATTGAAGGCATGAGAGATCATGGTTAGCCCTTTAATATATATTAAGCCTTTTACTTAAAATAGTAATTAATCGTATAATATGCCGTGTTGATATAGGGGGAATAACTCTGTGGCATCATGAGTGCATATCGGTTCAACAAGGTTTTTCAGATGTCAGAATGCCTCGCTGTTGAGGAAATTACGGACTTGTTATGCAATTAACTTACTGGATGTGTATTCTTGATTATTTTTTAAGGATTTACCTTCTCTTTCGCCTTTCGGGGATAACAGCACAAGTATGGAATGTAAGTGTACTGGTATTGATTAGTTTCTGTCATATTAATCCTTAACATTAGAACACAGTGACTCCAAGTGTTAATACATAAACAACTGCCTGTGAAGACACGTTTCATTGATATTTAATAGGCTATAACTGAAACAATTCATTGCCGAATACCGAGTGAGAAATCGATATCCCCGGAAGCGCTCGTTAAATCTCCAACATCATCATCATCATCATCATCATCATCATCATCATCGCCGAATATCGCATACCTTTATAGTTAAACGTGAACATTGCGTTTCAAAGTGTGTCAGTCAATTAAAACTTGTCAATTGATAACTTGAACAATCATTTAAAATCTCGTTATATATAACTTATTATAACGCATAAAGTATAATTTGATTCAACAATAAATATAACCTTCACTTCTTCCTATGTCTGTTTCATTTATTTAGGTGATTACTGCCCATATGTCATATGTGTATCAAGTGGCTTGCTTGTGGTGATATTTGTGATCGAAGTGTTCACGTGCATCTACCGCACACGCCGGTAAGTCCCGTGTTAATCTGTATACTGAGAAAGTACATTAAAGCGGGACAACGCTTCACAGTAGGTCAAAACATTAGTGTTAGTGCCTCGTGTGAAATTAAGATAATGTTTCGTTGTAATTAGGGCAATTATAAAAACAGGTTAAGTGTATTTGAATGACCTGTGGCTACTTATTGACTCGAGTCTTGTCCCTCTTTTATGTGACAATTATTTATTTGAAATCACACACACGCCCGCTACCTCACACACACACACACGCACACACACACACACATACACACACACACACACACACACACACACACACACACACACACACACACACACACACACACACACACACACACACACACACACACACACACACACATACATACATACATACATACATACAAAACATACATACATACATACATAACACACAAACACGCATATACACACAATGCTAACACGCACACAGACATGTATCCGTGCATTCTGTCGTTACTGATGTTATACAATTATAGACAGGTTAATGTTTATACAAAGTCATTCATCTGTGGCAACGAAACCCTTACTCAATTTTTTCTTACCATTTCAGTCACAGGTGGCTGGGCGGAAACAGTCGTCGTGTCAGTGCATACGCGAACTCTGGTCGGTGAGTTGCACTTGTTATTGCTGTGTACAGAAACGTCCCTGTAACAAATTGAAAATGGCTTGTGGAAACATTTACCTTCAGTGATCACTGTATATGTACCGACGATAACACTAGTAAATTCAAAATGTCAACATCAGGAAATAACTGTCCCGATTATCTGCCGAAACAGATTCCATAAAGGCAAAATAGTGATGAATATTTTGAATGGATCACTAAAAATAAGTGATGACGCCGGGTATTCGTTGTGCAAGGCACATTAAGACTCTATTCTGGTCTGTCATCAATCGGATTGTTTATTTTTCCCGTTGAAAAACTGTCCGACTGCCAAAGCTGGCAGTTCTAATCTCTTACTCTGAGATCCACACTTTCAGGTGTGCTTCCGACACTCACCACCCGTACACCTGTACTCAGTGACTTATCATTTCCTTGTGCAATTCCAGGGTAACACCGATTTCTCGTGACGGTTCAATGAGCTGCCTATCCAGAGGAAATCAAAACAGCCAAAGTCTATGTTTAGAAGTGGTAAACGGTATGGTATTTGGTTTTATAAAGGTTTATAAATATGATATACTTTGCAGAACGTAGGGGATAATTTGTCTGAGGTGAAACTATAGGAAAATACTCAAATGTCTGGCAATGAAAGTAAGCGATTTATGTGGCAAGAACATTTCCGAAGAAGTCCACTCCAAAACACAACACTGTGACAGTCATGAAGCACGTGACCCAGGACAGCACGTGCAAAGGGTGTTATGCCTGATTTACCATTTTCACTCAGACTCGGTTGTTAGCAGACGCAAACTGATCTCTTGGAACTAAACGCCCAAAGACACTTATTCAACACATTTAATCATTAAAGAAACAACGATCATGCGACGTTTGCAACGTTCTTAACGTTCACGTGCTAAGGTCATGTTGGAGGTGGGCACACGTCAGAATCTTGTTGCCCAAACGCTACATGTTTCTCAATTTGTCATCAGCAGATTGTGAGCGTCAGCGGTGTAGGGAACGTCAGCACTCCCAACTTCAACGACCGAAGGCATCGATTCTAATGAGTCTTTTATTGGCGTTAACGTCGTACATCATGATCGTTTTGGGGGCGGGTCCATAATGGTATGGGGTGGTATCAAAACGACTGGCTGAACTGCGCTCAATACCGTCATTGGTAGAGTCACATTTCAACACTATCGGGTCAGCATCGTTGCACCACTTTTGCAAAGCGTGTTGGGCAACGTTTCATCTTTCAAGATGATAATGCACGTGCTCATCTTGTGAGGATTGTGACCCAATTCCTCCAACAGCTACACACCCATGTCATGCCATGGTCAGCACAACATGAGTCAAGCTGACATTGGTCGACTCATCAGAAGCATGCCTCGAAAAATTCGTGCATGTTTGGCCAACAGAGGTGGTTTTACCCGATATCAGTGACGTTGGCTGCAAAATGCAAATTTCGTATGACCCTCGACCTCTTTAACGACCTTGTGTGCCACCATCTCATCACATTAACCATTAGAACCCAGAATCTGATCGCCTACTCCCCAGCAGATATGATCATATCATATAGGTCACAAGATATGTCTTGATGATTCCCACTATCCCCTACATTTGTGGGATAGTATATACAACGTGTCGATCTACAGAGAACTGATACAATGGATGTGGAAAAGTCTATACTCACTTTGCACCTGATGTTATGTAATGTCGTCGATATTCAATCTGGATGTTCGTTTTATTTGACATTGTGTAGGAACCAGATTCAATCCTGTCATACGATTAGGTATTGAACAAATTCTGAGTATGAGTGACTGTTCATTATGTCCATTCAATTTTAATTAACTGAACTTCAAATTATCACATCTGGGAAGTAACGGTGGATGGGTGCGATTTCGTACTATAGTGCAAGGTACTGCAACAACGCTCTCGAGATAAAATTCACACTACATGCATCAGCTGTTTATTTCAGAACTCCAAGCAGTCAATAACAACCCGTGTCCAAGTACCAGCGGCGTCAGTGACGACAAACGCCTCGGCACTGACGCTGTCGACGACACAGTGTATGACTCCCTCAGTCGCCAACACGGCCATCCCAATAGAGAGTCAGCTACAGAGACCCGCGAGACAGACATGAGGCGATGTCTACAGCTCTTCCTCAGTACCAAGTGTCTGTTCAAGCAATTTGAAGTAAGTGTCATGTTCAATTTACATACTACGAGGTGAAGGCATTTGCTATACAAGCGATTAGAAAGTTTGATGCATGTAAAAAATGTAACTTTATAACATTACATATTTTTTCTTTTTTGAACCGCAGTAGTCTGTAAAACATCTTGACCCTTAAACGTCTTCCGATACACAATACATCCGATATATCCCATCTCCGTATATTAAAACTATAAAGTAGACCGCTTCCGTGGTCTAGTGGATAGAGCGTCTGCCCGGAGAGATAAAGGCCGGTGGTTTGATCCTCGGCCCCGTCACACCAAATGATGTTAAAAATGGTTCTTGTTGTTACCTTGCATGGCCGTTGGCTTGATTCTTCAGAACAGTATCATCATTAAGTGGTATTGTATCAGTCGGCTTTGCATTATCACAAACAAAATTCACAGATAATCGAAAGTAGGTAATGCTTGAAATATTTCTAGGTGGATGACGTCACACAACTGACAATGAGCAAACAATTGGATATTATAAAAAAAAATGTGTTTTTTTTAAATTGAAACTCTAGAGTTTGAATTGTGAAATCACGCCTGTTCTGGTAAACAAATTGTGTGAGTGGCGGGTTCTACCGGTGGGGCGCCACCTGGTGTCATCACTGACTTTCAGTGATCCGTTCGTGTTGTTTTCACCGCGGTTTCGCCTTTTACCCCCAATGAAATAGGTTTCGTAGGAAAATCAACACCATGTTTTCTGCCATTCTGACGTTGTATTTGTTTTAGCCAGAAATATGATCTAAATGTTTGATTATCAACTTGTTTGAAGGATCTACCAAGAGCAGACTACACGCTGTGCAGTGAGGCGAAGAAGAGTGATAACATCTGCAAGAACAGATACCGGGATGTTCTACCGTGTAAGTAGCCTCCGACCGGCAGCTGTACACCTTGCACAAACGGCCAACGAAAAAGTGCGAGTTCCTTGTTCCTTGTCAATTCATCGCGAGCCTTCGCGAGGGACATACAATGTCAATTAACTCAGGGGAGATAATCCGTATATCTTAGTGTGGACAGGGAGAACAAAGGCCACTCATTCAGAGAAGATATATCGGTATATCCCCGAGTGAAATTTGATATTATTTTGAGAGTGGCCCAATTGATGCCCATTTGATTACAAAGTTACGCCCCATAGGATTTCGAATCCCAGATTCATCCTGAATATGAGTTTATATTTTGAGTGCACAGTAAACTTCTAATACATGCATCCCTTCGGGCTGTCCTGCCCCATTAAGATGATACGCCGTGACATTACCGAAATAATTTTCATAACGACATTTATCCCACATCACTCACTGGTTGTTTTCATCAAAGATAACGTCTAATCACGCTTGTCAGCAAAGACGTTACTTCATGTAGGTAACCATCGTCTAGTTTGTTTGTCAGCAATATTCCAGCTATTTGACGTCGGTCTGTAAATAATGGAGCCTGTTTGATATTATGAGTAAATATTTATTGGTATATAAATCGGTGAAACCCATTTCTGTAAATCTCACTATGAAATATATTTAATTTATTATTAATGCTCTCTGTTTGTATCTTCGCTACACATTCAGATGATAGCAGTCGAGTTGTGTTAAAGGTGGTCGCCGAGAATGTTTCCAGTGGATACATCAATGCTAATTACATACAGGTATGTTCGTTGTTTCTGACGTCATTGAACATACGGGGCGCAGGTAGCACCATATTCTAAAACGTAACAGGTTGTTAAGAAATGTGTTCCTTAGACGACATTCTCCGCTGATTGTATAAATTCCAATTTCACCATGGTTACGCTGTTAAAACATCACATTTATGTTTTGGGCTTTCCACTCACACAATGATTGATTTGACACAAGACACACACTGTACTGGTGGCGGTACACAACTAACCGCTTACTCACCGTATAACGCAACTTCAATTTGTTTTAAAAATCCACGTTAACGTAACTTCAATTTGATTTAAAAATCCACGTTAACGTGCATGAAAGGAAAAAATATATAGTTTTGTGATGCAAAGTATTATTTGAGACAACATAGTTACCATCACAAATGCCACAAATTTCATATGGGTAAGTACTTGAAACAATATTTGACATACATTTCCAAATGTGTATGAATTCATAGTACGACTGTATGCGATAGATATTCACATTAATCGTTACATCGATATCAGATTGAGTTTAAGTGTGTAAATGAACATAACCTATCTAAACTTCCGGGCAATAGAAAGTATACACTTGAAAACTGGTTTTGAGCAAAATATTACAAACGTTACCAAAACAGTCGCCGAAACACTGCAAGCATGACGCCTAAAAGCACAACTATGATGGTATGAAATACCCGTGTGACCGTATGAAATACATCACCATCGACTATTCATTGCTTTTTTTCATCAAACATTGGTGTACACTTTCTGCCCGGCAGGCTAGGTACGAGAACCGAGAATAGTACATACAGAGAAACCTCGTTTATCCAGAATGCCCGTCATCTGGACTATCATTGGGGCAATCTATATATGATGGGCGTGATATTACTACGTATCTCTTATAACGTAATCCGGACATGTGTTAACCCGAACGCTTACAGTAGAAACGGTGATGTCTGGTATAACGGGTTTCAGTGTATTCACATACATGCACCGTTAATATTGATAACGTTATATTTCTCACCAGGGGGTCGGCAGCCTGCAACAGTTCATAGCCGCGCAAGGTGAGCTATCAGTAACAAAGAAATTATCTCTACTTGAGATTTTATTATTTTCGTAACCTGCCATGGTCGTTTTGCTGTCACTTCAAGCCTTTTTTTTATTCTTCCATCACAAACATTTCAGCAAGCCCATTTCCTTCATTGGATGCCATGAACTAATCAGATTAACTTCATGTTTCTTAAAGGGGCAGTCGGGTAGCCTAGTGGTTAAAGTGTTTGCTCGTCACGCCGAAGACCCGGGTTCGATTCCCGACATGGGTACAATGTGTGAAAAGCCCATTTCTGGTGTCCCCCGCCGTGATATTGCTGGATTATTGCTAAATAATACTCACTCATGTTTTTAAGGGCCGTTTCTGCGTGTGGTGCCAGACTTCTGGAGGATGGTATGGGAGACCCATGCTCGACAGATTGTCATGCTTACGAACATCATTGAAGACGGAAAGGTTGTTTTACGAAATTCTATTGATTTATTTCATAAATTTCATGTGTACAGATACACCTCGTCAGCCGGGCTAAGTTCGTCCAGGTAATCCGCCTTCAGGACTGTCATTGACGTGGTGATCAATGATTCAATTATCAGAATAACTTCATTAATATCATTCCCGTCCTGACTAAATAGTGTTCGTATTTAATTTCATAGCCACTGTTTCCTGTCACTTCTACTTTAATAAAACTTAATTGCAGAATTATTACAATCCAAATTCCTTGTTTTCTTCCTGTTACCATTTTGTTATCGTTAAATTGGTGCACACTAAATCTCAAAATGATTGCCATGGAATATTTTCCGGTGCTTATATGATTGTTTAACTTTTTAATAAGAATAACATCGGTCAAAAGTCTGGCTGAAATATTAAGATTAGTGAAGTGGGCCTAGCGCCACTTTGAACAGTTGTTCAATTATATCAAGCTGTGTAATCTTAATGTGGGTGATACGCCTGAATCAATACAGGTTTCAGATGTTTCTCTGCACACCTAAGGGACACAACTCTGCCCAGCGAATTGCGGCGACGAAGACGAATTGGGCACACATATCACCGATATAAGAACGTGAATGTATCACAGCAATTTGGACAGATTATTGAGACATTAACGCAAACCATGGTTATTTTCAGATGAAGTGTGTCAAGTATTGGCCAGGCGAATTCAATGAAAACAAAACATTTGATGACATCATGGTGGAGTTTGTGCTTGAAGAAGTCAGCGACACTTATGTAAAGAGGACGTTCAATATCACCAAGGTAAAAATATAACCTATATTCATAAATCACCAATGAAAGCGGGGCACATTTAAGACCTACGTGAAGGAAAGTGAAAAAGTGTCATGCTCTCGATACAACAGGATACATTGAGCTCGTCCTCTTATGTACATGACGTCAAATAAATCAGTTTCTGGTGTACAGTATTATGTAACTTAATCACACACAGACACAGACACACACACACACACACACACACACACACACACACACACACACTTCTTCCACTCTCAGGTTTATGTGTCAGTGAGCTAGTGAGTGAACGATTGAGTAACTGGAAACTCCTTTCTTGACGCAAATATTGCGATACATTGCCACTAACATGTTCCTATGTTCAAGTCTGGAGAGGTGAAGAGGGAAATATACCAATACCACTTCACCGCCTGGCCTGACTGTGATTCCCCACGTGATGTGACGTCATTTCTCGACTTCCGGTCAGCGGTGCTCCGAGATGCGTCAGCTGTACACGGACCAGTCATCGTCCACTGCAGGTAGTCCTTCTTTCACTGTGCTGTTTGAATCAAGGGCGTTGAGTTTTTAATGTTTACTAATATTGATGTAATGACACATTATTGCTCATTTCAGTGCTGGAATCGGCCGAACTGGAACATTCATTGCTCTGCACTACCTCCTGTCCCAGGCAAAGGCTGACGATATTGTGGATGTTTTCGGCTGTGTATCTCACCTCCGAGAACAGCGGATGGAGATGGTCCAGACCGAGGTGGGTGCCATAACGCTGAACATACAGAACGGGATTTTGTGTTTAACATAGGTGCCGACTCCCTCCTCCCCAGGATACCGAATACCACTAATTGTTGACTGTGAGTCTCACTGCCCAGACCTGAATCCCGAATACAGCTTAACACGAATCCTTCAAGCATTGAGAAGAGGTGCGATTTGTAGTTAAATTACCGAAAAAATAAAATATATAAAAGAAATTATTACGTCCTCCAATATTATTTTTTTAATGTTTAATCTGAATATCAAATACGATTATATTTGCGTCCTGCGTACCACACCCCTGAGTTCCTAATACCCTCTAAATAAACACCCGAATCCCCATACTAAAAGTTGACATCCTCATTTACACTGAACCGGTGCGGGACCGTGGGGTAGCCAAGTAGTTAAAGCGTTCGCTCGTCACGTCGAAGGCTCGGGTTCGATTCCCATCATGGGTACAACGTGTGAAGCCTATTTCTGATGTCCCCCGTCGTGATATGGCAGGAATATTGCTGAAAGCGGCGTAAAACCTCACTCACTCACACAAAGGGTGATTACACTTGGGTAGTCCTATCACATTTGACACAAGTTTACAAAACCAAAATCTGTCCGTCTCCAGACTGTTGTTTTGTACAAATCATCAGCAGTGAAAATTGCGTTCTACACAAGGCCCAAATTACGATGTCTCCATCTCGATGTACATGAGTATCAGGGCATGAAGTATAAACCCAATTTAATTTTTCAAATTATTTTCTCTATATTTATACTCAATATTATCATGCGTGTCGGTGTTTAATTCCAGGAGCAGTATGCCTTCCTGTTCGAGGCGCTGTATGAATATACAACTGGAGCCTACAGTGCATATCGTGCATACTCGGAGATGAGCCTAAACCTGGGGCTTGACATTGTAGCGGTAAGTGCCTACTATATCACCAACGATGTTGTATGGTAGTTGTTGATAGTTACGCAGTGGGTATATCACACTTCATTTTAATGAAATATGGGGTTCAAACGCGTATAGTATCACTGTTGCAAAGTGAGGAGATATTTTCTATTTTCTTAACGTTTATGTCGTCTTTCTTTCAGTTTCCCTTATGCTATGACACTGTAAGAGGTGACTGTAGTTGTCTGTCTTTTGTCTATCAACTCTCCTGTCGGGCAGTGTATGTGATACAATGGGATAAAACCACGAGTAGTTTCGATGCGTAGTTGTGTTGTGTAATTAGTATTCACGTTATGCTATCATCAACAAAGACGGAAGTCGGTATGCAGTAGCGCATACGTGTGAGAAGCGGAATTTTTTTTAAAGTAGTGGTGCATGAACTGAACCTGACACAGACCATAGTAAATAGAGGGCTACCTCCCTTTGATCATATTGAATTTTAACAACAAGGTCATAGTAATTTGGTTATGTCATTCTCCTTGTCCTGAGTTGTTTCTGATCAGATTGAAATACAATTTGAGCTAGCAGGCAAACAAAGCTATGTATTGCCAAATATGTTCAAGCTCACCCCTCTTTAAATACCTATTTACTTCTGCTGATAAAACGGACACAAGATTAAATTAAATGCACTGTTCTTCATTTCAACCGAGCCTTCATGTAACGATAGGCGGAAGTAGTTTGTGTGAATGCTTTCCATTTTGAAAAGAAATCCGACTGAAGATATTTATAGTTTTGACATATTTCCTTGTGGCGATCTAAAGAAAATCTGTGCACATTTGACTATTATAAGGTAAATATGTTTATTTGTTCAGGCTGTCATCCTATTTCTGGATATGTGTGATCCGGTGAGAATCAAGTTACCATTTGGAAGCATTTATATCACCTGCTTATGATGAACTATTTGAATTATGTTTTGTAAATTCTCCACCAAGTTAAATGTTTCATATTGAGGATGGGGAAAATATGAGAAATGTAGACTTTTCTGTTTCCAGACACATCTGTAGGATCTGGAATCCATTCATCCAACCTGGACTTAGATGTAGCGGCCCAACTGTAAATCTGAAAGCACTTTTATGTACACAAATCATGCAATGATACATGTAAAATAAAAATAATAGATGTTCATGGTGAGTTCAGTTTTGTGTTTTCAATCATGGTACTAACAGACCTACAAATGATATTCAGCAGAGAGCAACCATACTGTGGACTATATTTAGTTTGGTTGCTCTCTACTGGTTTTCATAGGTAGGCCTGATTAAACACACACAACGTGGTTTTCCGAAGCTGGCCACTAATCAACGCACTGCCCATACACATATGGCCATCCAGTACACAGTTAGTAAGTCGTGACAGGTTGCAATGATCAAGAGTTCGAACCCCTCTTTCGCACTTGTTTTGACAGCACTTTACCCGTGCATGTGGTTTTCACAAAGTAGTAAATGTCTAAGACCTTCATCTCAGGGCTTTCCTCAACATTAAGCTGACACAGTGGACAGAGCGGCGTCATATCGAAATCACTCGATTTCAGCATTTATGCGGGTGTGATCCACCAAGAAGTAGGATCTGGAGACTCTGCGGCTCGTGACAGTTGGTGCCTGCCGGAAAATTATGTTCATACCCGTATCTCTTTTATAGGAGACCGCCTCCGTGGTCTAGTGGTAGAGCGTCCGCCCAGAGAGCGGAAGGTCCGGAGTTCGATCCCCGGCCGCGTCATACCTAGAGACGTTAAAATATGGTACTTGTTGTTACCCTGTCTGGCACTGAGCATTAAGGGGCTAAAACAAGGACTGGTCGGCTCGAAGTCAGTATACTGTGTCTGAGTGGGGTATTCATGTTAAACTGTGTCATGGATACCTCAGTGAGCTAGCACTATAAATCGGCATCAGTCCGGACTAGTACAAGCAAAGGTCACGATCATGAACGAGTTGGCATTCTTTCAAGACATTTTAAATATGTTTGGCAAAGCTAGGGTTTAAAATTAAGGAATATAAAAAGTGTTTTATCTTGTTTATGCTCCCGATATATAGAACACTTTCTCGAAAATGAACATGATGTTTCAGTTACGTTGTTACAGTTGACTAACTGTAAAGCAATGCTGTCATACAAAAGATAAACTGAAAAAACGGACAACTTCAGCATCACCGCGGACAAATAATAATAGTTATATTGTATTAATAACGTGTCTCTGATATTGTTAGCAAACTGCTGTTTAACTTACGGAAGTATTAACATTTTACCCGGTTTTACACTTATGATAATATTACTAAAAATACATATAGCTGGCCAACCGGAAAATGATTCAACCAGCTGTTTCATAACCATCGATGACAGTCATTCAGACAACATGGCTCTTAGATGTTACTGCATTGTGACGGCATTGGCTGCTTGTTGCATTTATGGTAAGGGCGTCTATATATATGTTTATAAGATATTGGAATAGCCTTTTACTTGTAACGTTTTCATAGGAAGTCGATTGAGAGTACTGCATTACTAGTTCCCGTGAGTGGTTTCCGTATAGTGTGTGAAGATCCTTTCTTATTTCCCCTGCGGTATTATTGCAGGATTATTACTAAAGCAGCGTGATGCCACGTCAAACATAAGGTTAACGTTGACATTCTCCGAAACCTATGTCATTTAATAACCGATACCTGACACCTCATCAGTGAAATTGACTATTCTATCTGATTTAAAATATGCAATACATTATTTCATCACGCGCTATATCATTTCTTTATAACTGTGCCTTATAAAGACCCAAGAAACTTCCATAATTAAACCTTTTTTAATTAGTTTTATTGATATTTATTTCTCTTTTTTTATTCAAAGTTCAGGTGGGAAAATCAGTGAAAGGGAATTCTCCAGATGACCATTAATAAACGCTTAGCGATCATTGATATACCTGAAGCTTAAATTTAACTTCTCTGCCAAATTCCATTGTTTTGATTTTGCCAATCCGCCCAGAAATTCCGAGAAGGGAGCACAACTGGTGCGCAGGGAGATGCCTAATTCTCGCCCAAGTGTCTTATCCCCACGTTTCACTTAGATGTTATCAGTGAGAAAGTCCATCATTTTACATATAGTTTTCTCAGTAAACTTAAGATGACATTTGCTTCCATTTTCGTCCCGAATCTTTGATATAGAGATGAAACTATAATATATCGTTAACACATTCAGTGACAAACGCCCCATGCACCAAGGACTGAAGTTATCCTTTTGGAATAGTGGAGTACAAAACGTTTGAAAGAATTCAAGTTCAATTAATTCCACAAATATCTTTTTTTTGTGAATATATAGAACGTTCTTCCTTAATTCAATTTGAATTAAGGATTATGGTTAATCTTTGAGATGGGGAGTTTTTGGTACATTTGCTTGACCCATCAATGTATCTCTCTTTAAACGGATCTTCATGGAGCTATACAATACAAAAGATGATAGTATTGATGCGTGTTTTTTGGCAGATGGCTTACTCAGCTGGTTGGTTGGTTTGTTGTTTAACGCCGCACTCAGCACTATTCCAGATATATGACGGCGGTCTGTAAATAATCGAGTCTGGACTTGACAATCCAGTGATTGATATCCTGAGCACCGATCCACCCAATTGGGATTGACGACAAGCATCAACCAAGTCAGCGAGCCTGACCGCTCGATCCAGATCCTCTTACGACAAGCATAGTCGCCTTTTACGGCAAGCATGGGTTGCTGAAGACCTATTCTACCCCGGATCTTCACGGGTCGGATTCCTCAGTAAACATGCTAGCCTTATATGTGGCATTATTTGATATGTCAATTATACCAAGTTCTTTGATTTAAAACCATATAATGTAGTGATGATTACATATAATAGTTATGTTATTCGAGGCTTTGCTGGAGGGGACACTACAAACGTGAATGCGGGGCAACCAGACTTTGTATGGCAGTTGCCTGGGTCACTTCTGTTTCCTATTTTCAGTTGGTTATTATCACTCTCTGACTTAACGCATTGAAAGACATTCAACAGGTTCATCTTTTATTTTGACCCATTTCTTTCATATACTTGGACACGGAGCCTAATGATCTTAAAAGTGTTATCCCGGTTGGTTGGAAGATGCTCACAATATTTTGGTCCATATTTGAATAACTGACTGGGGTTGTTATTGTCAACAATAGAGAAAGACACCTGTGATTTTATGACCAACATGTTGGTAGCAGTATCATGGCAGCCACCTGTAGCGGAATTTACATCACGAGCTGCCAAGACTACGTTCTGCAACACTTTTCTATAGTTGAACTTGGATGAAATGTTGTTCGTATAACAAAGTGAAACTGTTGTTGATTCCTGAAATTTGAGATACTGTTGGACATTTTGGAAAAGACAGCCTTGCATTTGATAGCGGACATAGAAACCACAAACGACAACAAAAAACGATTTTGCTATTTATATTTAATGAGATGTTCCATTACTTTTGAGGCCCGTGAAGATCCGGGGTAGAATAGGTCTTCAGCAATCCACGCTTGCTGTAAAAGGCGACTATGCTTGTCGTAAAAGGCGACTAACGGGATCGGGTGGTCAGGCTCGGTGACTTGGTTGATGCATGTCATCGGTCCCAATTGCGTGGATCGATGCTCATGATATCAATCACTGGATTGTTTGGTCCAGACTTGATTATTGACAGACCGCTGTCATGTAGCTCGAATATTGCTGAGTGCGGAGTTTAACAACAAACCAAACCAAATCCATTACTTTTGGCAAGTACTGTACGTGATGTGAGTAGATTTATAGAACAAACTGAGCAATAATTCTTCCATACAACTAAAGTGACACACTTTCATATTCACCTCTTGTGACGACGTTAAATACCTACTTCCTCTATTAGACGCCGAACCTCCAACACACGCCGGCCTCGAATAGACGCAGGGTCATATGTTCTGTCCAAAAAATAGAAGCCGGGCCTCTATTAGACGCCGGGTCTCGAAGGGTGTGAAATGCTGGTGATTAACAAATGAATGACTATTTCCCGCAAATGTACCCTTTAGATGACTGCTTAATTTGGGATTTGGTAAGGTAGTGAGTCACTGAGCCAGCATAAAACAGAATAGACGCCGGGCCTCTGATACACGCAGGGTCAACGGCTTGCGCGAAATTAATATACGTCTAGGAGTCTAATGGAGGAAATACGGTAATATTTGTTTACTGATGTGATTAAGGGATAAGTTTCATTTCAAAATACAGTAATTAGCACCTAACCCAGTATCCTAACCTTACAGAGAGCCTTGAAACGTGCATCTACGCATGTCGTCGAGAGAGGTGTGAGAATGGACTTCACGGTGAACGATGTGATAAGCAATGTGTCCGTGACAGCCAATGTTACTGTGAGAAATGTGCGCGCATCCAGAGCATAGGTAACCAATGCGTGCGTACCTGTGCGTCGAAAACTTGGGGGCAACAGTGTGAGAACAGCTGTGGCGCCATGTGTCTGCTTGGGAAATGTAACGATCGCGACGGAAGGTGTTCCTCCGGGTGCGAGGCAGGTTTTTCTGGTGGATTTTGCCGAGATCATTGTAGCCATGGATGTCAACACAACCGCTGTCATCAGCATGGTGGAAGGTGCAAGGGCGGATGCAAGGTTGGGTACTACGGTCCTAATTGTTCGAAAAGATGTCCAACGAATTGTAAAAACAATCAATGTCATCAAAGCGGTGGAAACTGCAGTGGAGGATGCAAAGTCGGATATTACGGCCCTACTTGTGTCCACAAATGTTCAGAGCATTGTTTAAACAAACGTTGTCATGTGCTCACTGGAGCCTGCACACCCTGTCTGGATGGCCACATGGGAGACAGGTGCATTGATGAATGTCCACAGAGGAACTGCACTGCTTGTCACCAGGACACCGGCACGTGTACCGCTTGCCGGAATGGCAGGTACGGGACTCGTTGTCGTCAGTTTTGCAGTGAAGGGTGTTCACAGAACAAGTGTGATTTCGGTGGTGCATGCCTGTGTACAAATAAATACTTTGGTTTGTTTTGTGAAGGTAGGTGTCAGAACTGTAGACGTGACTGTGACAAACTGACTGGGGTTTGTACCAATGGATGCGAAGCAGGCTACTATGGTGCTCATTGTAATGCAACGTGTTCTCCGGGATGTCGTGGTAAAATATGTGAGCAGACAAGTGCCCTCTGTGCACAGGGATGCACACTTAACACATTTGGAAGACATTGTGAGAACAATTGCAGTGCAGACTGTCCTCAACAAATGTGTCACAAGTTAGATGTGAATACAGATAGTATTACTTGCATCACTGATTGCTTGGAGGGGAGATGGGGGTCCTACTGTGAACACTCGTGTCCTCGAGGCTGTCAAAGGTGTTACAGATCCACAGGAGTGTGTATTGAATGTGACCGGGGTTTGTACGGCCCAGAGTGTGTAAGGAACTGCAGCCAAGGATGTTTGGGGACACTGTGTGATAAGAACGGTAGCTGCACAGTGGGTTGCGAGGAGGGAGTGTACATGGATGACTGCTCTGTTCCGTGTCCTGGTAACTGTAGAGTATGTCACAAGGAGAGCGGAGTTTGCATGTCCTGTAGGAGCGGATGGAAAGGGGATTCGTGCACAGGTACAAACACCACATACTACCGATAACGTGTTTACTGACGGCACTGGTTTCAAATAAAATTCCATGTATGAATCACGGAAATCGGCCACTCCTTCACGACATTTATAACATAACATGATTTAGATGTACATATAATGCTATTAAGTTGAATCCCCGACACGACTAATTGTCTCATTTAGACAGAAAATAGTCAAAATGAATCAAGTGGGAGAGTTCTTAAACTTAGAGCCACTAAAGAATTCTTATAATCATGAGAAACCATTATTCATTGAACGATTCCGACTTAAACTTAAAGTTCATAGTGAGACTTGTAACAGCACCTATGTAATCTAAGCACGGCAAGCAGCCATAACAGTATCAGTCACATTGACTTGTGTTTGTTTAACAACAATGCGATTTCGTACTTCTTTTTTTCTGTTACAGAAAAGGTCCATTCTAGCAGGCATGTTACTGCACTTCTATTTGTTTGTGCTATTTTCGCGATCGTCATCGTATCTGGATCTATTTCTTTCTTCAAAAGGTACCTAAATATACATATTTGACTTGTTCACACGTAGGATTACCGGCGCATATTTAGCAAACTGAACAAAAAGTCAAAAGGTGTCACAGGCAAGAATATGAAGCCATCACTACCGACGTGTAGTGTACTTTAGTCCACGTGGCGTATAAGGTAATAGAGTCATGCATTGTTGCAGCTACGTTTGTCCTTTGACGTTTAACTTAATAGACATGATATACGTTTGTAATCCATACTTTTTCAGGAAGTCTTGCGCGTGTAATGAGAACCAAGCAAGTTATCTGAGTCCTGTTGATCAACCAGTGGTTCACTATCGACCAGGAATACACTTGGAACCGTGTGATCGGGAGGAACCGTACTATTCAGTCATCGCAGATGGATATGAGATGCCCTGTAGTCGGGTCACGAGGGATGGTAATCGCCGAGAAGTTCGGCACTGTTCAGGTAGTTCCGACTACGAAGAAGTCAACTGCTGATTCCCTATATGCGTTTTAAAAATATTGTTGGCTTCAAAATGAAGAGCTCTCGGTTCATCACTGAAGGATAAACCGATATGACTCATATTACATGTAGTTTTCGCTTTCACAATTCGCGTTTGTGGGTCAGATGCTTCTATAGAAAATTAATTTCCCTGTATATGATAAATTCTCCTCACAGTTCTCGCGGTGGAATTCGCATATGACAAAAACATTTGGGTTTACTTTGTTTAATTAACGATAATACTTATTTCGATTTCAGGTTTGAAATCAAGACCATGTCTGTCCTTTGCCTAATGAGACACCTCATGTAACACATGCGCATGACACACACACACACACACGCACACGCACACGCACGCACGCACACGCACGCACACACACACTCACCAAAACATATACTCACACACAAACATACACACACACACTCACACACACACTCACACATTAACACACACTCACCAACAAACATACACATACACACACTCACTCGCAAACATACACATACAAACACATACTCACTAACAAACATACACACACTCACTCATCCACAAACATACATACACACTCATCCACACGCATTCATACAAACTAACTCAAAAACATACACACACACCTCAGACACCCCTACACACACACTCACAAACATACACACACACACTCCCCCATAAACATACACACGCACACACACACTCACCCACAAGCATATACACACACTCACCAGCAAACATACAGACACACTCACTCACAAACATACACACACACATACATACACACTCACTAACAAACATACACACTCATACACTCACACATACAAACACAATCTCTTACACACACACACACACACACACACACCCTCAGACACGCACACACACACAGCCCTATACACACACTCACTTACAAACATACACACGCACGCACACTCACACACATAACACACACTGACATTGACATTCAAAGGAAAATTGTCGTTTCATAATATTGAACACTGTTGATTGGATCGCGAAGGATGAGTCGTGTTATGTTGACTATTTGGTTTTACACGAGCCAGCAGATGGTTTGCCTTTTTTAAAGAATTGTAGCATATATCGTTAAACAATTATACCAATATTGGAGCAGCAGGATTTACGAAAAAGTGGTGATTCGGTTGACAATAATGAGGTGGAAATTTCCGGCGACTGCCCGCTTGGCTAAAGGGAGGCTACTCTACCCTCATTTGCAAGGACTGCGGCGATAATATTGTCAGAATGCTACGACAGAATGCTTCGTTTTTTTATTGTTGATCTTAACATTTATAATGCCGAAATGTGTGCATTACTTTGATACAACTAAGTATCTAAGTGAATGTAAGTAGTATACTCCCTCGATTTTAAACATTAGTCCTGCATGAGATCGATCATCGAAGGCTACTGCACAATATCACGGACAAACACCAAGTAAACTGAACGAAATAAGTGAGGGATCGTGAATATGTTTAGAGATATTATTGTAGTTAAGACTGAGAACACAATTCATTTATAATTTTCCCCAAAAATGCTTGATCCCCAACCTAATTTTGTTCAGTATATTTGCTTGTCACGACATAATTGACACTGTTCACATTTTGAGCAACCATTACCATTCCATTAGCTGTCACAAGATAGGCCTAACACTGCGACACAAACATATTTCACCGAAAATTCTTCGTTGTAAATTAATTGTGAACACGTCTAGATAATAAATTCGTCACGTGTCAAAACGTGCCCTGTATGAATATTTAACTCCAATTGCTGAGAAGTGTGCACTGACATACTGATTCTGGTTCAGCGTGGCAGCTGAAATTAAAAGCTGCACTAGCTGTACAGCCTTGGCGTGTCTCCATCAAACTATGCTCCTAGGTTTCACGGACGTGGATGAGGACCTCATTACGACTTCACGTTAAACTTCCACGCCGTGGTATAACTAAAATAATATACTCCATCCTCAAACAAAGCAAGATATATGGAATGTTTCTCTTAATATAAACTTAGTTTGGTTACTACAGTTCCCTCGGAAGAGAGTCCCATTTTAATGCTCCTTGCATGACAAGAAACAAAACGTTTTCAATTTCCACGTGGGTACACCAAGCTGTTGTTGTTGACCTGGATAGGCTGTTGAGCTCAATCCTATATGAGAGATATTTCGGTGCTGTATCAACATGAGTTTAACATCCACTCTTACATTTATTCAAAGCCAGTGCAGAGAGTTCAGCAAAGGAGATACATGAGCTGACTAAGGTGACCATGAAGCAGTATGAGCTGCAGTGTTTTGCAGTCGCCGAAGTTTTTGCATATTCGTCTTTGATACCGCTCAGTAAGCTGTTTCAATAGTCAAGGCTGACGCTGCTTTATTTGTTAAACGATGGGTGATTTTACCAATGTTCCTATGAAAAAAGAAAAAGATCAAAGTCATGGGAACTCCGTATCTCGTGTATCATTAGCGTGCTAATGCACGAAATAAGTATGCATCACACGTTGGGGAACGTCAATCATCTCGGCATTTCGAACATATGCTGCTGTTTCCTTATTTGTGTCGTACTCGGCGATCCCACTCGTCCCATAAAGGTAGGTGTTCAACTGGATTAGCTCTGGCGATTTACGGTGCAACGGGAGGCCCTGTACATTGTGGTGCTGCTGGACTGCTATTGTTACACGTGATGTATGCTTCTTGCATTGTGGCGTTGAAAGATTACGCTTACATAGTGCATAATGTGAACAACGTGCGGCTGGATGATTTTCTTACAAGGGCGTTGTACTGTTAATGTGACATGTTCTCCTACATGATTTGTTTTGCTAGTGTGTCATAATACCACCTATATTGTTTACCTGCCCCCGACCAATCTTCCGACCTCTCGTAGAGATATGGCCGCAGTGTGATACAATACAATACATAATCTGCGTGCTTGGTACATTGACGAAGCTGTTGACGGTGTTGCTGTGTGAAGACAACACCTGAGACCTGTCTCACGGTTCCTCACTGCCTGGTTAAATATCCTTCGCAATTCTGGGATTGCTGCTGTTGTAGAGGATGGTGGTGTACACATTTACCACAACAGACGTAGCCATGTGAATATTCTCCTGGCGATTGTCCTGTTTTTATTCTTTCGAAGACGTTGTTCCCCTGTGCTTCATTTGGTCGTGACATGGCTTTGCCGTTTAACAGTTGTTAACAGACAATATTTTGGCTATCGAGAACGCCCCCTTTTCTCTTACCCAACAACCCAACTCAAACACATAAACAGTAGGTAGCCTTGGCTTCCAAACCCTAAACTAAGCTTCAATGTTCAGTTCATTTTGACTATATACTGGTATATTTGGTTGGCTTTTCTGTGATTTGTCTTTATTTTTGTTACCTTGTCTGGATTAAACATTTATGAAATTCCCAGACTGAATCTAAATGATAACCTGCAAGGCATTGCAGTACAAATGACATTTAAATATTAAACGTCAATGCCATAAGATAAATCAATCTCGGTTATCTACTGAAATCTTACATCGGACGTAAACGAAAAGTAGATAAATGGATGACTGAAAATATGTGATGACACAAGGTCTGTCAGTTTGTCCATGGTGCATGTCATACACTTACCTTAAAATCCTTTTAAAATTTACATCAACAGTACAGTATATTCCTGAAGAGATACCTTATGATTTTTTTTCTTGTCTTGGTTAAAAACTAAACTTGGTTGTTGAAGTATTATGACATGTTATATCATTGTCCATACCAAAATACAATTCATAGCCCATTCATTTAAAAAGAGCACCAAACATTTACAAACACAAAGATCTCACAAGACTATTTTCCACCTTAGATACTCGAACCCCTACTGCTGTTTATCGGATTAGACATATGTAAGTATTTCTTGTAAAGGGACCAATGTGTTAGATAAGATAAGAAAGGTGTATATATTCGTTTCAAGCAGGTTCAGCTTGTCACACTTGTTGGACTGCAGCCATGGTTCGAGGCAGTGTCCTAGCTCTACTTATTGTCCAGAGTTCATTTGGACTCGAGTTGCTGAAAAACCCAGGATTCGAGAGTCCAGATCTGTCGGGCAACTGGGGAGGATGGGGCTTCACACTTGTTAGTATCACTGATGACGTCCATGGAGGAACTCATGCTGTCAAAGTATCCGGAAGGTAAATTAACACAGAAGAAATCTGTTTTATCTGGACGTCACATGATATGTGTATCTCATCACATACATACACGTATTAAAGATCAAATTAATGGGATATAATACATATTATAACCATACGATTTGAGAGTGGTCCAAATGTCCTGTTTTAATGTCCATATCTGCAATAATTACCAGTAGTCCTTGAAGTCTTCTCTGAAGGGGATAACTATATGAATACTTTTGGGAAGAGGCTTCATTGAATGTCCCTTGTGGGTTACCCGAGCAGGATTGGTCACACAATTTCATTTCATGTTGAGAAAGGACAAGGGACATGAGAGGGAACCTGATTGATCCACGGGATATGCTTTAGTTCAGAAATGATGAAAAAATGTCCAAATCATTGTGAAACTAAAGTTAGCTCATTTCCACCCATTCATGTTTAGGACTTCATTAGGTAAGACTGAAAGGTGTCAAAAAGGCTGTGTTAAGAGGTTGATATAGGAACAACTCTTGAAGCTGATATTCATAGCAGATGTAGATAATGACTGTACCGTAATGGAGTAAAACACGCATCTTGGGTGAATGACCGGCACCTTATTTTCTCTTTTAGTTCACTAATATTAGCCATTGTTATATAAAGTAGAGATAATGTATGGATAACAACTTCTTTATTTACTTAAAGGCGACGTTTTGGTATAAATCCTTATACCGTCAAGCCTTGTTATCCATAAGTTATCTCCACTTTGTCATCCGTCAACTTGTAAGTAATGCCTATCAAACATTGTTATATAGTTCAGCATGCTAGCTGTCCAAAACTTGCAAGTGGGCGTAAGAAAGAAAAGCTCGTTGTCATACATTTAAACATGTTTGATAATTTTCATCCCAGAATTTAAATGTTCACTGCAACTTCAACATTTCCAAATAGGGAATCCGGACCCTATCCCACCCTATCCCTCAAAACAAACATTGTGTTGCACAACATTTGCTTGTAGTGATTTACGCAATTACAGCGCAACATATACAGCGGGCACGGTGTAGCAAAATTACCACAATACATTGTATGGTCACTGGTTGCTGATAATTTACATTAAAAAGTCTTATGACATATATCATAGTTAAATATGTAATGTATATGATTTTGAAAGGGGAAGGCAATAGCCATATATGTCAAGGCTAGATAGTCTTGATTTTGTTATCATAAGGTTCAGTTTCTGGAATGGAAAAAATTGATATGTGGAATAAATGTGGCGACATTTGAACTATGTCGTCCATTTTTACGTAGATTAGAGATATTTATAGTTAATAAAAACGACAAAACCCTTGCCATGTAAATTTATCAGTAAGAATGGCAAGTTCGTGAAATATATTGTTTTGTCAATCTGCTTATTGAGAGACGTTATGTTTCATATCTAGATCTATGAATAAACATTCAGAGATGCAAAACACTCTGCACAAGAAGACTGCATGACAAGTGGGATGACTTCAACTTTCCAATAGTAAAAGTTCCCTTCATGTCGAGCCAAATCACAGCAGCTCCAGCCTTTGGTGTTTACATTGCACAACGTTTGAGATACAATCGAACATGCTTTTTCTACCAAGATTACAAAGAGCGTCATACATCTCTTGCTCAACAGTTGTTTGATCAAGGTTACAAAAGTTTTATAGTAGACATGTAGGTCGCATTTTCAAATTTGACGCATCAGTGACAAAAAAGGATGTTCAATGCAATTACCTATGTTGACTTGTACCATATGTTCCCGTGTTTATGCAGGTGAACAATTGACTTGCCTTTGCATGTGTTTGTGACGGGTGCTACCAGTGTATCATCACTATTTGATAGTCATTCATAAACACCGTCATGTTCATGATATAGTCGGAATCTCTGCTTTAAGCAGGCATTTCTATTGGAAATGGAAAGGATTTCGTTGCTTTAATTATTATTTCGATATGCATGGTATGCAGAGAGCCGATATCGGTTCCCCATGAAGCGTATATGTATATACCTGTACATAAAGAAATGTTAATATGCAAAGACAAAAAGGTGAAAAGGTACCCTTTTCTATTTCCGCCTTAAAATGGTTCACAATGAAATCAATAATCAAATCAGTTGTGCTGAAATGTGATCATTGTTTGAAGTCACCATATCAATATTATGAAAATCTCTTTTCATGTTGAAGACTCTGAACCAGTGTATTGTTTTAAAACGCAAAGATAAAATATGAAAAGTATAATATACCAACGAAAGCCACGTAAAGATACACAGGATCTGGACTCTCAACTGATTCTTCATGGCACTGCATAAGCATTACATTAACAAACATATGGACAGATGATCAGTTAATAGATGTTGGTTTCATTAATTTAATAATCTGGTGGTATATCGTATTGATAGAAAACTACACCAGTTGTTTCATGCTGTTCTAGAAGTGGAATTACCTAAACTGGTCACAGCTTGATGTACATGTATGTCGATGTGGTTCTGTTCAGTATAGTATAGTACATACGTTCTGCAATGTTAACCAAACTATCTTGTTATGTACGAAATAGTTATAATAGTTTTCAAGATCATAAATATGCAAGTAATGTCTGCTGGGATCGTTGTGTAACATCGACATCAACACACATATATAAAGCATATAGCAAATTGGTAATTTTCGTTTCAGAACACAGTCCTACCAAGGCCCTGGGCAGGATGTTCCCATACAGCCTGGTGGCCGCTATGCCTATACTTCCAGTGTTAAACAGCTGAATGATCACACAGGGACGTTGTTCCAGACCATCAAGATCACCATTGCATATACATGGGCTGATGACGGTGTGTACTGTAATAAGATTTAACTGTCTCTGTTCTCACTGTTTTAACACGAGTGTCTCATTTGTCTAAGGTACCGCAATTAGCTGTGCAGAGTTGGTTCCTCTTAGCCATACCGGAAACATATCATCTTGGGCTCCAATGCCGGATTCGCCCTGATTATATTCCTGGGTTCGTCAGCACCATACCTGTGCTGGAAGGTTTCACCAAAGTAGTAAACGTCAAAGATCGGCATGGCTTAGGGCTTCCTCCAACATCAAGCTGACATGCCTTGATATGACATGAGATACTATCCAAAGCTGCGATCACTCATCCTGATGACATTTTCTTCTTATTTTTGATTACGAATGTTTTGCCCTAAAATTCAGGTCGGTGGGTTGAAAAACTTCGAAAATAATATTCTAGTTTCAAATAGTTTGCGGAATTTCTTCAAAATGTAGGGTAGGTAGGGGAAAAGAGTAAACAAAGAGGGGCGGTGGCGGGAGGAATGGGGAAAGACAATTATATTATGGTTCAGTGAAAATCACAAGGATTTTGTGAATTTTTACGAAAAACATGATTTATACTCTGTAAATATGAACGATTTTATGAGACACGATACTGACATTCCTAGCCCAATGATGAATTTTGTCATACACAGGTAAAACAGATTATTACGACATCGCTCAACATCCATTTGTCCAGTCTGCCAATGGATGGTTCACCCTCGACGGGGATTTCACCGCTCCATTAAGAAGTAAGCCCAGTCAATTCAAGTATTCAACAGTGACATTCATTATTCATTGTTGGGGCTGTTGGGAAGCCTAGTGGTTTATACATGAGCACGTCATACCTAAGAGCCCTCTTTGAATGCCTACAGGGGTACAATTGTGTGAGGTCGTTCTTGAGGTACCAGTATGGTGGTGAGGCTGCAATAATGTATTTAGTCACTATACATAAGGTCCAGTACTGACTGAATCATCTGGTGTCTAGTTCCATATTTTCAGGTTAATCAAACCATTCTTGATTGGTTTTTATCGTATTTTGATCGCTATCAAACTGTAATGAGATTTTATGAGATCACTGAAAATGTTGTCGGTTGCAAATGTCGACAAATAATAAGCGTCATCGAATAAATTTACCCTCCTCTTCAATGTCAACATATCTACTATGACAGAACATTATGTATCCAGTAAGTTCAAGGGATGTGCCGTTTTTTGCATATAGATATACGTATTGAAACGGTACTTGAAATATCTCATACGATGAATGGTTTCACTTTGTCGAAGAGGCTTAACTAAATGCTCCTTGTGGGATTAACCGTGTAGGGTTGTTCACACTACTTCATTTCATGTTGAGAAGACAAGGAACTACAACTGTCCATTCTGAAAAAGGGTTGAGTTAATTTTGTGCTGTTACTGTTATAAGAATAAATATAAGCGACAAATCTCTGCAAAAAAACAGAGTCCATTGTACGAATCCGACTATATCACGAGCATGAGTTTATGAATCACTTTCAAACAGTGATGATACCAGGTGTGCGTATCCTGACCCACATGCAAAGGCAAGTCAATTGTTCACCTGAAAAAAACACGGGAACATATGGTACAAGTCAAAATAGGGAATTGCATCGACATAATCTTTGTCACTGATGCGTCAAATTTAGAAACATCCTCCACAAACAATTTGAAAAGCTTTACTGAGGCCTGGAATGTTGTCACCTTGATAAAACAACTTCCAAGCAAGAGTTGTATGACGCTATTTGAAATCTTGGAAGAAAGAGCATGCTTGATTGTACCTACAAAGTTGTGAAATATAGACACCAAAGGCAAGGAAGGACTATTGACCATTGGAAAGTTGAAGTCATCCTGTTTGTCATACAGTCTTGTGGAGAGCGTTTTGTCACTCTGAATCTTTATGCATAGATCTTACCATTTGTAAAGCTATCCATTTTGATGTTTACATGTACATGAATATGTATATTTACACATACACCACCAGACACCAGCAAGGCCAACCTGTACTTCCAAGGCCCAGATCCAGGAATCGACTTCATCGTTGACGACGCTTCTCTCCAGACGGTGGACGAGGACATGAGCTGGAAGGCCGAGGCAGATGCGAGGATACAGAAGATTAGGAAAAATAACATCAATGTTCAGTAGGGCTGCCTTCGTTCTATCATCTATTGCTTATGAATTATTATATGTGTACTACGTTTCGCTCCGGACATACACGAACCAGGCGGGACGTTTGTAATAATCCATGTAATAGGTCTTTTGTCATACCCTGTTCACTGAATGTATATTTTACTTGATAACGCATTATAACGAAGAAAAACGCCTTAGTCATGGAGGCACGTCGTGTGACTTTTGAAGGTAATTCTACCAAACGGTAAACTTAAATGTCAGTTCTCTATTAATGGTTCCTTCTCTTAACGGAACAACTGTATAATGTAAAACAATTGCAACAATCTCAAGACTCATCACATACATACTGCCAAATAAATAGGCCAATTTCACCAAGTGGCCTGAAGCAAAAGATGTGTTTTCACGAAGTGACAGTTGTTAGAAAAATATGAAATATATATATTTTCCAAAACGTAACGACTAATCAAGTGGCAGCATCCTATTAGTATTTTTGACATGGTGTGTATGTTAAGACACGACTTTAATTGATACGGTGTGTTACAATATAACAGGGCGGTCGGGTAGCCTAGTGGTTAAAGCGTTCGCTCGTCACGCCGAAGACTCGGGTTCGATTCACAACATGGGTGGAATGTGTGAAGCCCATATCTGGCGTCCCCCGCCGTGATATTGCTCGAATATTGATAAAAAGCGGCCCAAAACTATACATACTCACTTCAATATAACACATTTCTCTCAGAACTTCTATTTCACGTTAGTGCCATGAACGATGATGTGTCTATAATACATATGGATCATTGTGTTTTACAGAGTGACACATTCATCTTCATTCAACCCTGCTGATATTGAAGTTAAGGTTAGATATTATAATTCTGTTCATGATGGATAAAGGAAATGACATCCCTGCAGAATACACTTGGACTTCATATGTTTTTAATATAAATATACAGCTTCTTTGTATGTACCTATGAGACTCTTGTTATGGTCGTAAGCGCATGAGATACAGTAAACTACGTTTATAACGAACACGCTTATAACGAACTGACGGATATAACGAACTTACGTTTTTGTCCCGACTATTTGTTGTAGTTATGCTGTATATATACATATAACGAGCTACGGCTACAACGAACTAAAATTAGTGGTCCTTTTGAGTTCGTTATAACCGTAGTTTACTGTATTCCACAAGAGAAAAATTCAGTTGTACATTCCCGAGACCATGAATTTCTGTGGTGACATACGTACTTTAAGACAAGTCAATTTCTCTGATTTACAGATTGACCACAAAAGACATCTGTTTGGATTTGGGTCAGTAATAAATGAGGAATATATGATAAACGACGGCTACAAAGAGTATCAAAACTTCGTCTATACAATGTTCAACTGGGTGACAGCAGGATCCTTCAAGTGGAAGTACAACAGAGGTACCAAGGTATATACTGTTCATATCTTCATTTGTGTGTTCATCAAGGAAAATCGAAACTTTTGCAATTATAAATTTTACAATACGCAAAGTAATTCCCAGAAGGAGAACTTCCATAAAAAAACAATATTAATGCAAAACACAATGTGACTAAATATCTAAAAACACATGACTGTTGTCAAACATCCTTTGCAGGATAAACCTGACTACACAGTTGCTACAGATGCTGTGAAGGTGCTTAATCAACATGGGTACGTATCTTACAATGTAGACTAACTTTGGATGCATTTAACGGAATTCAAAACTACAAATAAAACTGTTATTTCACCATTATTCAAATGCATTACATAATTTCTTTAGGACATTTATAACAGTTCATATATTACAGCATGAAAGTTCGAGGACACAATATGTTCTGGGGAGTTCCAGGTAACTCTCCCAGTTGGGTAGAAGCCTTAAACGGGACAATGTTGAAAGCAGCCATTGCAGAAAGAGTCAAATATATGACCGGCATCACAAAGGGACAGTAAGTGAACTGTATCTATCGCCATGGACATGTTTAGAATGGTCATGGTAAAATAGTAATTTACAATCAACACACAATTCCAATTATACTCACATGTTTATTCATATTTGATAAATGGACAAACATAGAAGATTCAAACAATATATTTGAAAGTATATGTCTTAAATTTTGCGTTAGACTGGGTCACTGGGACGTGAACAACGAACTTCTCCATGGTCAGTTATATGAAGAGAAAACAGGTGATGCCCTGTACTCGGAGAAGATCTACGATATGGTCCACAAGGCTGATCCCGTGCCCAAGCTCTTCCTCAATGACTACGACGTTGTTGCTGTTGGAGCCGTCACTGATGTATGTTGATAATACATTTCGTAGACTTCACATTATGATGGTGGCCTGCTATGTACCAGTTCACAGAACATCATTTATGCGATTTATGTCACATAATAATCACCACAACCACAACACCAATACGCAAATATTCAGTATCTACCATATAGTCGTGCAATACCAACTATCGCCATTCTCAACAAAATTGGCCGACCAACAATCTGCAGTTGGAGAATTTAACGTTTTATTTTGCTGTTGCTTATATATGTTATATTTATTTCCAGGCTTACGTTGCCCAGGCTAAAGAGTTCAAAAAGGCTAATGTTGGACTGGGAGGCCTGGGTCTTCAGAGTCACTTCAGAGACTACACACCTCCAGATCCCACACTTCTGAAAGTAGGCCTTCCCTCCCTTATGTTTAATTAATTGTCAATAGTCAGTCCCATTCAACAGTCTAATGGCAAACATAACTTCCACCTTTCACAAGGACCGCTACTGAAAGGAAATGCTGTTATGCGATCAAAAGCTGTATGTACACAAACCAGTACATAGTAATGAGATTGAGCAATCACCCTGATGTTGCTCTTTATGTTACTGCAGAAATACTAGTTGACGGTTGAAGTACTGATATAAAACTATGGGCAACATTATATTTCAGAGACGTTTGGACAACCTGGGATCTGTTGGACTGCCTCTGTGGATTACCGAGATGGACCTGGTGCACCATGACGAGAATATCCGGGCGGACTGGTACGACTGGGCTCTCAGAACCTACTTCAGTCATACAGCAGTGGAGGGCGTCATATTCTGGGGATTCTGGGATCATCAAATGAAAAGCCCTTACGCCGCACTCATCAATGGATATAACTTCTTTGTAAGATTAATTAACAAGAGCTTTTATAATATTCTTAAATAGTATAACAACTGAGCACAGTACTTTATTACAATAACTGATTGTCTAGATACTGAGGCAAATATTAGATTACATATACAGACAGACAGTTTATTCATTAAGAAGGCCATAGGCCCATAATACAGACAATGGTTGATTGCATGAACTAGATTAGATCAGATATAGTTGCATATAGTTACTTACCACTACAAGAAGTATTACACAGTACACTGAGGCTTAGCTAGGTACACATCGTGACGCAATGGAGTAACTACAAAATCATAAGCAAATGGGCCGAAATATACACATCATGACCAAATGGTTCGGAATAGATATCAAAGTTTAGTTCATCCTACGTGGCTTAACACTACGTGAGGCGTGAGCTCCAGTACATCCCGTGGCGTTACTTATACTGCCATGACCTCAACCTATAATTTTATAAGTTTATAAACTTGTCATGCCTGCCACGACCTCCGCCAACTATGGCAGCACCAAGGTATAGTAAGACGATGAGAGGTACTGAAACACTAAGAGCAACAGGGCACGAATCACATTCTTACATTTTCATGTAAAGGCTTTTTTAACGTTGCTAATGACTGAATGAGTATGGTTTACCTCGCTTCTATTCCAGCAATATCACGGCGGGGGACACCAGAAATGGCCTTCACACATTGTACCCATGTGGGGAATTGAGCCCGGGCCTACGACGTGACGAGCGAACGCTTTAACCACTATGCTACCCCACCACTCCATTGCCAATGAACAGTTATGAGCTCTTATAATATAATGTTAAAATATTATGAAACAATTTTTGATTGACCAAACTTAAGAAAATTAGCTTACATTAATATGTCATTATACAAACAGGGCGGTCGGGTAGCCTAGTGGTTAAAGCGTTCGCTCGTCACGCAGAAGACCCGGGTTCGAATCCCGACATGGGTACAATGTGTGAAGCCCATTTCTGGTGTCCCCCGCCGTGATATTGCTGGAATATTGCTAAAAGCGGCGTAAAACCATATTCACTCACTCACTCACTCATTATACAAACAATGAAACAGGGCCAAAGGCAAAGGATAAATAAGATACACACTGATAAAGTATCTGACGACCGCCCCCCACCACCCTCACCCCCACCCCACCCAATGCAGATAAGACAACAAAGCAGCCGGTCACTCACACATTGTACCAAGTGAAAACCATAACGGCTGTCGGGTAAGCCAAGCAGTTAACGTGTTCGCTCGTCATGGGGAAGGAAGACCAACGAACTTGGACTATTTCCAAAAACGATCTAAACACAACTTAAATTCATAAAACCAAATTATAATTTCGTTGTTGAAATACTTCATAACAAAACGGCGTCAAACCCAGCTCACTCACTCATAAAATTGACACTGGACGGAAAGGAGATTCACATTGAAATAAAGTTGTATATGTGTACAGGTGAACGCTGCTGGTCAACGTTACTTTGATCTGGTCCAGAAGGAGTGGTCAACACATGTAGCTAAGAATCTCTCAGATGGATCGTCCTTCTCCGTGAATGGCTTCCAGGGAGACTATGACATTGTAGTCAACTACAAGGGGAAGCCCGTTATGTACCAGGAATTCCACCTGGGGAAGGCAGATGCCACACTCAACCTGGACATCAGTGGCGATGGCCGTAAGAGACTATTGCTACATTTGGGTGTATAAATTCACAATGTATTGACAAGTCCTATATGTCATGATTGCAATATAATTATTTTGGTGACATAATGCATGGACATTTTCTTTTAAGGAAGATGTTATGTGAAGGGGTTGATAAACTCTTATTTTCATTCAAGGCAAACTTTCGTCATTTTTTAAAGCTCGTGCAATTTCAATTTCTTTAGTCCCCAGAGGACGGGCATCAAGAGTCCGAATTTTTTTCTTGAAATTACTTTCATAAATCCAAAACTAATGCCAAACGAAGTAAAAATGTTTGGGGTGATCGTTGTCATATATCTGGACTATTGATGAATTAGTCGTTAGAACACAAACAAACGAAAGTAATAAATTTATTCCTTAACTTTTCAGATCAAGTGACACTCCCAACAACTATTGATCCATTCGTGCACGTGACACATGCTATCCAAGTCTCCCATAACAACCAGCATATTGTTGGTCACATGTCATCAGATGCTAATAATACCGACATTCAGTGCGTAACCCGCTGGTCCGCAGTCTCTGACGTCGGCGATGACAAGCCTACTTATGCTTACTGCGAGAGTGATGAAGTGATGACCGGCTGTTCAGGTTATCATCAGGTACTTATTATCAATATGTTTAGGCCTTGATATAATTAAACCACTGATCCAAGCAGCATTAAACCCAACTCCTCAAATATGTACGATTGATGGATTGAATGTTGTTGTTTTCTAATTATGCCGACGATATTTTCTCTGAATGTGATGCTTGGTTTGCCAGCCCCTTTTCCTGCACTTTAGTTTCACAAAGGTGGTCTTCTAAGTCCAGATAAAATTCAGCCTTTCTGCCCACGTTTGGCTTGTACGGTGTGATATACAAAATTCAAGGTTGGTTTGTTTCAAAATCAACTCTTCTAATTATATATTTTTAGATTTTCTTCATAAAACTATTAGTATGTGTGTCTGAGTATAATTAATAGGACTATTCTGCAGATAGCTTAGGGCAGGAGAGGCTTGCACTTTTCGCGAACACCTGGTGTCATCACTGGTCATCAGTGGTCCATTCATTTAATTTCCACAGCTATTTGCCCTTCACGCCAAGTGGAATATGTTTAGGCAGAAGATCTAGGCTGGTTATTCTCTTGCATTGACAAGTTATATTAACAACTTTTGTATTTAGACGTTTCTTTGAAAACAATATTGTTCTTCATTTAAATGATAAAAAAGAGCAACTAATTCAAACTGGTGTTGTATTTGTTTTCTTCGTTTTCTAAAATTTAGGACCGGCGGACCGGTAACCAAAAAAAATATAAAAGAAACTCAAAATATTTAATCACAATATGTTTTTTCACAGACAGTTGACTTGATGTATATCAGTTCTCTGTTCTGGAAAAGGTAGCAGAATATTTTACTAAGTGTTTCATGTTTACATGTAGTGTACTCGTTGTTATAGATATTTGGATAATTCAAACATCAACACAAAATTGAAATTGAAAACTGTTAACCGGTTTTCTTCTCAAGAATAATATCAGGTTTTCTTCAGGATGGAGAGTGGTATCGTGATGGCGAGGAAATTGAGGTTAAAAATGGTCGGGTGGCTTGTAAAGCGGTAAATGGTTGGCGATCAAAAGAAGGTGAGCATAATATTCAAAGAACGCCACATGACTTGCTCAAAAGTTCTTTGATCAGGGTTACAACATTCAAGACTACAGTAAAGGTTTCAAAAAGAAGCTATTTTCGAATTGAAATTGGATGTATTTGTGACGAGTGCCAACGGTAGTTCAGGAAACGGTCATCTTTTCGCGAACACCGGGTGTCATCATTATTTGATCGTTATTCATAAACGCATGCTTATAATACAATTCTTTTTTTAATTTAAATTAATACTTGTGAACTCTTTCTGACATGGTTATACGGATAGCAACTGACGTATTGGGCTGACTTAAAGGAATCGATGGTATGAAGAAAAGGAACAGTTCCTTTAAGCAATACCAATATAATCAACTTCTCTGCACTATGAATGAGTTTATACCATACCCTTTTCAAATAAATTATGGACACTCAATTTGTTCAGATCTTTCGCATTTATCTTGTAATAAAATAAAAAGACACAATCGAAAAATACTTAGGAATATCTTTGACATCATGACGATTGTAGAAATTACCCCTTAGACAGCTTTGCTTTCAAAACCGCGGGCGAAGGTCTAATTCAGAGTAGCTGTGGTCCTGTGGCAATAAAATGGTCAATTTCATTTAATATCCTAAGTACAAGTTTGGAAACGACCCAGAGATGGATATATATTTAAGTTGCGTGACTTATAATCCACCTCAACATATCAGGTCTTCTAGCTGTTGCCGATGTTGTAGGACCAAGTAATTAAAGTGCATCTACAGAAGTCCAGGGCCATCTGCTAATTTAACCAATCAATATAATTATTATGGAAAACGCTCAGGGTTTGTCGCTTTTATTTACAATAGTATCATGATTAATCCAAGACTTTGTGCAAATAAAATAATACTGCAAATGAGTAGGAAAGGTTTGGTTGTTTACCTAAAGCGACTGAATGTTTTGAAGAAAACCTGTCCGACCAATCCTTCATAAATATCTAATCGTATACAGGTCTCCAGGCTGTTGCACGATGCTGTAAGACGAAGAACATCAAGTGTACCTACAGAGGATCAGGACCATCTGCCAAGTCTGTGGATGCGAGAGTGGAAACAACTTGTTTGAACTCCGAAATTGCCACAGGTGAGTTGACAGTCTTTCTTGAGTTAGTCAAAGAAAGGGCACAGCAGCCAGCACTGTATTTGCAGATTACATCTTATAATGGCAGAGATAACACAACACTGCTCTCATGGTGCACCTGTGACCACCTAATATTTACAACTTACACGAGGTACGTGAGATCTGTTATACCCTAGAATCCCCACAGTGTAAAATGCTTGACGTTTAAGTTAAAGGAAAGACAGATTCGTATTTGAATCGCCCACTGAATTAAGTGAGAATGATGAGTATTGTCGTTAATCTGTTGTAACTACGGCGTGTATTAGCATCATTGGATTATGTTCATTTAGACGTCCTTACTCGTTGTGTGGAGACGCGAGAAGGCGAGGTTACACATTGACCCAACTGAGTCAAATAAGGTTGAATCGAATGTTTCGAACTCCGGATAAGTCGAACTATGTTTCCCGTCACCATGAGTTCGTGACAAGGGGGTTCGACTGAATTTGTTATGTAAATTGTCAATGGTATATTATCTATTAACAGCATTGATGTGATTACTCTCTCTCGTTTAGGCTGTACGGCCTGGACATGGGACTCTGAGATGATAGGATCCTTCCCATCGGACAATCAAAAGGGATGTGTTGCCTCAAATGAAGGCACTACTGTAGGTCAGTGTGATATTATCGAACCAGTTACTGTAACGTTGAAACTTTAAGTTACTTTAATGTCCTTTAAAAGAAACAATGTTATCTGAAATGTCTGATTTAAGAAACAAAACCCTGAACATATCTGAAAGTGTTTTACGAGCATCCTTTCAAATTGCATAATCAGGATATTACTATGATTTTTATTAAATGGTACCGGTTTAATGCACTCACGTTTTATGGTAGACATCAATGCAAGACTTGTATCCAACCACAATATAGCAAAATCTAGCTAAAGATATAACTTGAAATGAAGGTACCTGGTCTTATGCTGCCTGTTGTGCTGCCCCCAAACTGTCCTGTAAGACGCTGGTGTCCACACCGAGCAGTCTCCAGAAGGGAGAGAAGGCATCTGTAGCCTGTGATGCGGGAACTGTGCTGTTTGGCTGTAGCGTCCGAGCCGACTTTGGAAAGTCAGCGGGCGCATTTATTGGAGGTATTTGTTTTCTTTTAGAAAATTGGATATCATATAATATAATTCATGCTACTCATATGAATCATCCTAGTGAGAAGCATTTATATACCCATTTATTCTCCTTATAAAGCCATGAAGATTCATCGCCCTGGATACCGCGGGTTTAAATATGCATCAAATCCTGAAAGTACAGAAACACAAATTTCTATGTCATTATCATGAACAATAACATATGCATTAAAGAAAAACCACACGTACGTTTTATTTGACCTAGACTTTTAAAATAAACCTCGATTCTGAATTGTCAACGAGAGTTTTCAAATTACAATAATCTCTTATTGAAGAAGTTGATTTCACTTCCGTCTTTGATGCCAGAAAATATAGATTACAAAATGCCGAGTTCCTCGAATGCTTAAATTATTGTGGCAGTGCGCAAGTTAACCTATAGAGTATATTTCACGTTTTAGAGATATAACTGAAACTGACGCTTCACTATCGCACACAGTAACGTTTTAATGGCTGCGATTCCTTTAATTCGGCAACCCCATCAAAACACTAGTATCAACCTATGCTACTTCACTCACTATCATCCTAACAACCAAAGGCTTTGGCGTTGTATTTTGTTCGGGTAGAATGGAAATATAAATCATACTATGTTTTCAATGAATAGCTAGTGTACCTGTAGAATTAACTGCACTAGATTTAACATTGGAAGCTTACACATGGCGTTTGCTTCCACATTCTGTGTTTGCATCTACACATAACATAGCTCCACATTGAAAACACAGAATGAGTATCTCTTCATACAACTGCTAATTAAACATGACCAATCTGTTATGTTTAGGTATTCCATACATCCTAGCCCTGTCTGTTCATCTGTTTTCTAGGGACGCAGGCTAAGGGAGAATTCTGCATTGCCATGAATGGTGAAGATAAGTTTACTGGCGAACAAGGGGTGTTGGCCGTGGCCACGTGTTGTTCACTTGATGGTCATGGTGGGGCTATCATCGGTTAGAGTCGGTGCTTTCACATTCCTGTGTTTCACTCATACTAAAGAAAGCAGCAATAAACGCACGTTTTTATCTTCTCACTTTATTTTTTTATATGAAGCAATATATTGTCCCTAATATAAATAAAAACATATAAAGTGAGGTAATTACTTGAATATGGTGTGAATCAGAACGTGTTTTATAGTTTTTTTGGTCAGAATATAACCATTTTTCACAATCTGATGTTTACATCTGTAAACGGAGACGTTGACGGATTTTGTCTTTTGATATATTCTTTAGAAACTTTACATGTAACTTTATGTAACTTCTGTAGACTGTCATCTACAGAAGATGAATATCATTTCGTACATATACTCATGTGTAATAAATACCAAGCATTGCGACGTACATTTTATGAAATTAATGTGATTGTGCTATCAACAAATGCAACCATCTTAAAACATGTAACCTGGGCCAATGGTCTCTAAGTTTTTGAATAAGCTATGACAACATACATGTGGAATACAGTTTTACTAAACACATCATTTCATACATACCAAACGATAACATAATATTAATGTCCACTCGAACTCCGACCATTTAGCAATGCACATCAGCAGGGTTCCTGTTGAAAAATAAATAACGGCTCACTCCATCGACGCGGTCCATCATAGTTAGGCTCAGATTGTTTCAGTCACCCTCGCAACACCACGTAAGAATATATTAGCACTGACATAATTAATTTAATTTTCTGTGGGTCCTTCATCTAAATTTCATAACCTCCTGATGTCACTCCCCTATTTATCATTTAACATCGCATAGGCAATATCTCTGCCATTTTGCGCAATTTTATATAGAGACTGTTGCAACATGATTAATGTTACAGAATTCCATCATCGTAATCAAATGCATCAACGTGGTCCATCATGGTGAGGCTCAGAATGTTTCAGCCACCCTCGCAACACCACGCAAGAATAAACAATGAATATTTAAACAAATGACACATAACACCCTACACCTGTGTATTCACATCTTCTCGAGGCAAGGGAGTTAACTGACCATATAAGTCCAATTTCCACCCTTGCCAAACTAGGCTGGAATTTCTGGTCTCGATCGTAGCGCCACCAGTAGTTATTACGAGTTATGTCTCTTCTATGCCCCTCCTATTTACCGCTCCCATTTACCAATGAGATTCCACCTCTTATATCACTTACATTTGCTTCAAATAAAATGGCGTCGCCCAGTGAAGACGATCTGATCGATAATCAAGATCTATATTGTAATAAAACGGGCCTTACTTCGAGAAGTGCATCAGATCATGTGAGCGCCTTGAGTAAAAACGTGAAAAGATTTAGAAAATATCTGTTGACGATAAGCTGTCGGTACACATGCTTTGCAAATCCTGCATTCGACCGAAATCTGCACGGCAGTTTACGAACACGATGTCGATTTCGTTACGCGATTTTGATTGGACTATGCATCTGTAGACTCGTTAGTCCAGCCAAACAATAACTCCATAATTACAGCCTAGTTCGGCTGGCTCGGCCGGATAGTGTATTTGTTGTCATCCACTTGATGCTCAGTTGATTTTGTTACAGGTTGGTATTTGTTGTTTAACGCCGCACTCAGCAATATTTCCAGGTATATGACGGCAGCCTGTCCATGATCGAGGGTTGACAAGACAATCCAGTGATGGACATCATGGGCATCGTTCTACGCAATTGGGATATGATGACATGCATCAAACCAAGTCAGCCAGCCTGGCCAACTGATCCCATTACTCACTCTCACGACAAGTATAGTCGCCTTTTACGGCAAGCATGGGTTGCTGAAGACCTATTCTAACCCGAATCTTCATGGGTATTGTTACAGGTATAATGCCAAAAATCTTTATAACGTTCACCCATGCCTCTGAGGATGTATAGGGTATATAGCAACCAGTAGTTCCAATTTGGCATTCAATCTAAACTTAGATTGTAAACATGCGTTGCCCAAAACATCGATCAAATGATTAACCGAAAATACGTTTTTTGCTTAATAACTTGCACAGTGGATTTATCAAAAGTAAGTGTTTGTATATGAAGGTTTACTAAAGCAGACGGAATTCGTCCATATCTGGGCGTTAATGCCTACGATTCATCGGTTTTCCTACGTAAAAGATCAGAAGCGAGCATTCCGTTACGTGTGAACCACCTGACAGAAACGTACATGATCAGTTTGGAAACGAATACGAGTTATAATATCCCGAAACACTATATATATTTTAAAATATAAGACACGTGACACCCAACAAGTTTCTTTGTACAGCTGCTGATATATGGGATATTGTTTGTTTATGTGCATATTGACGGATACATTCCTCGAACAAGGTTCCTGATATACTGCCTGATATTATACGCAGAACCTTTCTTGGTTGTAAATACGATATTTCCATTTTGCTTTCATTCATTTGTTGCAGCATTGAACAGAATCATTCTGGTTCCGTTAGGTTATCGATGGGAAGGAAGTTCTTCGAGGCGCGACAGACAACACTTAGTCGTTAATTTATTTCCAGAAGCCTTTTTGCTTTTTAGGCGTGTATATGTTCAAAGAGCGTCATGTAACTCTTTCTCCAAAGCTAGTTGATCAGTGTTAAAGCTTTCAAACAGTTTTAAGGTAGACATGTGTGGGATGTTTCTAAATTTGACGCATAAATGACACAAATTACGTCCAATGCAATTCCTTATTTTGACTTGTACCACATGGTCCCGTCTTTGTTTTCCGTTGAACAAGTACAATTTACTTGTTATTGCATGTCTTGCTGACGGGTACTACCGGTGGGGCAGGATACGCTTACCTTGTATTATCATTTTTTATAGTGATTCATAAACACATGCTTATGATTAAGTCGGAATCGCAAATCGACTCTGACTACATCATAAGCATGACTCTATGAATCACTATCAAACAGTCATGATACCAGGTGCGAAAAGGTGAGCGTATCCTGCCCCACCTATAGCACCCGTCACAAACTCATGTAAAGGCAAGTCAATTGTTCACCTGCAAAAACGGGAACATATGGCACAAGTCAAAATAGGGAATAGTGTCGGATATCCTTTTTGTCACTGATGCGTCAAATTTGGAAATGTCAAACACCTGTCTCACCATAAAACCTTTTGGAAGCTTTACTGAAGCCTTGAAAGTAAAGTTGTAACCCTGATTACTCAACCTTTGAGAAAAAGCCGTATGACGCTCTTAAGATTCTTCTAAGAAAGAGCAGGCTCTAGTATCAGCCAATTACGAAACAGCAGTCCGTTAGTGGGGCCTGCCTAATTTATTTCGGTTTATGGAAACATAAATGCTAAAATACTGCTTGGCTAAACAATCAAATGCCTCAGAATCACTTCCGATTTATTTTTTGAATCTTAATCTTAATCTAAAGGTAAAATATTTCGGTATACCTGCTACCAGGTGTGCTTGTATCTAAATGATTCATGACATGTACAATGTATATTCAATGGTATTCACTGCAGCCACAAAACAGTGTTGGTACATGAATATTAGACGTTTGGCGGCACTGAGAAAAGGCGATCATATGCCGGATTCCATTTTTGCATGTAATGCTAACACCTGTATAGTTTGACAAGATCGCACCATATATCTAGTGTAATGCGTCATTATAAAATGGCTGTCTACAATCAGGTGATCTGTCCAACATGTCAAAAACGAGATCAAAACCTTATCTGTACTATCACACCAGTGAAGGCACATTCTTCTTCACACAGTAGTGAGATTTGCTGATATACAGTTATGAGTCCCCGTGACTACCTTGTTCTGCTGATAGTAGTAATAAAATCGGTGTTTGCACTCGAATTATTGAAAAACCCAGGATTTGAGAGTCTGGACCTCTCTGACAACTGGGGAGGATCTGGAATCAACCTCGACATAATCACAGACGACGTCCATGGGGGCAGCCGTGCCCTGAAAGTTACTGGCAGGTAGGTAGATCAGTGTGTATGGGTTTATGCCGCTTTTAGCAATTAGCGATATCACACCTGAAATGTGCTTCACGTTTGACAGTAACCTCATAATGTCAAACTGCTTTCAGCTGTAAATTGTATATGTTTTATAAGTAATCAACAGATGCTGGATGGTAATCGATTGTCCTAAATTGGCACACATCATTGTCAATGACCCAGGTTCCATATGGCACATATGAAACAGTAGATTTTCAAGATGAAGGTCATCTCGTATGGCCACCATCAGAGTCTAAAACTAACTGACTCTGTGACCTTGACACCATTGACGTCGCAGCCGACGTTAAAGGTCCGTCAAAATGACACCTTGAACTGAATACTTTCCTCACTCAGTGATAAATCTACAAATTTAACTACCTGAGTCCTTGGCGCGCAAATGAAAACCCGATGTTTTCAAAGGCCAACAAGAGGTTTTTTAACTACTTTGTTATGAATTCGACCAGCTTCATATGTAACTAATCCATCCACATGAATGTCAACCATGAACCACTGTATCACAATTTATACAAGATTACTATCACCCTTGCCTATTAAGCAGTTTAGTTGATTTAATATCGAAATACACTTCTCCACCTTTGATAGAGATATTTCCTAACACAAAATGTTTCTCATATATCATGTGTACATTTAAATATATGACATATCTGATTGTCCCTATCAAAAGTGGAACAGTACATGTATACCTACATAACTATGCCCCTTATGCGATCCTTACCCGAGTGTTTTTTTCTATATTACCCATAAATGTTATTGTTCCAGTTGAAGTAAAGTTTTAATGAAGTGTCAGATTATTTCAGTATTTTTCATTCTGCTATTTTCTTAGAAAGACTTGGGATGCAGGTCCGGGCCAGGTTATTCCTCTGAAGCCTGGTGGTCGCTACGCCTACAGGACCAGTATCAAGCAGTTGAACGACCACCCCGGGGCCATGTTTCAGACCATGAAGATGAACATTGCATATACCTGGTCGGATGATGGTGTGTACAGTCGTAAAGCAAATACAGTCAACAGTCAAACTCGTTTTGCGCTTGCGCCTTGCTTTGATCATCACTAACACAGAATACACCATGGTGATAATTAATTGATAACTGTTAAAACTATTCCTAAAGATGTTGCTCGGTTCCTAATTTATACATATCTCGCTGGCCTACATGGGTCTTTCTTATACATGTACATCGCAGCTTTCTCAGTCATTTTGGATGACACCTTCCATTTCAGTTATTTGTTAATATCACCAACGGCTTTTTGATGCCGACGCTCAATACCCATTGCAGATATCTCAAATTCTGACTCTGTTGAAGATGGTGGCTTTCGACATTACTTTCTTATGAAAGTATAATGCAGGTCTCAGACGTTTACCACTCCGGGAACGGGTACGGGATTCGAACCCACAATCATAGGTTTCTGACGTGCTAAGGGACGCAACTCTGCACAGCGAATCACCCGTGCCCCCGTGCCCCCATAGTTCATAGTCGATTGTACGACTACGACTACATCTTGAGCATGTGTTTATGAATCACTATGAAATTGTTATGATACCTTGTGTGCGCGAAAAAGTGAGCGTATCCTGTCCCACCGGTGCCACCCGATACAAACACATGCAAAAGCAAGTCAAGACACCTGTAAAAACACGGTAACAAATGGTCTAATTAGGGAATAGCATCGGACATTTTTTTTTTCACTGATGCGTCGAATTTGGTATGTCCCCTACAAGCCTTCCCGAGGCCATGAATTGTTATCAAACAACTTCTGAGCAAGAATTGAATGACGCCTTTTGATATCTTGGGAGAAAGAGCATGCTGGATTGTACCTCAAAAGTTGTGGAATGTAGACACCAAAGGCTGGGGCTGCAGCTGCACGAATTTTCGAAAGTAATTTGTACTGTTACCATTGCCTATTAAAAGTACTTAATTATAAAACAGTTTAGATTAAAGATCACTGTTTGTTTTCTTTTAAGAAAGTTCTGCCATGATAGAGATATATTGACGATCTGCTGGATATACATATTTCCGGGCACGAAGCATGGCAAAAACCATACCATGACAGCACATGGTAAACATGAATCTCTGAAATGCTGACATATTTTCAAAGATAACATTGAATTTGAAGTTACGGGATAATAACTTAGAGGAAACACAATAGGGTCGCCACACAATATGGTCGGTGGGACGTAAGCATTATGTGATAATGCCTTAGTCTAAAATCTGTTCTACTTCCAGGCAAAACCGACTACTCTGGCATTGGTCAGCATCCTTACGTTAAGTCTTCAAGTGGATGGTTTTCTTTGAACGGAAATTTCACCGCCCCTCTAAGAAGTAAGTCAGCCCAAAATCATGAGATTCTGCCATTCCTGTATTCTTTCAGATCACAGCTTTTCACCTTATTCAACACGTTCAAAAATATGCGGGTTTATAATTTGAAATTCAATCTGTTACCTCTTGAACTAATTGCCCTAATGTATAACACATCATGTTCCAAACTATCAACAAAACTGTCATTATTTACTTGAACATTAAGTGCTTTGCTTCAAACTATTGGCGGTCGGGTAGACTAGTTGGTTAAAGCTTTAGTTCGTCACGCCGAAGACCCGGGTTCGATTCTCGACATGGGTACAATGTGTGAAGCCCATTTCTGGTGTCCCCCGCCGTGGTATTGCTGGAATATTGCTAAAAGCGGTGTAAAACCATAATCACTCACTCACTCACTCACTCACTCACTCACTCAAACAATTGTAGTAATCATTACGAAATATAAATGAGTTACTGACAAGCCACACAGGCAATATACGTTTAACAAATATCTCAACCAACAGATATGAGCAGGGCCTACATACATTTCCAAGGCCCAGTTCCTGGCATAGACTTCCTCATTGATGACACGTCACTTGTGGAAGTGGATGAGGATCCTAACTGGAAGGCCGAGGCAGATGCCAGGATTCAGAAGATTCGGAAAAACGTCATTAAAGTCAAGTAAAGTATTGATACATAAAGGAAACAACACTTTTTAACAACACTATTTCAAAGAACCAATGTTGTACGAAAAACAGTGCGAAGAGGCCCGGTGAGAGTAGCCCCCATAGCCGACTAACCTAGCCACCGGGTGGTCAGGCACCGTGTCGTAGCTGACATCTCACATTGGGCGTTGTTTTCAGGCAGTGGTTTGTGGCGGTCGGGTTCACCTTTCCGCAAACATCTTGTATCAATACTATTTTATTGTGATTCATAAATCGTAACTTATGAACACATGCTTATGATATAGTCAGAATCGAATAAGGGACGCTGCATTTATTTCAGCAGATATTTCTTATGATTATTGAAAGGGTTTTACGCTTTATTTAACTGATGAGGACTCGATTATTTACAGGCCACCGTGATATATTTGGAATACAACCTACTGTGACGTTAAACTCATGAGCAAAACTGTGAAATGCTGTGAAATGTATCCTAATCCATTTCTTATGTCACTGTCCTGTGTTTCAGAGTTACCCACTCATCATCTTTCAACCCCGCTGATATTGAAATTAAGGTTTGACATACACATTCAATTTATCTGTACAATGAATTTTATATTTCCCATTAACTAATAAGTACGGGTTTTACCTGTTTTCAACATTCGCTGTTTTTAGTGGTTGTTCTTTTTGTAGAATACATTGAACCCCATGTCTTCTGTCGACAGATAGATCACAAGCGTCACCTTTTCGGCTTTGGGTCTATGGTAAAGGAGGCATTTATGACAAACGACGACTATAAAGATTATCAAAACTTTGTCTACAAGATGTTTAACTGGGTGACAGCTGCATCTTTTAAATGGAAGTTTAACAGAGGCACAAGGGTATTTATCTCTGTCAATGCAGCTTTGTCCTCGTAACCTTAAATAGTTTGAAAGGAATCTGTATGTGCAATACACATTCTATAGTGGACTTGTTTACTAGAATGAGTTTGCAATGTTACTAATAAATATTTCTCAGCTGGGTAGCTAAAAGAACAATTTATTGATTTAAAATAACGCATCAACGTATATTTATGTAAACATTCATCAGATATAAGTTTAACAATAATGATAAAAACTGCTACTTAAAACACGGGCTTTAAGCCACAAGCAAACTGAGCTGGACCACCCAGCTGAGGATCACGCGACTAACAGTATCCCTGCTTTCTGCATGGTGATTTCAGCAGGAGTCATCACCTTAGATACTGGTGATTGACAGTACTAGCCAACATAGATGCAACTTACAACACTTGTTAAGCATAAGCACACTGATTATGATATCACATCACGTCAGCTATAATAAGTAATAAATATTATATTCTGATTTAAATTAAGTATTCATATTTCACCAATTATACAACAAAGGAACGAATAAATTCATCTAGTTTTGCGCTGGAAAGACCTCTAAATGAATATTTATGTTATATCATATTGTAGGACAAACCCGACTACAAATATGCAACAGATGGTGTAAAGGTCATGAAGGAACGTGGGTATGTATTTTGTGAGTGTCATTTATATTCATACATGCATGGGGGCGGTTGGCTCGCCTAGTGGTTAAAGCGTTCGCTCGTCACGCCGAAGACCCGGGTTCGATTCCCGACATGGGTACAATGTGTGAAGCCCATTGCTGGTGTCCCCCGCCGTGATATTGCTAGAATATTGCTTAAAGCGGCGTAAAACCATTCTCACTCACTCATACATGCATGTGTATTTTCAAAGAATAAATCCCAAGATGATCGGAGCAATCTCTCCTCAAGCTCATATATTAACTGACGTAAACGTGTCTTATCAATTTCTCTCCACGTTTTCAGTATGAAGGTGAGAGGTCACAATATGTTCTGGGGAGTACCAGGGCACTCTCCAGCGTGGGTTGAAGCTTTGAACGGAACAATGCTGAAGGCTACCATCGAAAAACGCCTCAATTATATAACGGGCATAACCAAAGGACAGTGAGTATGATACATTGTAATAATGTGACTGTATAAAAGTGAAGGTAACAGGAGTATTATTGATAAACAAAATGCTCTAAGCTTGTAAAATTCTTTGAATTTGTAACGGCATTAATGTTTCAAATGTACACTGCGCCTAACACAATTTGCAGTTATATTTGATTTAATACTTGAAATTATGTAATTAAGAAATTACTGGTCTCCGGTTTAAAGATCTATGTGATATAACGACTTCACAGGTGGCGAGGTGTTATGAATGTATTGATAAACATACGTGTGCGTTGTTCAGAGGCCGTCTTCGTATGACATGAGTATTGCTGTGGGGTGTCAGGCAATAAACAAACACTTTCTTTTAATGCAACTTGGGGGCAGGGGTGGCCCAGTCGAGACCTGCATCACTTCGGGCTTTCCTCCCACATTAAGCTGACACGCCGTGATATAATGGGAATACGGTTAAAAGCGGCGTTAAACCCAACTCACTCACTCACTCACTCACTCACTCACACTTATGCAACTTGTGTGAGTTGGGACTGTACCGGTAGGTCAAGACATGATTACCCTTTTCGCGAACACCTGCTGTCATCACTGATTTTCAGTTATCCATTCATATAATTTTCACTGCTATTTTACGTTTTACGCGCAAAGTGATCTGTTTCGGCAGATAATCGAGAATTGCCGTTTGACGCATCGGTGACAAGAATAATGTCCGATGCTGGTCCCTGTTGTGACTTGTACCATATGTTGCCGTGCTTTTCCAGATGAACAATTGACTTGCCTTTGCATGTTTTTGTGATAGGTGCCACTAGTTGTGCAGGATAGGCTCACCTTTTCGCGACCACCTGGTATCATTACTGACAGTGATCAGTAAACACATGTTCATGATATGGTCGGAATCGTACAATCGACTGAGCTTTTGGCAGAATATTTCTTACGTACATGGAAAGGGTTTTATCGCTTTTACTTTTCTATACATTTAGATTTGATTTCAGATTACAACACTGGGACGTGAATAACGAACTGCTCCACGGTCAACTGTACGAGGAAAAGACAGGTGATCCTCACTACTCGGAGAAGATTTACGACATGGTCCACAAAGCTGATCCCGTTCCCAAGCTCTTCCTCAACGACTATGACGTCGTTGCTGTGGGAGCTGTTACGGACGTATGTCGTCACTACTTTCATAAATACATTATGAGATAGGTAGTTTCAAGGTCAGTGTTTCATCGTTCCTCTTGATCTTGACATATTGACCTTCCGTTGTTGTAGCAGCTGAGGTGGTCTAGTTGTTATAGCGTTCACTCGTAACGCCGCAGTTCCTGGATCGTTTCCCCACACAGGCAGTATTGCTGGAATAGTATTAACAGTGACGTAAAACGATACTCACGCACTTATGGTAGAAGCTCTCACTGGGAAACACAACTTTCTTCAATGTTGGAGTTCTGTCCACATTAAACTTCCATCTTCTGGTCATTTTTATCAGTCAGCTCGTGTGACTGACAGTTAAATAGTATTTCCGGACCACAACTCGGAAAAATATGAGAACACTTGGTATCAACTTCTATGATATTTTTCCAGGATAAATAAGGGGTTCATGACTCCTGTATGACATATGCATGGTATGGTTTCTTTACAGTCATATGTCGAGCAGGCAAAGGCTTTCAAAAAAGCTAATGTTGGACTAGGCGGCATGGGTCTTCAGAGTCATTTCAGACCATACACACGCCCAGACCCAACGCTATTGAAAGTAAGTTCCACGATCTCTCTAAACTTGTCGAAATATCATGGAAGGTAACTGTTTAGTGTTTGAGATCTTTGTCATTGCGCCCGCCCCACCATTAAATGATATCACTCATGGTTTTTCACTTCTTTTTGTGTTTCAAACACTGACTGTTCGTTTTTTAAAACAGTTTTGTAAACCATGTTATTGACTAAAAATGCCCATAGTTACATCACTCAAATGTTCACCAAAATATACTCTGCTTCTGTGGGTTACAGATATACTTCTTATTGATTGATTCATTTATTGTAACACAACCACCCAATGCTATAAACATTAGTAACACAATACTACAGACTCGTTTGGACAAACTGGCATCTGTTGGACTGCCTCTGTGGATCACCGAGTTAGACCTGGTGCACCATGACGACAATGTTCGGGCGGACTGGTACGAACGGGCTCTCAGAACCTACTTCAGTCATCCAGCAGTGGAGGGCGTCATATTCTGGGGATTCTGGGATCATGACATGTCAAGTCCTCTTTCATCACTCGTCAGTGGATATAACTTCTTTGTAAGCTGAATTTTTAATAAGGAATGTATTGATTTTATTATGGGTATTCGAAGTATTGATAATGAATTGACATCTTCTCCCAGTAACTCTCGGTCTCTGTTGGTTGTGCTCGAGTACGTTTGATATTCAGAGTGACAAGCCCTACGTCAAAGAATCGCGTACCCGAGCATTGGAGATACATAACCAACATAATCACTTCTCTAACGTGTGTTTTGGACGCGAAACTGTTCAGTGTCTGCATACATTTTAAAATGTCAATTGTGTTGCATTTGGGTACTCAGAAGTCAGAAATAGGTACTCGAGGCAAATCCCTTAAAAAGCTGCGACATGTTTCACGTTGAAAGTAAAAAAAGCGACAAAATACATTCCATAATCATAAGAAATCTCTGCTTAAAGCAGAGTCCACTATACAATTCCGTCCATATCACAAGCATGTGTTTATGAAGCAAATATCAAATATCAAACCAGGTGTTCGTGAAATGGTGAGCGTATCCTGTCGACAATCTTTGTTCAAATAGCAGGCATGTGATCACACCAGTCAATAAGACAGCCCCACTCCATCACAGAAAACTTCCAATCGCCCACAGCCACTAGTACTGTAAATATATTGCAACTCAATAAAATTGAACTGCCATTCACTCTTCTTCACTATTATTGCAGTTGAACGCTGCCGGGCAACGGTACCTGGATCTTGTGATGAAAGAATGGTCAACACATGTAGCTAAGAATCTCTCAGATGGATCGTCCTTCTCCGTGAATGGCTTCCAGGGAGACTATGACATTGTAGTCAACTACAAGGGGAAGCCCGTTGTGTACCAGGAATTCCACCTGGGGAAGGCAGATGCCACACTCAACCTGGACATCAGTGGCGATGGCCGTAAGAAAACTGAGTTCCTTTTTGTATGTTTAAAGATTATATATACAAAAGGACCATATTTAATATCAACTTGACACATTACGTTAAGCGATACAGTGGTGCTTCGCAGGAACTTGCGAGAACCACACACTGTTACTCGTACTGAAGGTACTGGAGCCATCCAATAGCTGTAAGGTATGTCGTGGGATAATATAGTACGTCTTTAAGGTGCTTCTCCTATTCATAAGCAGGAAGATACGTCGTGATATAATATACCATGTCATTGATATGAGGGGCTGCCACTATTCAACAAAATGGATTATATGATTTACGCCATTAGTTACTTGGTATATAATAACGTATATTAATATGTGTTTACAAGCACATTGAAACATTGTTGGAAGAAGTAATAAATATCTGCCTTAATATCTGACAAGGCGTATCAAAGTCATTCTTCTGACGTTTACATATTGAAATCATCCAAATCCCCTAAAGGCAAGGAATTAAACTATGAACAGATAGGCAAATTGGAATGTTTTGGTCTCTGTTATAAGTTGATGACTGAATAAGTTTTGAGGGAGCGTGGTTCGAACCCGCACAATCAGATGAGTTAGCATTTAAATATTTACAAAGACTGATCCATTAATGAATGTGGAGGAAAATGCCTTATTCATTTGGTTACCACTACATCCACGATAATCTGTGTAAGCTTGATAGTCTTTGCTCATAATAGTCTACCAACAAGTACACGTTATGTGTAGATGACATTAAATATAAAACGTCAATGCAAGAGAATAAAAGGCAAACTAGCTGTGACAATAATATGAATGGACCACAGAAAATCAGTGATGACACCAGGTGTTTTCGAAAAGGGTAAGCATGTCCTGCCCTAACGGTAGCACCCGCCAATAAATGTTCTTCTGAAATTATGTCGAAATTTAACATATATGATGAGGCAATGGAAAGCATGTAACATCCCCAAAGTTGAAATGTTGAAATTACACAGCCTAAATATTGCAAATGTTAAATATATTAACTCCCTCGCCCATATCATTGCACATATTTAAACCTGTTGTTCTTAACACTGAACCTTACACTTTCCAGACCAGGTTACTCTTCCAACAACGGTTGATCCATTTGTCCACGTTACCCATCCAGTGCAAGTTTCCCATAACAACGAGCACGTTATTGGTCACATGGCATCGAGAGCACACAACACCGACATCCAATGTGTTACGCGCTGGTCGGGGTTTTCAGAAGTTGGTGATGACAAGAAATGTTATGCTTACTGCCAGGGAGATGAGGTTATGACAGGCTGCTCCAGTTATCATAAGGTACAGTTTCTGATTTAATGTTCGCTGGCTAAAACAAATACATTTTCACCCTACACCGCACATGTTGCACAATATAAACTTAGTGCTTCTTCCTGACATGCTATGAGGGACTTCTTGATACTCCCCGTTAACCTCAGTTGTAGTGAGTGAGTAAGTGAGTATGATTTTACGCCGCTTTTAGCAATATTCCAGCAATGCCACGACGGGGGACACCAGAAATGGGCTTCACACATTGTACCCATGTCGGGGTTCCAACCCGGGTCTTCGGCGTGACGAGCGAACGCTTTAACCACTAGGCTACCCGACCGCCCCTAACCACAGTTGTAAGGGAATGTTGCACAACATATAACACCCTACCCCAATTGCTCAAATTAAATATTCTAACTGTTTGAAACAATATTTCATTATGGAAACGGATTTGTCGCTTTTATTGTACAGAATGGGGAATGGTATCGTGATGGTGATCAGTTTGAGACCCACAATGGCCGCATAGCTTGCAAGGCTGTTAATGGTTTCAGATCAACGAGCGGTGGGTACATTTAGATGTTTCATATTCATTTCAGTCCATATGACTTTTATCGACAATTGTCCACGAATATTCAGATCGTGTTTAAAATACGATGTCATCAAACTGCGATAATGAAGTAAATGGCAACGAAACATAAATGAGAATCACTTGGCGCCTTTCTTTCTTACACCAGATACGATGTTTTTTTGTTGTTTAACGCCGCACTCAGCAATATTCCAAATATGTGACAGCAATCTGTAAATAATCGAGTCTGGGCTAGTTAATCCAGTGATTGACATCATGCGACTCGATCTACGCAGTTGGGATGTGATGACATGCATCAACTAAATCAGCGAGCCTGACCACCCGATGCCGTTAGTTGCCTCTTAAGACAAACATAGGTTGCTAAAGACAAATTTTAACCCGGACATTGTGAAAAATGGCATCATATCTCCAAGTGATATGTATCTCAGCTCTTTATGCACGTGTTTTCAAAACACACCACGTCCATTACTCCCATCATCACTTTAATCCACCAGAAACATAATATACAATGCACATATTTAATGACTGATGCTTAAAATCATTTAGCTTAAAATACTGACTTTCAAAGAAAATAGGTGCACAATTTAATTCACCTTGTGACATCTCTTTGTGTGTGCATGTAATGGTTGTCACAAACTGAATCGGGTTATTCATCTGTCAATTAAAGACGCTGATTGATCGATTCAAGGTGCAAAATGTACAAGCTTGATGCATGACTTATTTTTGTGACGAATGCCACCGGTAGGGCAGGATACGTTTACCGCTTTGCCAAACCCTGAAATCATCAGTATTCATCACCCTCACATTAGTGATTCTTTAACACCTGCTTATGATGTAGTCGGAATCGTATAGTGAACTCTGCTTTTAGTAGCGATTTCTTATAATTTATATGGAAAGTCTTGTGTCTTTTTATTAAAACAAATAATATGTTTAATCCAAGACATTTTGCAAATAAAATAGCACTGCATATTAGGAGTAGGAAAGGTTACTTTCCACCTGCATCACGGAATGTTTTGAAAACCTGTCTGACCAATTTTTCATAAATATCTAATCGTAACCAGGTCTCCAGGCTGTTGCACGATGCTGTAAGACGAAGAACATCATGTGTACCTACAGAGGATCAGGACCATCTGCCAAGTCTGTGGATGCAAGAGTGGAAACAACTTGTCAGCATAATGAAATAGCAACAGGTATGAGTAAGAATCCTTCAGAGTATACTCACAAGACAAATGTCTGATAATAGCCAATAGGCTTTCCCGTTGACTTGACTGCCATGAATCAACAGTGAAATTTTAGTTGTGCAATCTTGAACAAGATGAAGAAATAAATGACTATCAGCTCGGTAGATTTTACTTGCATGTGATCTTTAGATGTTAGTCAAATGTAGAAAAAATAAAATTTACTTAACATTTGGCAGATTGTAACTCGGTAATAATTTAGAATTCTGAAACTATGCTTTTTCCCTACAATACACTGCATATGAACATACCAAATACCATGTGCACATGGAAAATAGTGTAACTTTCACCAAAGGATTCATCGAATTAAACTTGTTATTGAAACTTTAAAAAGATAATTTATAGAATTTTCCGTGTTCATATTGTGTAGAGTCCAGAATGTCAAATTTGCCAGTGACGCGAGATCGTAGGGCCAGTGTGTGTATGTTATACAGCATCTAATGAATTAGTTGTTTTCTAGGTTGTACATCGTGGACATGGGATTCAGAAATGTTCGGAGCCTTTCCATCATTAAATCACAAGGGATGCGTTGCCTCAAATGAAGGCACCACTGTAGGTAAGTAAACTGCGTGTGTTGATATTTATTAACTACAAATGTTATAACTTTAAATATAAACAGTAAATCGGTCCAGTTGGACTGCTTCAGTCTTAAAAAAGCTTAAACTCAAAGACGTTAAGATATATCATGTGAATTTTACATATATTTGTAAAAGTAAATGGTCCTACAAGAATTGTTAAAGTGATGTTTTCCCATTGTGTTCTCAAGCTCTGCAGCAGAATCAACTTTTTGTTTATGGTTCCTCTTTTAATACACAGGTACATGGTCTTACGCTGCCTGTTGTACTGCCCCTAAGCTTGCATGTAAGACAAAGGTATCAAAGCCCAGCGGACTTCAGAAGGGAGCAAAGACTGTGGTATCCTGTGATAAGGGAACAGTGATGTTAGGCTGTAGCGTGAGGGCAAACTATGGAAGATCAGCAGGCGCATTCATTGGAGGTAATGCTTTTGGCAGCTTATAGCAACTGTTGTTCTCCGAAAAGTCAATTATTGAAAATAACATACATAATTATATACATGTAAGACGTAAGTTAGATCTACGTTGTGTAGTTTCTAGCCACATCGTACAGATAAAACATAACTTAGATCTACGTTGTGTTGTTTCTAGCCACATCGTACAGATAGAACGTAACTTAGATCTACGTTGTGTTGTTTCTAGCCACATCGTACAGATAGAACGTAACTTAGATCTACGTTGTGTAGTTTCTAGCCACATCGTACAGATAAAACATAACTTGGATCTACGTTGTGTTGTTTCTAGCCACATCGTACAGATAGAACGTAACTTAGATCTACGTTGTGTTGTTTCTAGCCACATCGTACAGATAGAACGTAACTTAGATCTACGTTGTGTAGTTTCTAGCCACATCGTACAGATAGAACGTAACTTAGATCTACGCTGTGTAGTTTCTAGCCACATCGTACAGATAAAACGTAACTTAGATCTACGCTGTGTAGTTGCTAGCCACATCGTACAGATAAAACGTAACTTAGATCTACGTTGTGTTGTTTTGGACCACAGTTGTTTATTAACCTCCTTGTGCTCGTTCCCTGTATTCCACAGGTTCACAGCCAGAATGGTGCACTGCTGTGAATGGTCAAGATAAAGTTACTGGCGAAGAAGGTGTATTGGCTGTTGCTATATGCTGTTCACTTGATAGTCAGGGGGGTGCTATCATCGGTTAGATCCAGTCAAATTAAATGTATAAAATATGTGACCGTTGTTCTTATATAATGAGACAATATACTTACTTGGTACTCTGTCATGTTTTGCTGTTTGTTTTTTATATGGACTGTCTGAGATATTGCATCATTATATTTAAGTAGAAGGCGGTGTTCAAGAGTGAAGCTCAGCTGGCAGCTCACATAATCTGCCTAAGTTGTCAACATCAACTGACCCATATCTGAAGTGATAACAGTGATTGAGCGAGGAGGTTGGGTTTAACGCCTCTTTGAGAAGTATTTGTGGGAGAAAAAGCCGAAGTGGTGCATATCTGAGACGTTTTGCCCTTTGCTGACAAAGAAGTATAATCAGGGAGAATCTGGAATTCGAACCCCGATCACGTTTCTGGCACGCCTATAAGGAAAGAAACTCTGCTCCTTTGACAACTGGTCCACCCGTGTCCCTGATCACAACATTCTAAGATGAGTCAGTGATGCCCTTTCAATTTCTGAGAAACAAACATTTGTCAGCGCGGAAATTGCTGTAACATATCTACATGTCGGTCATGAATTCTATACGATTCAAAAAAGGAATGCAATACGGATATTTTTGGCCATAAAAGCAAGATGAGCGGATCAAGAGGTGCAAAATGAAGAGGTTTAATGTGTTATTGTGTCAGTGACAGATTTCTAGGATCAAAATGATCACAACAAGGGAATGCAAACCATTAGTCGGGAAACACGTACGATTCGGAAAAAACGGTACTAAAGTGCAGGGTTTTTGATTGCCTGGCAGTGACAGCTCAACAACATGCTAAGATTACAGGAAGGGGAATCCCGATCAGGTGTAGCCAGGGTTTACAATGTAGCGCCCAGAACCATCATACGGCCATGAGATCGGTTTTAAACAGCATGGGTCAACACGCGATCGGCCAAGGTCGGCTGACCTTCACCTTTTCCTATGTACCGATAACTGAGATGACTACAATCACCAAGTGTTCTCTCCACAACATTTTGGCTTAATTCCTTGTACGTTTCACCGTATAAATGGATTTTCCTACCTCACATAAATCTGTGTTTTTCGGTTCTTTTTTTTTTAAGAGTATATTATCATGTGACCCTTATTTAAAATGTCACTCCTTATGGCCACTGCAAACGTTGGATTTTAAAAACTGCACTATTTTTTATTTCTGTTTCATTCACGCGCAGTGCTATCAATTTGTGTTATTTTTTGGTTAAATTATTGGGATTTAAACATTCATGTGCGTATTCTTTATGATTCATGTTTAAGTTTTACAGAAATCATTCTTTGCAACGTGTCAGTCATTGATACATTTATGTCTGGAAGCACTTATGATGGCAACAAATCTGACAATTGAGTGTTTTAGTTTGTAACATGAGTAGTTTTAATAATACTGAAATTTTTTATCTTTTGATTTTTATTCGGATTGTCACCTTAACACTTATAAGTATCATTTTTACAATGAATGTGCTCCCAGATTTCCTAAGGGTTGTGTACGCTCATGAAGCAATCAGATCCCGAATTGTGGCCCGGGGAATGTTCACTCACTCTGCCTGCAGTGGTTGTACCAACTGTTCTGTGGTTGTTGCTGGCTTGCCCGCAGTCGTTGATCCGGGGCATCCCATAAATGATGTTGTGATTCCTGGAAAGACTGTCAGTCTTGCCGTGTAAGGTCGGGCGAAGTGTAAAATTGACGTTCGCTTCACCAGTATAGGAGATGGCTGCCCACATCATTACACTATCACCACCAAATCTGTCCACTTCCTGTATGCAGTTTCGTGCATTACGTTCCCCGCGACGCCTGCAAACACGACGTCTACCATCCGCACGGCGAAGCATAACACGTGACTCGTCACTAAACCAAACTTGCCTCCATCTCAGTTGTGGCCATACTCTGTGACCTTGACACCATTGAGGTCGCAGCCGACGATAAAGGTCCGTCAAAATGACACCTCGAACTGGTCGTCATGCGCGAATACCTTCAGCGCGTATGCGATTCCTCACTGTCTGGGCTGATATCCTACGTAATCCTGGGATGCCGCAGTTGAAGATATGGTTGTTGTTGTTCTTTCACATAAGAGATGTAGCCGTATGCATCTGTCCTGTGCTCTTGTCGTGACACGTGGTCGACCAGTTCTGTGAAGGTCACGTGTTGTCCCGTGTATCAGATAACGGTTCCACAGTCTTGTAATGGTAATTGGTGCTAAAAAAAATGGTAATTGGTGAAAAAAAAACCGGCTTCAGCTGAAGATGATTCTCATGTTTGTAGTCGGCAAATGGCGTTGTTGCGTTGGACTTCAGTCTAACCCACTCAGCCACCGACACTTCCACATAAATGAACGTGATCTAGACTACCAATTGTCGGACTTTCGTTGGCTTAGTGGGTTGGGACTCAACCCCAAAAGGACTAGAATCTCTACTTTACTAAGAAAGTGTTATCCAAAATAGAACATTTAGGACATTTGACCACTTTCTAAATTTCATTGCGTGTTCATAGCTTTCGGCCATGGAAGCCGAGCCAATGTACACTTGTCAGAGGGGTACACAAAGTATGTGAGCTAGACTACCAGTTGTCGTACTTTGATTTTTTTGTTGAAGCCTCGTCGGCTGAGTGAGTTAGATCGCTGGCGTGTGCTGACTTTGTGTTCTGGCGATTAGGTGCCTCACTCTGGCATTGTGGGTTCGAATCCCTGATGGTATTCAACACATAAAAAGGACTAGAATCTGTACTTTACTAAGTATTATCCCAAAGAAAACATTTGTGACATTTGGCATACTTTCTAAATGGCATTGTGTGTTCACAATTTTTTATGAAATATCGGCAACACTCTGTCGGCTTTTTACGATTTATTACTTTTGCTTTTCTTTTTTGCACAGTATATGTGCCCATTTCAAACATTGATTTACATGTACCTTCATATAATTTTGAAGATGCGACCTTCGTGTGTCTGTCAATTTGTAACACCTGTTGTATTAAACAACGTAGCTACGACCTTAGAGACATGTCCTTGACCATAGGCCAACCCTTATCATGATAAAATTTCATATGTCATTGTACATGTACATTATTCATGTCCCTAAACAAATTCAGTTTATTCTCTGAAAACCAACACCTGTTGGGCTGCAGCCATGGTTCGAGACAACGTCGTCGCTCTACTTATTGCCCAGAGTGCATTTGGATTCGAGTTGCTGAAAGTTTGAGGCTTCAACCTTGTTAGTATCACTGATATGTTCATGAATGAATTCATGCTGTCAAAGTATCTGGACGTATCAGGGATTTTTGCACTTATAGAGTGACGTGCATGCACGTGTTTGGCTGCTTGTACTAGTCCGGACTAATACCGAGTTTATAGTGCAAGCCCACTGAGATACCATGCAGCAGTTTAACATGAATACCCCACTCAGACACTGTATAATGACTCCGAGCCGACCAGTCCTTGTTTTTGCCCCTTGATGCTGAGCATCAGGTAGGGTAACAGCAAGTACCCTTTTTAACGTTTTTTGGTATGAGGCGGCTGGGGATCGAACCCCATACCTTCCGCTCTCCGGGCGGAGGTTCTACCACTAGACTACGGAGGCGGTCTGCAGTGACAGAGAGATAAGTGATGTCATGTAATTTTGACGTTAGCGTAACCGATGACGTCTCCTTGGTAATATCGCGGGACCTCACCCAAGGCTGTTTACACTCGACTCGAAAACACTGAGCTGTGTTATGTATTATTAACTCACATAATAATGTTTCTTATCAAGTTCAATCCGACAACGCCATGATGCCATTTGTTATAACAGAGGTTATCCATGTTTACAAACTGTCGCTAAATGTACAGAATAGAAAAGACGTTATAACATACTGACGGATATAATGAAGGTTTTTTTGGATCCCGTCCAATTGCTGTATATATGTTTTAAATGTGCTTATAACAAACTAAGGTCATAATGAACTTAATTTATTGATCCCGTTGATTACGTCTTAACCTTAGTTAAATGTATCTTAAAACAAGTTATGAATAATCACGAGATATCCGTGTCTATAACAGAAGTGAAGTAACTAACTCTAAACGTGTGTCTTTCCCTATTCCTCCCGCCACTCTATTCCTCTCTTGTTTCCCCTTTCTTCCATGTCATCGTGTACTGTTGTCCGTATTCTATTTAATTTCAGCACTGTGTGCAAATTTTATGTGTGTAAAACATTTTCGATTTCGATTTTAACAATATGACGTTTCCTTTTCGTTATATGAAAGGTCGACTAAAACTGAAGGGAAAAATGTTTTTGCAACTTATTCATAATACAATTCAGAACTATGGCACATTGGAACGAATCATGAAGGTTACAAAGGTAAACAAGTATCCGTGAAATATTGATGAAGTGGTAAGTTAATTATTTCAGGGCGTCTTCAAGAATCAGCAACGGGATGTCATATTCTCGAGCTTCTGGGATCATCAAATGAGAAGCCAGTGGAAATAACTTTTTTTTGTAAGAACAAGTCATTTAGACTAGATTTATGGGCAGTTTAGTGTTTTCGCTTATATCCAGCAGCGAACTTGCGTTGCAATCTGAACATTATATAGATCATAAAATTGAAAGATTATGTCAATGGTGAATAATAAGTTACACAATAACAGTAATGAAGTACATGTACAGGAAACATATAGGTCTGGCTATATGCTAAGCATTACAAGACGACGTATCCTGAAAGTTTCAAACTTTAAATCCTTGACCTTTTCGAAAGTGCAAAAGCCACTTGAAGGTTGGATATGGTTATCATAGGGTAGGGTGACTTCTGTCTGTCCTTAGCGCTAGGTCATCTATCATGTCATGTTTCAGGAACAGAAATCGGGTGGTGATACACTTTGTGAGTGGTTAAGACCTGTTGGTCTTCATAAATACACTGTGCTTCATGATTATAAAATTTGAAAAAATGGGAATTGATGCCTTAACTTCAAGTTACATTCTCAGACAAAATTCAGTTTCCCAAAATGTGCCACAATATTTCAAATTTCAGGAACTGCCAACAATTCATATATTCCTGTAGATTGTTCAATTATAAGAAAGTGTTACAGAACGTGGACTTGACAGCTCACGAAGTATATTCCACTTGTGGATTCCAAGACTCATCATACTGCTGCCACCTGAAGGTCTTATAATCACTCCGCTCAGCTTATGCCTAAACAGGTGTCCAGGCAGTTGCCGGATTCTGCCACTTGCCCAATCTTGTCACCGGTTAGCCTGGACCAGACTCGGTATTTCACAGGCAGCCATGATATAACGAGTATATTGCTGCGACGTTAAATACATTCACTCACGTTACACTTTCGCAATTTTCACCTGCACATTTAGGGAGACCATTTACGTCATGCTAGTACCCACTCTTGCTACTGGAACACAAATGAATCAGGCAGACAGACGGACTATTTATTCAGTATTAAGCACTGGCCCAATATACAGACATACACAAGTTACCTTTGTAATCGCAACAATTGATAGATATAAGGAGAAAAGGGTGTAATTAGTAATTATCTTGGTATAGCACAGACACACATCACTTGCAGTATTCTTGAGAATTCAGCATATTAAGTGGTATAAACATGTTTCTCATTTCTGCAGGGTTTTGACATGGATCATGTATTGTTTGTATATCTTGAGTGTTCATTATACTTATGAACGGCTTAACTGTGTGGCAGGGCGTGGAGTCATCCCGCAGATACCTTGCCAACTTGCTGACGGGGTTAGCCTCAGAAGGTCCGTGGTTCGAATCCCATGACGGGACTCGGACTTGTTATGACCACTACCTTGGCGCCTAACGTTGGGCGGAGCACGTTCATGTTAAACTTAAACAAAATAGGTCTGAGTGCCCTATTTCTCATGAACATTGCGCACAAAGCAGATTTGCAAGAAAATCCACGATAACGTAAAGAACTGTTCCCATCAATAAAGAAACCTATGGCAGAATATGTCCTTGATGAATTGCTACATAATTTAACAACCCAACTAACGGATCCCGATAAACGGGACAAAATAACGATTTCACTTTAAAAGTGAACTACATGTATGTCAAATCAGAAAACCTCCTTTAATTTGGTATCTGTACTCAGCCCAATCCAGCACAGTACTGTGAAGATCTCAATTAACATGTGCAACCATTCCAATACCCCTGAATATGCCCTCATTATTTGAATGTCTCTACTGTTTCTAATATTTTCATTAGCATTCACAATGCTTGTTCTACAACGCAGATTTGAACGCTCATCAGTCCGTGTAGAGGTTTCCTCAAGCCTTTGATAAGATAAGGAAATGAACAAGAACTTGATTTGATAGATAAAAAAGGATCCTAAAATCATCATGTATGATCCTGTGATATACAGGAAAACCTTTTCCCAGAACCCCATATGTGTCCTGCAAAGTGTGACCTGACTGATTGTGTGTCTTTGTACCCCGTTGGCTTAGGTCGTTGTTCATGCTATCAACCACCCGTTGGACCATTGAAACTCCATTATTTACAGGGTGACGTGACAGGGGCTTGTTCCATACTGCTTAAGTAGGCAGGGCACTTGTCTGTGGCCGCGCGGAAGACATTTGGTCGCCTTGCCATATGGACTGTGTCGTGTTGATCGATGTTCCGTCGCGAACGTTGCTTTCGTCTGTCAAAACACGTGAAATAAAGACATTCAGTGGTATTGCATGGTAAACTAAAACATGTGTTGTACAAGAACATACGATGAGAAGGTCACAAGGCATTACCTGGCAAGTATGGCTACGGCAACAATTATGGCGATGATGACAATTAGGACAACACCCCCTTCTGACGCTCCAATAACGCCAACTGAAATATTGGTGTTGTTTTGATAAATACATCTCAAGGGATCGATATCACCAACCTGCACAATTTGACTTGTAATGAGATACACATTACTCATTGGTAAGTATGTATTTCAATTTCGAATGAAAATATTTTAAAAAATCAGTGCTTATAGAAATCATAAGCTACCACTGTCTATACAATTCGTTTATATTTTCACTGTTTTCTTTCTCATAGCTTCCAATATTTATAAATATTGTCGTTGCGACATTTTTACTCAATAATTGACTTCAGACCGCTCACAACCCGAACATTTGTTTCCAACCAGAAAACATCTTTTTGCTGACGATTGATTAGTAAACATTTAAAGGTTGCATAAATTCGGGTGATGTGAATAGATGTGGTCATATACAACAGGTGCTCTTACTTAGAAGAGATTTGTTGTTTGTCTCATCCCCGGTTTCACCAACACCTGGAATATCAAGAGTAAAGGAGGACATTTATGCATCCTAAATTCTTATCGATGAGTGAATGAGTAAGTTGGGGTCAACGCCGCTTTGAACAGTAGTCCAGTTGTTTCATGGCGCTCCCATCCATGAAAGAACTTGTAATAACTTCATTCGTTATTACCGTAAAGGGCAAGATCACACAAAAACTTAATTGTGGATTATAAACCTTTTAAACCTTGAAACAAGTAAAAACACAAATAAACTGATTTGATAGATATCATTTATCACAAGAATTCGATTTCCTCTCACAAAGATGCATTTGGTGGCAACTGTTTTTTTGTTCATTGTTTTACGCTGCAGTTAGCAATGTTTCATCTGTATGGGGTAAGGAAGCAGCCAATCAAACAAGATAACTAGTCTGACAACCCGATTTACATTGTTGCCTCTTACGCCAAACATCTCCCTCTGGGGACTTAGTTCTACTTGAAATCCAAAGGAGGCACACACAATCATCCAAGTCACAGCGTCCCAGAGCCTGACCAGTGCAGGAGAAAGTTGACATATATGTCTCACTGAGGCCTAAAATAGCATTCACTCTTACGAAAAGAATCAGATCTTGGGACCAATTCTGACCTGGAATCATGCGAGGGGTAAAAAAACAACAGGTACGAAGTTTCACTGACTTCACTTGTTTATTATTCGAGTTGTTTGGTAACTTATTTTTTCAAAGGCAAGACCTTCAGTATTACATTGACACGAGTTGCCAGTGTTTTTTAAAGGGCTATAAAGGCCTAATATTGCTTTCTTCGGTTGTCAAAGTCCAGATTGTTTAAAAAGCAAAATGCAGAAGCGGCGGCGGTCAAGTTCTAATCACATAACTGATTAATCTTTTCAGAAATCATTGCTTTCCACCTAGAGTAACTTACGGACAAAGTACGGATTAACAGGATAATTTGTGATGCTTCAGAAATTTATGGAATATTTTTTTTAACAATTTTATTTGCAAAGTAAAAATGTGTTGTCACTAAAGAAAACATGCAGAAGCATTCCGATCATGAGGATTCTTGTACATTTTACATTTATTCTTCTGGAACAAAAAAGAAGCGTGTGGATTAACGGGTTCCACAGTCGTCTTCTATTTTACCTTCCCTCATTAACACCAATGACTGTTTTGAGTGAACGTACTTTCGTCACATTTAGCGCCTCCCCATCCCTGTTGACAACCTTCCGGGCATTGACCAGTCACCTGATGACACACACTTCCTGTTTTGCAGTGGGAGCAAAGTGATAGACATCCTGCGCCGTGTGTGCCAGGAATACAAGCTAGAAATTGAAAAGGCATTTGTCAATAACATACACAACACATACATTTGCAATAAGTTCTATACTTTACTTTCTACAATTTGATTTGTTTCAAATGTTTATTCCCAAGTGTCAAAAGTGTTTATAAATGCATGTTACATTATGAAAATGTAGAAAATCAGTGAATCGAATTTGTAATGACATAGATCTATTTTTTTTCATTTTGAAGATTTGACGAAAGTGTGAAACATTGATCGCCTAAATATCTATTTCTCTGATGTGTTTACGTTCATATAATTTTCATAGCTACGTATTTTGTCCCTTATGCCAAATGGAATCTGTTTCGGCGCACAATCTAGACTGGTTATTCTCTTGCACTGACAACTTGTATTTACACAGACATCCGCTCCAGCCTTGTGCATGCTTACGCGGGTCCGAGATCAGAAAAGGTCGTGAATGACCTAAGTATGAGGTCAAGATTACAGTTAAGGTCATTTGTAAAGTATATCTGCCATTTTCATTAAAATGATTATTTCTGCCCAAATTTCTCCAGATCAATCAAATATTAATTTCACTAACGTGTTTTACACAGAGACCTACTCCAGCCTTCTTGGCATCCAGCTGAGCAGAGCCCTGAGATCTTTTCACAAGGAACGACAACAGCACACTGACCGCATGGTTCACAAGACTGGCGCCATACGTGTTTGGGAGACATGCTGAATCGACAAAGTATGCATAATAAACAGTTTCCGGTGATCGATCATAATATGAATGTCGCAAAGACTTTCTAACATGTAGTTTGTGCACTGCACCTTTCCTGGGTATTCCTTAAATGAACACAATACAAACATATCATCAACTATAAATAGATATATGATATCATCAAGTAATTCAGTGTGTGATTGACTTTCCCAGAATGGGGTTCTGACTGGGAATTCTGGATTTAGTGACCTTGTTACTATGATATAACTACTGGTTGCAGTTGCATGTTACTCACGACGGTCACATTTGTTTCCAGTCCACCCAGCCCGACATCCAGCAGGACAGGCTCCTGATGTCTTGTCCCAGGCTTCGTCCCCAGCACACAGACCACAAGCGTTACATCCAGTTCCAAATTTGTTCGCGGGACAACCTTTGGCAAAATGTTGGTAAGAGTTGAAAGTTGTACCCTAGAGAGTTACCTCCCGTACCACGTTTTGTTGTGAAATAGTTACAATTTCTGATCAGGAAAAGCTACACTTAATAAATTAATGCCAATTAATACTTCTGACATAAAAGCATTGCCAGGTTGGATATTTCTTATCAATCATATACCACTTGTTTCAAAATGCATTTTCTTATTTACCTACAAATTGTATGTGTTCCGAAGCTTGAGTGTTTTCAGAAATAAAAACAAATGAAATACCGACACAGGGATTGCTGTTAACATTCTCTGTGGAAACCAGACACATCAAATTATATGATTTCCGAAGCTTGACGCTTTTTATGAATAAAGAAATTAAATCCGGACATGCATTGCTTAAAAAGAACTGTCTTGTCTGGAAATGACATTTATTCAAAAAATGAGAAAGAAAAATATATATGTCACAATCATAAAAACACTTTCATTCTTTAACATTCTGTATGGAAACCAAACACACCGCACCTGTTTTACAATCAATTCCATGCCAACCACCTTCACATCCTTGTGGGCAGCTTCCACTGATAGGGTCACAGGCCACTCCAGCACAGTTCCCACACTTGGACTCACAGTTCTCTCCATGAGTGCCGGAAGTGCATGCTGATAAAATCAGGGATGCAATTAGGAAGACAGTTGGATTACTGTTATCAAACATGCGCAACAGGGCGAAAGGCAATCAGACAAGGCCCACGCGTTTCGTTTCAGGTAGATATAGAGAATACATGTTCGTGGCATTAAGGAAACTTGAACCCACCTTTGTTTAAATTATGAGTCAGTCCAAGGATTATTTTGAACAAAAGTGACTTACCACAAAAAGGTGACCGTTCGTTAATATTTGACAAATGAATGTAAACCAATTATCTGTGGTGCGTATGACTAAAGGTATGACTTACATTACAGTATGGGGGTCATATATTCCAATCAGTTGGACAATGAATTGCATTGCCCGCTTTTGGAACCCTTTAGTTGACATGGCCGTGCCAGAGACATGATGCAATCAGATAATTCAAAGAGCACGATGGCCCGATTCCCATTTTAGTTCTAATGACATACACGAGGTATATCCACAGGGTCCTTGAGACTTTTATTTTCATTTCTTTAGCATTATGTCAACTTTCGTTACTACACAAACCTAACAATGTATACTGAATAACTTTGGCCGAAAAATCGATATACAGACGTATTGGATTATTCTCAATCATCATCATAGATAATTGAGAAGCCAAATGCCAATGTGGATGATTAACGTGATGAGCTTCTGTTTTTAAAGGTACCTGTAGAGACCTTTTCCGTTGTATCTTACCTTCTCTGCAGTAGCCTCCACGGTAACCATGGCTACATGTGGCCATGCATAGTCCAGTGGTCTTCTCACAGACGGATCCTCCTTTACAGTTCCCGCATGGTCTACAGTCTTCCCCATATCGACCTACAGGACACGCTACAACATTCGTAGTATCAGTAATTATTTTGCAAAAAGAACTTTAATTTTGTTTTAACGCCTCAGTCAGCAATATTCCAGATTTATGCCAGTATTACCCTTCAATTAGGGATGGACCATTTCATATTCTTAAGGGGAGGACTGGAGTTTTATCGAAAAAACATAAATTGTCCCTGAAAATTCTTGAAAAACATAATACTTATGCTTCATATCCTTAAAAAAATTGCAATGTGATTTTCCGAAAAAATTATTCAGGCTCATAGTTTTAAATACGCAAATATCTGGTTTTGCAGCTGAAGCTGAAAAGTATCTAATCTCGATACAAATCCCAAACAACACCTCACCTCGTACCAGGATTAGGTATTCATACGTAAGTTTGGGTTTTCCGCCCACAATAAGCTGAAAAAACGTGATATTAATAAATATGTTAAAAACGGCGATGAAAGCAACTCATTCATTTTTTGAAGACAACAGAAGGATCTGTAGTGTTCAAAGTACATGTGTATATGACGTGTTTTCAACTCACGGCGTTTGTAAACAGAAATATAGTTAAAATAACATGCGCAGTGAAACAAAGACCATACATTTAATAACGTTTTACCAATTGATCATCTTTACAATTACAGTGAAACTTCATTTCCAGAACGAAATATCTAATAAATGTTATATTACTTCCTACTCACGATTCGATAATTTCCGAATTGGTGACTGGATGGAACGGGAACCGTCCGGTTAAGAAAGGTTTTGCTGTAGATTTGGGCTATTTTTGTTTGACACAAATATTAAGAGTCAGAGACAACAAAATAAATCAATGTAATTGTCTATCTGTTCACATCAACCTTTCATAGGACTAATGAGATTCTCCTTCCATTCGAAACAACAGAACAGATCCCAATAAATACAAATACGATTGCACCAGCGTTCAGATATTACCGATATAGTTCCTGTTTGAGAAAACACAGACGTCGATAACATTCGTGATAATTCCGGTTCCAAATTCGCCTTGGTTACCTCCAGTAGACGGCATGAAGATTATTCCGCTGAAAAAAATGACCAGTCTGTTAATGATGGAAGTCTTCAGTGACGTTTCTCTGGTTTCATTTATTCATATATGAAAAGACTCACTTGGATATGTTTAAAGGACGCAGTGGTGCAGCTGGAGTATTGTTGACCGCGGAATGAAATATTATAACATTCAGCAGAACCTGAGACATTTAAAAATATGAAAAAATTTACCTTCTGTTCCTGGCTGTGAAGTAGAGAAGTCCCTCATGGTAGAAAATACTAAGGTACTGATACCCTGGCTGATACAGGAGACGTTTTCTCTGTGAACCATCTACCGACACTGATTCTACTCTGTATGTCTTGGCGTCGCACCAAAAGAGGATTCCATCTTCAGGTGTACGGGATGACAGAAACAAAATAAATTGTAGGTAACTTAATAATGTAAATTTGGAGTATTTTATCTTGTTAATTAATACGCATGGTAGCTGTGATTTTTCGCTGGTATAGTTTTGTCGCGAAGACCTGGTGTCGTAATTGATTTTCAGTGATCCAGTCATCTAATTTTTACCCCTATTTTACATTTTACGCCAATTGGAATCTGTGTCGGCGGATAATCGAGTTTGATTATTCTATGGCGCTGATGTTTTAGTATACCCCCGACCTAAAAGATCGGGGTATATAGTTCTACCAAGGTTCCGTCCGAAAACTTTGTCCGCGCGATTTCTCTTAAACTATTCAGTGGATTCATCTCACACTTACTACATATAATCTGTGTCATATGGAGGGGTGCAGTCAAAAGAAACAAATTGGTTTTATTAATTTTCCATTTTTTAATGAATTTTCCAAACCCTAACGTCCGTCCGAAAACTTTGTCCGCGCGATTTCTCTTAAACTATTCAGTGGATTCATCTCCAACATAGTACAATAATCTGTGTCATATGGAGGGGTGCAGTGAAAAAATGTTTTTATTAATTTTCCATTTTTTATGAATTTTTCAAACCCAACCCTTTCCTAGCTATTTAATTTGAAACTACTGACACATTAGGCGGGTCGGGGTATTAGTTAGCCACGCTCAATTTTGCTCTTGTATTAACCTCGGTTCTGGTGATATTCCAGCAAGATAACATAGAATGGGATTCGCACATGAAATGTTTTGGAGAATCGAAACCCGGTGGTTGCGTGACAAACATGTAAACACTCTAACCGTGCTACCTCTCCCACCGTCCTCCAAAGTCATGAGACGACTCCGAAGTTTTAAGGATTTTAAACCTTTCGAATAATAATGGCGATGACTCTGTGCATTAACATAACCCATGATTGGTCGAATAATCTCACTCTTTTTGACAATTGCCAGCCCGTTCGGCCATCCAAGACCTGTAGTGACGACCTTCCTGATGTTTGCACCGTCATAATCAGCTGATGCTATGTAGGGTGTGGCTCCCCAGTCAGTCCAGTACATCTTCCTGAAAACAATGTAAGCTGTGAAACCTTCGAATAATTGTGTTTTCACAGTAGTTCATAAAAGATTACATACCCTATTACGAGCTATGTTGGTCCAAATAATTGTGGATTATTGAGTTATATAAAACCTTTGTTCTTGCACGCTCTATGCATTGTAAGAATACAAACATTCAAATGGTTAACGTCAATAATGCACACCTGTTTTCCTCGTGTAGAACAATGGCTCTGGGTTTGTCAAGCCCATTGTTTATGACAGTCACACAATTGGTCCCATTTATGTTGAGGGCAGCAATGACCTTATTTCCCTGGTCTGTGTAAAATATCTTCCTGGCGATAGAATCAACAGCTATTCCGTATAAATCAGCACCTGTAACAAGATGTAAATGCAAGTCATTATTCCATGAAGACACCATGTAAATATGTAAAAAGTGAGAAAGATAAAGAGCATATTGATTGTGATGTTGTCTATTGTGTAATCACAAAACATACAAAACTTGGATATTTCATGTGTGCAGTGGCTAGTATTGACGGCCAACGTAAATGCTAAAACAATAGGTAGATTTTGATACCCTGTGACTATAAGTTACTTAAGTTGGTATTCCTGAATATTTCGTATGGTATCCGTACTAGTCCCTTAAATTAAACACTAAGTAAATTGTAGAACAAAAAGTTGTAGAACAAAATATGTTAGAAAGGTTTTTGGTTTTTTTTCTAATTAATAAAATACCTATGGCATTACAAAAGTACCCAATTTCCATTCTGTGAAATCAATATGATACTTTCATTTCCTGAAAATTCTTGTAAAAAATGAACTTCTTAATTTATAATTATGTAGTTATGTATGGATAAAGTCAGTTTTATAGGAATAAACATTTAAAGCGTTCGTTTGTACTTTGTACTACACGCATAAGTTACATTAATGTGACATACTTGCATTGAGGGACATGATGAGTTCCTCGGTGTCCTCTTTCATGTCTTTTGCTTTGATCTTCTCAGGAGCAGCATTTGTCCAATACAGTTTCTGCTCCACGGGGTCGTAGTCAATAGATACAGGTACTGTCCCTGTAGGTATATGACGTGCTGATACATGTGCTGGACTAATAGAAATCGTGTAAATTCCCTTTCCTCCACTGAACAGTATAGTTAATGTTGGCGTGTCCACTGTAACAAAATATTGAATAATTTTCTTATACAAAAAAGGATTGATGATATTATCACCGAATTCATCCTATGGCAATTTCATATTTGAAAGTTTACATATCCATATTTGTTATCACGGGTAGAATTGGTCACCCAGCACCCAGCATATTAACTCCATTAATGACCATTTGTCATTATTTTGCCGTAACGTAAATAGACACTTACAAAAAAAGGAGATAATTGTCGGGGAGGTAACTCTTGTAAGACAACAGTTCCATCAAAGTGTTATGTTCACTGCAATTATTAAGAAAACAAGCGAAAACATTGCAGGAAAGACTAATATTACTCCAATCTAGCTCTACACTTGCAAAGAAATGTGAAAACTCACGTTCCTGATAAACCTGCGACGGGTTTCCTCAAATCAGGAATGAAGCCTGGCTCTTTCAGGATATTGCACATATTTTCACTTGTGAAGTAACCTCTCCTAAAATCCTTCGATTTTCCTTTGGTGCCTCTCAAGTCACCATTCTCAGATTGTTAGTACGAGGGGCGTTCAATAAGTTTTGCAACTTGGGCATTTGTGTTTACACAAACAATGTCAACTTCTGGCATAACATCAGGTTGACACGTGTCATAACAAGTTCCAGACACAAAATTAAGTTAGATGTCATGGGTGGTCATAATCATGGATTCTCTCAAACATGAACAACGCGCTGTAATAAAGTTCCTTACCAAGGAGGAATGCAAAGTAAAAGAAATCCATGATCGCATGTGTAAAGTGATGGGTAAGGATGCTCCTGACTATTCCACAGTTTGCCGTTGGTCTCTACAGTTTAAAAGGGGTAGGGAGTCCATAGACGATGACCCAAGGTCAGGCAGGCCTTCAGATGCCACCCAACCGGAAACCATTGCTGCTATAGAAAGACGAAATTTTGTCTGACTGACGAGTGAAAGTATCTGAACTTTCTAGGGAATTCCAAATATCAGTTGGAACTGTTGGAACCATTGAGCATCTTGGTATGTCCAAGGTATCTTTAAGATGGGTACCTAGAAACCTCAGAGCTCACGATCGCCATCAGAGAACTGAAAATTGTCGAGACCTCCTGGATCTCTATACTGCTGATGAAGCCGGATTTCCTTCTCGTCAAGTGACAGGTGATGAAACATGGATTCACCACTGAGACCCAGAAACTAACTTGTAAACTTGCAATGGAAGCACCCCAATACTCCGCCACCGGGGAAGTTTCGCACTCAACCATCGGCTGGCAAGGTAATGGCCACCGTATTTTGGGATTCAAGAGGCATATTACAGATTGATAAAATGCCACCAAAAACTACAATCAATGGACAGTATTATGCTAATGTAATGAATGAATTGCGAAAATCTATTCGGCAGAAACGCCGTGGATTGTTAACACGTGGCATTCTACTGTTGCATGACAAGGCTCCGGTTCTCAAGTCGAGATTTGCACAGGCCGCCATATGTGAATGTGGATTCGAAGAGTTAAATCACCCACCCTACAGCCCAGACTTAGCCCCCAGTGACTATTTCCAGTTCCGGCAAATGAAATCTACTCTACGTGGAAGATGCTTCCAGGATAACGAGGACATAAAGCCTGCCACAGAGGCGTGGCTAGAGGGCCAATCTGCGGATTTCTATAAAAGTGGTATTAAAACCTTGAAGGACAAATTGAATAAGTGTATTGAGGTGAATGGAGATAACATTGAAAAATTAGAGTGCAAAAGATATTCTGCGACTTGGTCTTATATTGAAGTTGCAAAACGTATTGAACGCCCCTCGTACCTCTTTGCCGCGTGTATTAGAAAGGAGAAACCTCGCGATGGACAGACTGGTGATGGCGGCACTGCAAGCTCACCTCAGCCATATGTATACTGATACTAACGTCTAGCGATGGACCATGGCATATGCTAAGTTATGTTGGGAAAATACGTAAATAATCAGACATTTTTGGCGTTTGAATTCGCCAAGTCGAGAAAACAGAAATCCATGTCGAAGGATTCGCTAACTGGTGAATGAACGACAATCGTTTAACGCCATTTTCGATCTATATGACGGCGGTCTGTAAAAAATTAAGGTTTTTCCTGGCAAACAAGTGACTGAAAACACGGGCGAAAATCGTTGCCTTCGATACGCATTGATACAAAATCACAAAGCCTGATCACGATCTAAGCTGGTCACATTTTACAGCGAGCATGGGGTACACGGGATCTCTACTGACCCAGAATGTCCACAGGGCTAGTTGTGTAATTACAAAGAAACATTCAGTATTTATCGCCTGATGTATAGTTTAATATGAGTAGCGTGCAGTTGATATATAACTTACTTTTCGCGTACACCGGAGTAAGAAGACAGATATATCCACACAAAAGAGGGTATCTTCCAACCATTTTGCCAGGCAGTTCGTAGCTGTGTATTGGAGGATGTACATCCTTGTTCAGACAGAAGGCTATGCGGAAACAGATCGACCGCCTTTACCCTAGGTGATCACGTGGACATTGACTCAATCAGTTTCTAAATACGTCATTATTTATATCGCACAGACCTCCATCACCGGAGATGGTTTCTGTTTCAGCATACATCTACCCCGTGAAGAAAGGAAATCAAAAGAGTGGAATCTGTAGACTGTGTAGATATTCATGGTGTTGACTCTCTGGACTCAAAGCCTGAAATAAATAATTTAATAATACTGTAAGAATATTTCTACTTCTATGAAGAAATTATAAACAATGCATATTCACCTTCTCTCAAAATATTGCTTATTCAGAAAACAATATTCTTCTGAAATAGAGACATCTTAGGAAAACTGATCACAGTGAATAACATTACAGGCTACTTTACAACAATCTTGAAGGTATCAATTCATGATCATCTGATAGGTCTAAAACACAAACAGTATATTCTTTATAAACACAACAGATGCATCTATTTAATGACAGGGTGTACTACAGTTCTTTATATCAATGTCACACAGAAATTCACTCTTGTTTAAATGAAACAGGTTTTGATATTTGTATTATGTATTTAATCATGAAATACTTTGTTTAGTCTGGCCATGCTGAAAACATACTATCGCCAGAGTGAAATAAATAAGATTATTAAAATCAGGTTAAATATCACGTTTCGTCACACCTACAGTCAGTCTGTCTCATTGACACTACGGTTTTCTGAGTAAGGTCATGGAGATAACAAAAACATATGATATGAATAAGACTTGTATTTTTTTGTCAAATGAAATGTTTATGTCATCTTGTGGTTTACCAAAGTTGATATTTATACTTGTGGCTGTGCGACTCATGAAAATATTAACTTTGTCAGATCACAAGATGAGATAAATTCATGCTATCATAGTTATTTGGCAAGGAGAACAAATTTTCTCCATGTATTTATACTCTTTTATTCTCGTCTTGATTAATTATCAACATTACCAAAATGATCACACCACTTGACTTGTTTTAAAATAACTAAAGTTCTAAAGATTGTTAACAATATCAAAAAATTACATCATAACAATATAATTATTGCACACTTACACAGTAAACACAACTATCCTCTAATAATATGATTAATAATCAGTAATACATTGTATGTCATTTGCTTGCACAAAAGAAATAATTTTGTTTAAAGAGTTTCAAACATGTTTGTGTACATAAAACGAGATGGATTTCATAATTAAACAAAGGGAATATATGAGTTATGATTCCAATACCGATGGGAATTACACAACAGTCATAAATAATCTTCTGTTTTTAGAAATCTCTATCTCAATTTATGAATTTGAAATGTTTGAATACAGACAGTTAAAGAGCTATCTGTTTCTGTACATTACATAAAGATCACATGTTGATTTACTGGCCATTAATTAGTTGGGGTTTTGTTCCTTACATGACATGATTATTTTGGTACAGAAAAGTAAATATCATTTTGGGGGAAATATTGTTTACAAAATTGCAGATCAAACTGTACTTCACTTTAAATATTTACACATCCTTTATGTAATAATTCAGTTGAAGTATTACACCTCGTGCTATTTAATCTGTCAACATTGACAATTAAAATACTTACTGTTCACAATCACAGCAGCAGCAGATCTAGAGGTCTAATATTTTTTTGGAATGTATTTGAGGCCATTACAATTTACATCAAATACACAACTGATGCAAAATTCCGATTTGTTTATGATGAAAAATTCTTAATAGGTTACAATAAGATAAATAAAATCAACATATCAATTTAGTTAGTTTCTGACATCTATCTAGATATGGTCCAAAGGTCAATAATTTCTACTCGACTTCAAATACAACTCGCACCTTGACTAAAACAAATAAATAAATAGTATGAGTTAATGGTTTGTAAACAACGATCCCTGTCGGAATTTGTATTAAATCTGTTTATTGCTAAACTGCAATGGGAGTTACCAGTCGGTCATCGATATTTGAAATTGAAATCACAACAGAACGGCCAGACTGGGGGGGACTGGGTTTTACGCCACCGGTTATATCACAAAATCTCAGCTTTATTAGTAAAGTGGCACATGTGTCAGAAGCTTAACACTTTGGTGGTACCAGACAGCATGGGTACAGAATGGCAAACCAAAGTCACCCCGATGTAACGCATGTTCTCCATGTTGACAGGCTATTCGGAGCATCAGAGGTCGTGTTACAGAATCAACATAGAGAATTACTTTGCCCTGAACCTCCGATGTATAATTAGCAATCCAAACCACATTAACAACGGCTAAGAACGTCAAAGAACGTGAGGTCTTTGTTCACATTTCATACAGGAAATCTAGGCCCTCACAAAGCCTGGGGCAATTCAGGAAGCAGTCACCAATGATGTGAAAAAATAGATATATGCATACGTACTTGCAATTCGAGTGTACAGCCTAATGTATTTAAAACACAACGCCGAACTTCCCTGATGATACGGATGAAACATGTCGGAGGAAGTCTTCGGCATAGTGTTTTGTTTTAAATTTCAAAATATGTGCACACACACACACACACACACACACACACACACACACACACACACCAGTAGCTTCCTCCATATACATATTTTTGTGTCATGATGTATATGTGTGTCTTTGTGTGTGTGAGTGTGTGCCTTTGTGTGTCTGTGTCTGTGTCTTTGTGTGTGTGTGTGTGTGAGAGAGAGAGAGAGAGAGTGAGAGAGAATGAAACACGAGAGATGGAAAAAGAGATTTATTACACAAATAGACATTTTATGTACATTTAGAGACATATAAGATGACAATATGTGATCATGTATAACTGTTGTAAAAAATGAATCAGTACAATATTTACAATATTCCATTTACGGAATATAACAAATTGATGTTTGACTATTTATCTGTAATATACCCAGATATGTACCCAGAGAGCAACATTAATATTAGTACCATTGTGGTAACGTTTGACATTACGAAAAACACATCGAAATGCACATGATAACAATGAGACAAAGAGCGGACAGAAAACCGTGGTGGCATAGTTTGACACTGACTAGGAAATTGAAATGTACACACAGTAAAAGAGTATAAAAGAATATCCAAGTTCGGCGGTAGTAAAACGTACACGGGAATGCATTCCTAAACATGGATGAGAGTATGTCATCCGGTAACCTTATAAATATAACACCAGAGACGAGCCAGTCTCGATTATACAACGAAACAAATTCCATTTGGCTCCAAAGGGACAATGATTATTTTTTTTATGAATCAATCACTGAAAATCACTGATGACACCGGGGCCCACTTGCACAAAGCGATCTTAGCGCAAAGACTATCGTAAGCCTATGTTAAAGTATTTGAGTAACGATTACCTTAGCGCTAAGATCGCTTTGTGCAAGTGAGCCCAGGTGTTCGCGAAAATGGTAGGCATGTCCTGCCTTACCAGTAGCTGCCGCCACTCACACAAATGGCATAAAAATGTGTATTTGTTGCCGGACACCGCACAGCAGTACACCTGCCATGCGACGGCGGCAGTCCAGACAATCAAGTGACCAGACATCCACACAGTAACGCATTTACTTTAAGTTTAGTTTTAAAAGCGATACGTTAATGTTGAATAAATCACGCCTTCGCGAACAGCTTCACGTTCATAAGTTCTAAAGTTGTCGACCGAGCAGCAAGTGCATCATCCTGTGTGAGAAAATCATGATCCTAAACTCGACTTAAAAGAATGGTGTTTCATACACACAGTCATCTAATTCCTCCCTTGACTGCCTGTGGTGTTAACCATGGGAATGTACATATTTGTTTGGGCAGCATCAGCGTTGGTGTTGGAAGCATGGGTTTGTTTCATAATGCTTATGTAGGCAGGGCATTGGTCTGATAGCACTTGACAGCGATTGGGCCGCCTGGCGATATTGGCTGTGTCGTATTGCTCGAAGGTTCTCCCTCGAAGTCGTCGCTTTCGTCTAAATGAAACAATGATAGTACTCATCTTTAACATTTAACGTGAAGATGACTTCGAATCGATACAAATTTGATCAGAAAACGGGCACATCCTGAAAAAGGTTTGAAATATTAACATATCATTTCAATTACCTGTCCTTAACTAACATTGATATTAATATAAAATATATACATTTAAAGACTCATTGGTTGATCTTTGAATCATTTTGTGGTGCGGTGTGGTAGCCTAGTGGTTAAACCTACATGGATATAATTTGTAAATCTCACTTTAGTATTGCCTGCAGTGTTACGGTTAGAATATTGCTAAAAATGGCTTAAAGTTCATTTTATTACACATGACAACCTTCGAACAACGAAAATTAACTTCCTCGGAATCTCTATGCATGGAATCGAATATTTCATATATTACGACAAGTACATTACCTGGCAAGTACGGCTTTAGCAACAACAATGGCAATGGTGACAAATAGGACAACACCTCCTGCAGATGCACCAACAACTCCAACTGCAATAAATGTACATGACAGGTCCCATAAGTCCACATTGTTTTATTTTAAGAAAATGCTCATTTATCCTGAAATATTTGAAATATTTAAAAGCAAGAGGATCCGTACATGTATTATATAACAATTCCTTCATTCTAATGGGGTGATAGGAGTAGCTTTGAGCCTCAGGCCGTCTATATTGTTTGTGTGTTTCTACCGTCCTAATTTACCGCCGACTAAAAATGGTTTTATATCCGACATTCACTCACCTAAGATTCCGCTAGGGAGCAAATTTCCGAATTAAGAATCCTTGATGTATTTTTTGGGAAGGATTTTCGAAATGAGGAAGTTATTTCTGCGTATAGCCGTTCTCCGTCTTAAGACTCTCAGCTTCTGTTTAGCTTAGTTCTCAACACCGATACAGTCGTTCTACAAACTTAGTACAAGAACGATACCGTGAGTTAATAGTATGCACTTTGAAAAAAATATATAACTCTTGAGATCAAGATTCATATTGTAAACCATTTTACACACGACTGAATATATGATAGACAACTCTTTTTAACTGAATGTGGTTTTTGTTATTTTCATTTTCTTATTCCGTTCGCCCTCTCCGTCTGAAGGTGAGCATGACGACACACTCAATACACGGACACCTGCGGAAACTCCTATTTATCCTCTGTTTGTGGAAATGATGTGTTCATCGGATTTTGAGGACAACTGTCCAGCCTTTAACGTTTTTAAAATTATGTTGGCTTTGTTGGTTTTCAATGCGGTGTGATATATTAAAACTGTATTACTACACGTAATGTGTTAACGCTCAACCCGCAGCAGGCCATGGCCAAGGAGACTATGCTTGTCGTAAGAGGCGACGAACGGGATTGGGCGGTCAGGCTCGCTGACTTGGTTGATGCATGTCATCGTATCCAATTTGCGTAGATCGATGCTCATGATGTCAGCCACTGGATTGTCTGGTCTAGACTCGATTATTTACAGACCGCCGTCATACAGCTGGAATATTGCCGAGTGAGGCGTTAAACAACATACAAACAACAAACACAGCAGGCCATATTACGGCTGATACATTGCCTCAGATAGTAATTTGGAAAATAATTGTTCACTTCACAAGTTTAGTGTCCCCGACACAAAAAGAGAGAAAACATATTCTGTATCCAACAAAATAATAAGCACCAAATGTTAAGTTGAGCTATTTTGTAATGACAACAAACTTATCCACACTTGATCGCGACTTTAAACCCAGTTTCATCCAACCTCACCTCACATTTTCAGGGTAACTCATTCTTGAACACAATCTAACAATCCACCTTGCTTCGATGCGAGCGATGATTACAAGAACTTGAAATTTTGTTGAAGCAAATATTGTAGTTGTAAATAAAAATGTTGATCGTATGCAAAATTGTCTTACTTAGAAGGGACGTATTGCTTGCTTCTTGTTGGGTTTTACCCCGCATGTCTGAAATGTTAAGAACAAAGTGATGGGTTATGTGGCTCTCAGATATTATAACATGAGCATGTGTCCATATATAGAGAATACTACACTCATTCTCGTTAGATACCATAGTATTCAGTAGTTGCGCAATAGTAGTATGATACACGGCTACATGTAATAAGGTGCCAATGAGCTGCATGTAACTGCATTGTGGTAGGGGTTTCATTCGTTTTAAAACATGAAATATGTCCGGTCGTCGTTTTGGGTAGAAGGAAATAGGGCAAGGTCTCTAAGCCGTTTACGTTTGCCACACGACATGGGGCTTCATAATTATATGTGTACTTTGTATGGCTCGGTGTTTTTAAAATTATTGATAATGGATTACAAATCCACAGCGACATCGTGTATGTCCCTCGACTTTAATTTAAAAAGAACGTAACACCGAAACAGCCTGTACTTAGCTGTGACATTGATCCATTTTCAGTATTGTAACTATGTCATTAACAAATTTACTTTTAGTAGAAATAGTTTAAGTACACGCAACCTACTCTGGGGTGGAGGTGTGGCAATACCACTCGTATATCTATCTGACAGAAAATAGTCAATGTTTGTTGAGTGGCTGTTAAGCACACCTTCTCTTTGGTGACTGTAGTTTGATACCCCTCGCAATATGTCATACCTTCATCACAGTTGTCTCCACTCCATCCTGACAGACACCCATCCGGGCACTGACCCGTCACGTGATTACACACGCTTCCCGTCATGCAGTGCGAACAGAATGATGCGCAGTCTTTACCGTGAGTACCCGGATTACACCCTGAAAGAAGAGAAGAACATACAGGAGATGCTATTCACTATACTACTAATTTCGTTGATCTCATCAATTGTTATTCAACCTGAATCTACGATCATACATAGAAATCAGGGTTCGCTGGAGCAATGTATATTAACAGTACTTAGTTCAATAGTTTTAGTGATGACTTCAGTTCAATACGCTATCCTGATTAAACTTATCCAGATAATCTCGACAAAAAAAGCTTTGCATTGCAAGTAAATATTCAGGGGCGTAACAGTTCAAGACTATTCGTCAAATCGTAGAACTAATGCGTTTACTATTCAGATTTATATGTTCGTCTTAATTAAGCAACTAGCTGGGCTGTACACTTCCCCATACTATGAATTAAATTACAGTGTAACCCCAGTGATACCTGACATTATTACCAAGCTTTGAACTTTTTTGTTTGGGTAGGGGATAGTAATGTTTTAAAAGAATATCATTGGCTGCAGAAAAAAGTGGAAATGAACATTTCCGCATGCTGACAGAGGTTTTCCTGATGAAAGCTTATATGCCAAGCTATACCAAAACCCTATACAATATCAACTACTGATGTGCTTACTCTCGTCACATTTAGCGCCTCTCCATCCTTGTTGACATCCAAGCGGACATTGACCAGTCACGTGATGACACACACTTCCTGTTTTGCAGTGGGAGCAGAGTGATAGACACCCCTCACCATGTGTGCCAGGTATACATGCTGAAACGAATCAGTAAACGATTTAATCGGGGATATTTCTACTTGAACATGTAAATACTCGATTCTGGGTCAGGCAAACCAGTAGTTGAGCAATCGACGCCGAATGTTTGGTATAATGACACACAATCAGCCTGGTCATACATAATAATGGCCACAAAAACCCTTTCCATATTCATCAGAAATCTCTGCTAAAAGCTGAATCAATCGTTTGATTCCGACTGTATCCTGGGCTTGTGTCTAAGAATCACTATTAAATAGTGATGATACCAGGTATTCGCGAAAAGGTGAGCAAAAACAAAGTGTAAAGGCCAGAAATAAACAACAATGACATATTATCGTTGGTGACACAAACAACAACTCTGACCACACGACTTCGGCAACTCACATATACGTACAGGTACGTTCAGTATTACTTCTCTGAACTCACAGGTTGATGAGGATTGCACCTGGGTAGATGAGTTAAGATTAGGTTTTGATTTCATTTCAACAAGAAATTACCGTAAGTTTATAATAAATATTTCACTTACGTGTCTTACACAAAGAGCCCAACCAACCATCTTGACATCCATTCACACAAAGTCCAGAGCTCTTGTCACAAGGAACACCGCCAGCACATTGCCCACATGATTCACAGGAAGTTCCATACGTATTTGGGAGACATGCTGAAGCATTAAATATTAACAGACGTGGAGTGCATCACCAGAACCCGATCATAAAATAATTATAGAGGTGAATGCAGATGTCTTTTCTGGTGACACAAACAACACATGGATGACTATTCTGGATGATATGAATTCACTTCATTGTACATGTACATAGAGGATATTATATGAGTGTTGATGTCATACTTTGTTACCGAAGAAGATGTCTACAGACAGAGACGAATTTTAGTGTTGACTTATAATGACAGCACGTCGCAACAGCAGCGGAACCACAATTTGTCGAATGACGTCTTCAGCTATGACCCCGGTCTTTTCAACTGCACTCCTTCGTCGGGCAGTTAATGGAAGACCTCGGGCGTCTGCAAATGATAATGCCCTGAAAAATAGCGTTACCCTTAAAATTATGGTTACCTCGGTCACATCTGTCCCCGGTCCATCCTTGTTGACACCCAGCTGGACAGACTCCCAGGACCTTGTCACAGGGGACCCTTCCTGCACACAATCCACAGGGAGTACACTCGGAGCCGTGGGTGTTGGCGGGACATGCTTGGAACAACGGACATATATGTCAGTTCTGTGAACACATGGATTGGACTCCTGTTCTTTGGGCTGATTCCGTAGTACAATAAGTGACAAATATAAGTTTTGGTCAAAATTGCGGTGAGTGGGTGAGTGAATGTTGCCAAAGCCATTTTCAGTAAATAAAACGGTCTGCAAGTACTTGTTTCAGGTGACTTGTTTTACTGACATTTTAGTGAATATACATATATGTCCTCAGGTAAAGTCCACAACACAAGATTTCACTATAACGCAATTCCTTTTGTGTGATGACATAGTAGATGCCATACAATCAGCCCAGCTATAATCACCTCGTCACCTGTACAGTCTTTAGACACATATATTGTTCCAGGTTTACAGTACCAAACAGATGCTAAAAAGGGGTGCTTCTTGCCCTTGCTTAGATGGTACACCATAGCAATTGATGTTTTAGAAACTCATCACACAATCGGCACTATCCTGGTGCTAGAGTTTCTGGTTTCTAGCTTCTGAATCATAAGTGCATATATAGATGCTTAGTTGGCATACTGTGACAGGTACACATACTTTACAGTCTATATGGTACACGTTTACTGTGGATTTTATTAAATGTGTTTCATTTCAGGGGATTTGGCAGACCTATAATGAGGTGACGAGCAGTTAACTGTTTGCATTGCACACATTCTGGATGGATACCCGTGAAGATCCGGGTCAGAATAGGCCTTCAGCAACCCATGCTTGCCGTAAAGGGCGACTATGCTTGTCGAAAGAGGAGACAAACGGGATCGGTTGGTCAGGCTCGAAGTCTTGGTTGATGCATGGATTGATGGATTGTCCAGATCGATTATTTACAGACCGCCGCCCTTGGTTGGGGACTGCTCAGTGTTCATAAAGTGAGCTATTGTACAGATGACTTTACTGTTCTTGGGGGGGTTCCTTTATTGTACGTCACAACACCCGACTACAGTTAGGACTGGTCACAATAACGACAGTGTATGAGGAAGTGAAACGCAACAGTCAGCAATAATCCAGCTCTATAACGGCGGCCTGTATATATTTGAGTCTTGACCAGAACCTGTGACTGAAAGCATGAGGATCAATCCCCATCAGCTGTGTACGTTGACACCCAGAAAGTCAAGTCAGCGACCCTGGGCATAGTCATGTTTTTCATGTTAGTCGTATCTTACGACCAGTACGGGGTACTGTGGACCCGTTTGACCTAGAGGACCCACATACCGCAGAACGAGAGAAACATGAAATATCAATTTTACAGTGAACACGATTACGTTACTTCTCGGAGTCGGGACAATAGCTAGCTACTCTAGGAATAATAAATATTTCCTGTCGTCTTGTATGATGTATACAGACTAATTCTACCTGTTTGACAAAGGTCCCCACTCCATCCTGCTAGGCACCCGTGTGGGCAGGTACCATTGACTGGGTCACACATTGCTCCAGAAGTGCAATTGCCACACTTCGATGCGCACTTCATCCCGTAGGTACCTGGTGTGCACACTGATGAGAAGGAAGAGATGTTAGACCGGGGCCCTGTTCCACAAGGCGATCTGAGTACTACGTTAATCGTAAGCCTATGAAAAAGTATGGGAGTTACGAACAACTTGGCACAAAGGTCGCTTTGTGGAACAAGTTCCAGGGATTTTAATCTACTACGCATCAATGTATTGGATATAGAGTAACCCTGCATCTGTGAATAATGCCAGGTTACCATTTTATACAAACGTTAAATCACGTTATTGTGGGTATCTCAGGACAACAATGACATTTTCAACCTCTTATCGATCTTGTGCACCATTATACTTCAAAACCGCATCATCGATATTAACCGAATGTTTTCACACTATAACATGTCGCCATCCTCATATTTCTTGAGATATCAATAGGTTTCTTAAAACTTTTCTGACACTCGGCTTATTTCAATCCACCATAAGGCATCTCGGTCCGCATTGGTAGGAATCCATACTAGAACTGGACTCAATAGTTTCACTAGTTCACGTTACTATCACATTACACAACGCAATCTGCTGGCGACGGTGACCCTTATTGACATAACAACTATGAAATATATACATCGCGAACTAATGCCAACCATCTACCTCCTGAATTAACGATTGTGTGTCCTTTTTAATGTACCTTGTCTGCAGTCAATGCCTTTGTAACCAGCGACGCATCCAGCCAAACACTTTCCTGTGGTCTTCTCACAGACTGATCCCTCTTTGCAGTTTCCACATTGCCTACACTCCTCTCCATATTGGCCCGATAGACACTCTATTGACGCAAATTACATGAAAAACAAGAAGATGATATCATCTCTATCCCCCGCCCATTGTCCAACCTTCAAGACAATGATACGTGCAATCAAATGTAACATTATAAATTAACAATTTGTCCCCCTGCTTGCGGAGGGGATTGAATACAAAAGCTACCGTATAACATCTCAATAAAACTTTGTACAAATATCTGCTTTAGTTAGACTGTTATGATAAACCAAGTTTATAATCATCTATCAGTATGCGACGGCTAAGAATATTTTGTATCCTTGAGCGATGCCAAATTCACTCATTTAGATATCATTGAGATTATTTTTTCAACAATTTGTTTTTCATTTTTTCTTCATTAGTATGTTCCAAAGAAAACAGAATGTTTAATTTTGTAAATACCTTTGACCGAGACTGGGCAAAGACCGTAGAGTTTCTGGACTTTTGGGTTTCCAGAATTAAAATGGGACGTGTTAATTGTATTGGAGAGCATTGTTATACAGGCATGTATTGTTGCAGGCCAGCCCTTTGCGGGAAGTTACCAGAGACAGGCAGGCGGTGCAGATACGTTACAACAGTTGTGAGCATGCTGACCCCCAGGTCACCTGGTGAAACACTTCTGATACATCTACTATGAATCCTGTTATGGCTTTCTTTGTCGCAGTGTTTACTGGTGTGCCATTTTATTGAAATAAGAAAATTTTAAAAAATCTTAAAGAACAAAGACTCTATAACAGCCATAGACTTACATTGTACAAGTTTCATTGAAGAGTACATAAAAGCACTGAGGTACAATTGTTAAGATTGCTTCCATTCAATTCAAGTCTAAATTTATAAGATTTATGTCAAAACAATATAATTTGGGGTATCATAAATAGCAAAAGGCACATCTACACTATATGATGAATGTGTGTACCATATTTCATAAAGATATCTCTAATAACTTTCGAGTTCTGCTCTGGAAATGAAACCCACAGCTTCCATTCAAGTTCAGAGACAAAGTCCAAATTTCTACGAATGATATAAATTATATTGAAAATGCAAGGGAAACCTAAATAGCAAAAAGGCACATCTACATCATATGGTGAATGTGTATACCAAGTTTTGTAAAGTTATCGCTGATGGTTTCCGAGTTCTGCTGCGGAAACGAAATGTGGCGGGCGGAGTCCGTTTCTATATCCCTCGCCATCTTTGTTGGGGCGGGGAATAATAACGATAGCCATATGAAGCTAACACTAGCATTTGTAAATGGTAAGAGTCATTTGGTATGTACAGGCTTGCAACAACTCATGTGTCTCAGTTTGTAAAACTGTTTTCTGCGCATCTTGGTCACTCATAACAATAATTTACACAGTTTATGTGGAGTGTTGCTTTCAACAGCTTGAAGATATAACCTACTTCATCGTGTATTTCACTGCGTTTCCACATGGGAATTCCCCGCGAAGAACAAGTTGAGAAAGATTGTACTAAATAAAATAATACCCACAAGGAAGAAGTATATGTACTCAATCGGTATTCAATACATGAAAGCGACAAAACAGTTTCTATAATCAAATGAAATCTTTGCTAAAAGCAGAGTCCATTGTACGATTCCGACAATATCATAAACATGACATTGTGTTTATGAATGCTTATCAAATAGTATTCGAGAAAAGTGACCGCATCCTGTCCCACCGGTGACACTTGTCTCAAACACATGCATAGGCAAATCAATTGTTCACTGGTCTCAAAACTTAGGAATAGAGAATATACAGTTCTATCCATGTTCCAGTTCTATTTAATGCATACTTGAAATTATTTTTAATGCGAAGTTTCCAGGGTACTTGTTCAAATGTAATACAATACACTAAATTACCCGATGGTTTTCTGTTGGAGAACACGTGGATTCCAGCAGGCTGTGTGATCTCCTCGGATGCAATGACGCCTACTGTCCCACCGGTTGAAGGGATGTTGTATACTGCCCTGAAATACGATCAGTGGCTACCACATGCTTGCATTTTGATAAACCGTCATGGAAATTACGGCTTCTGATTGGTTAATATGACTTCTCGAAAGTGCGTTCATGGATCATGTCATTTCATCATTATGACGTCATAATGTGGGGTAATACCGAAGTATGAAGAACGATTTTGATAATTTTACCTCCATGATGTAATGGTTTAGTAACATGGTATAAATTTAAAAGCCCACAGTAAGGCACTCGGTACTCGGAAGTAATTCTCCCTTTGCAAGTAAGCGAGTTATTTCAGTATTTCGGTGATGGCATGACGTGTCATCTTAATGTCGGAGAGCAGCCTAATGTGACGCAGGTAATGCTTAGCACGGTGATGTCACCCATGGGTAGTTGTACGTTGCTGACAGGCCAGGGAAAACCCGAAAATGGAACCCCCGATTACCGGATCCTGGCCACACGTCAGTTGTATCTAACTATATATACAAATAAAGGCGACAACCCCGCTTTCATAACCATACATCTCTGCTTAAAGCAGGGTTCTGTGTGACTCCGACTGTTTTGTGAGCACCGTGAGCGCGTGTTTATGAATAATTATCAGAAAATGATGATACCGGGTAAGGTGAGCATATCATGTCACATCACCCGTCACAAACACATGCAAAGACAGGTCAAGTATTCACAGGACCACAAGTCAATAAGGGACTTGCATCAGACATCATTTTGATAGATGATGTGTCAAATCACCATAAAACATTCTGAAAGCCTTACGGAAAGAAAACGTGTCAGAAAGTCACCTTCTGTTCCTGTCTGTGAAGTAGATGGCGCCATCATGAAAGTAAATATCGAAGTATCGAGCTCCAGGTTCATGCAGCAAAACTGTTCTGTGCGAGCCATCTACCCACACTGATTGTAGTTTGTACGTCAAGGAGTCGCACCAGAAGAGGATTCCATCTGAAATACAGAAAGAACAGTAAACTGATGATGGGTGTCGCTGAATTGTTTAAAGGACTCTGTTGCAAACTGTTGACATTTGAAGAAGCATGAACAATGTATTTTATAAGTGTATTGTCTGTATTCTGTGGGCCGGATTTACAAAATACATTAAGTGTTAGTTAATTGTATTTGAATTGATCTGGGTAACATAATATATTTATGTATACTAAACATAAAAAGTGTGGGATCATGAATATCTTTGCGGATATGTTTATAAAATAATGTGCTCAGTCTTCACTACAAAAATAATTCAGATTTGGAGAAAAGAAAAATATGTCTGTAAAAAAATACCTAATGTTCTAATTCCTAAGTGATAACCCAAACCAAGTGTAGATAATCATGACTGGGTCACATGCTTTCTATTCGTAGACAAATCTTAAAAAGGGTGCAACGTTACGCATAGAGAGTAATTTAGGTTTAAGGACGCTTTGAACAGTATTTCAGTTATATCACAGCGTTAGAGGAAAGCTCGAAGAGGTGCAGGTATGAGACATGTAATACTTTGCTGAAACCCATGAGCACGAGCATCTAGAAACATCGAGCTAGTCGATCTTACCTTTCAGGCACAGTAAATCGCCATAGGCGACTGCCCCTACAACTCACCCCCCACCCACACCACACCCAAATGTACTCATCATTAAAGTAAGATAGGCTATACAGGCTCACTTCTTTTGTCTATTGCCAGCCCGTTCGGCCATCCAAGACCTTTAGTGACGATTTTTCTGATGTTTGTACCGTCATAATCAGCTGATGCTATGTGGGGGGAAACCCCCCAGTCAGTCCAGTACATCTTCCTGAAAAGGGACAAATGTGCAAATTATAATTGATCCTTCGCGGATGTTTCCTACTTTGTCTACAAGTAACATTAACTACCTGTTTTCTTCATGTAGAACAATCCCTCTAGGTTGGTCAAGCCCAGTGTTAATGACGATCTCACTACCGGTTCCATTCATGTTCAGTACAGCAATGACGTCATTTCCGGTGTCTGTGTAAAAAATCTTCCTGGCGACGGAATCAACGGCTATGCCATCTGGCGTGCCACCTGTAAAACAATGAGAAGAACATACATGTATGTAGATCTCGACCATGGCTTTATTCACCTCGATATAAAAAAGGTATATCAAAAGGTGCTCTGATATTAAATCACTTATAAACGTATTTTCATAAAAGAACAATTCATCAGTGATTTGATCTTTAATATATTAAACTTATTATAGAAAGTTTAAACCAGAACTAGTTTCGTCTTGAATGAAGGGTACTCGGATATAAGAGATATTGTACACTAAAAGACCCTCAAAATCGGAATATATACTTCGATTGTCAAACGATGGATAAGATTAATTAACACCAAATGTATTGTGATCACTTCGTTATGGCAAGCTTTTGGTGAACATGATCTTTTGACTTTTACTTGTATCACTTACTCCCCGTGAGATGTTTGGGTTAGAATAGGTCCCCAACATGGACCGTTCTCACGTCAGGAATGTCTGGTCCAGACTCAATTATTTCCAGGTCGCCGTCAAATAGCTGGAATGTGGCCTTTAGCAACTAACAATAATTATTAAGAAACAAATCCACATACTTGAATCCAAGGACAGGATGAGCTCATCGGTGTTCTTGTTCAGATCTCTTGCTTTGATCACCTTCAGAGCAACGTCTGTCCAGTAGACTCTCTGCTCTGTATGGTCGTAATCAATCGCTACCGGGCGCGAACTGGCAACCAGACTTGATATTTTTGCCGCCGATGCGGTAAGAGATAGCTTGAGTAACCTTCCGGGGTTCAAGTTACTGACGAGAATAGTTAGTTCGGGGTCTGCCACTGTAACGAGAGAATTAAATTAAATGCATTATTGAAAGAACTAAGCTACCAAGATAGTGTAAGCTAATAAAAGCGACTCGCCGTTTCCGTAATCATACGATATCTGTGCTAAAAAGTCCATTGTACGATTCCGAATATGGCATCTGCGTGCGTTAATGAATTACTATCATGAGTACTGATACCATGTGATCGTTAAAAGGTGAGCATATTCTGCCCCACCGGTGGCACCCGTCACAAACACATGCATGGGCAAGTCAAATGTTCACCTGAGAAAAAGCACGGGAAAATAGTGAGTGAGTATAGTCTGAAGTCGCTATTAGAAATATTCCAGCAATATCACATGGGCTTAACATATTGATCCTTGTCGGAAATCAAATCCGGGTCTACGGCCAGATGAGCGAACGCTTTACCACAGGGCTATCCCACCGTACGGGGAAATGTGGTATATATGGTATTTCAAAATAGGGAATTTCATCGGACATCATTATGGTGACTGATATGAAAACTTTTGAAAATGTCCTCGGCATGTCGACCATAAAAACTGGGGCCTGAATGCTGTAACCGTGATTTAAACATGGCTTTTTCACTAGGAGATAATCGCCATACATGAAGTGAAAGCTTGTACCAGTCCGGACTGATTTCTTATGCTAGCACATGGAGGTACCTTGCCACAGTTTAACATGAATACCCAATTCAGACACAGTATACTGACCAGTCATTGTTTTAGCCCCTTAATGCCGAGCCGAGCCGTACCATCGTTTAACGTCTTTTGGTATGATGCGGCCGGGGATCGAACCCCGGACCTTCCGCTCTCCAGGCGGACGCTCTACCACTAGACCACAGAGGCGGTCTTGAAATGATTTAAGGTAGATAGATAGTATAACGCTTCTACATCAGGACACAAAGAGCCTGTTAAGGATTGTGTAAATGAATTAAACACATTTGTAAAGTGCATTTGTACAGGATGTAACAAATAGACAGTTACACTTCAAATCAATCCGTTGCTTCCTCTCAGTACATCGCAGTTTGTGCGGCTACTCACTTGACGTTCCCCGAGGACATGATACATTGTCCTACATTCACCACGGTGTATTATCCTAGAATAGTATCTCCCTGCCCGTTATGTTGGCCAGCATGACCCAGCATGGTCATGATGTATGATATTTACAATAGTGTAGTAGGGGCGGTCGGGTAGCCTAGTGGTTAAAGCGTTCGCTCGTCACGCTGAATACCCTGGTTCGATTCCCGACATGGATACAATGTGTAAAGACCATTTCCGATGGCTATGATATTGCTATGATATTGCTAAAAGCGGCGTAAAACCATGCTCAAGCACTACAATAGTGTAGAAATCAATAACACAAGAAGGCATTTTATCGGGTATTTACGCCTCTTTAGTAAAGGACCACTGACCCATATGCCAAATGTTGTATTTTCATAAAAGTAATTACCGTATTCGATGTTATAAGCGCCCAGGTCGCTCTCAAAATTAGAAATAGGGGGCTCTTATAAGAATATTATTTGAGTTGAAAGATCGTAAATTTCGTGGTTTATGCCGACAGCCTGAAATGTTTATATACGACAGATATATTTTTCCAGAATTTAATTGCCCATAATTAAGGGTGCATATAACATACGAGTGCGTATTGTACACAAATAAATAAGTCTTGTGTACATTAATCAATTGGAAGGGGTGCTAATTGAGATTGTTCACAAGCCAATATATTAACAAATATCGCTGTGGGCGCTTATTAGAGCGGGGCGCTTATTACGAAGAATACGGTATTTCATTTTTTCCTTACGGCGCTTAAACATAAAGGACGGAAGGAATTTTTGTGACCAGTCATATACAGGTTTGCACAAGCCCCTTCCCTAGTAACAGGCTTTCGGTAGCTCGCTAAAATTACAGGGGCGTTGTGGGGCCGGATCTTTACCTACACACGTCAGCTTCTAATTAATTATTCCTTCATTTTAGTAAGCAGCCCTTACTGACGTGGTTTTAGTCGTTTTTAGATGCTTATGCTTAATTGACAACAATTTAATCCGATGCAATCCCCTTTTTTGACTATATGTTCCCGTATTTCTTCAGGTGAAATAAATTTCGGGGGATAATCGAGACTGGTTGTTCTCTGGTGATGGCGTAATGAACTTCAATGTCGAAGTCTGACGATATCAGACAATACAAATGCATTGCGGGGTCCTTTGTCAGCTGGGTATGATCTTTGTCCTCCTATTTATGAAATAGCCAGGCTTGCGCGTTCCGTTTCCGGCAGCCGTGGCGGATGGGTATTCGGTAATGGCATGTGTTTTTTCAACTGTATACACATAACATAGCTGTTAGTCTGCCAACAGCATGATATAATGATTCAGAAAGCAAAGGCAACGAGGAGACAATGTTCAAATATGTGCATAAACTGATACGTTTCTCATTTTCAAAAACGGTTTACCCCAAGGCGTGTGTGTAAAGCTGAGTGGGTGGTGAGTGATTACTGAACCAGATGATTCCCTCTTTCTTGTGAATGCTTCCTATACCTTCTAATGACGTCAGCTAGTAATGGTATATTTTACTAGAAAGAACAATCTTACATTTACTATTTTCCAAATTTAAAGCATAATTCCATAACAAAATAGAAAACATATCAACATATTCGTGATTGGACGTATTGTGCTTTTTGCACTTTTTGTAATTAACTCTGAATTATGACCAATCCTCTTCTCAAAACGAAAAAAATCAAATATTTAAAAAAATAACTCCCGAATAACAAAAAAGCAGCAGTTCAGCACTTGCCTGATTGATTGGCATACATTGTTTAACAAAGAACAACTGTACAGGTAATACGTTACGTCCAACCTGTTACCTTGCACGCGCAAACTTAATTTAGACAATTCTGATTAACAAACGCACTAGTTCAGCTACTTATGTGAATAAAACAAATTACAAAGACATGATAAACAGATGATGAGTTATGCTCCCGAGATTATCCCCACCCCTATATCCATATGAAAATAATAACTCCAGAATCTTTTATCCGATACTTCTGTTAGCAGTAAAGAAACCCTTCAAGATTTGAAAACAGCATCCAACCCAAAATGCCTCTCCTGCACCTAAGGTAACAAGGGTTGATAAAACTGTACATATGATATACTGAGTTTTTATAACTGGAATTTGCGGAAACGTAAATTGATTTGGTTGGTTTGTTGTTTAACGCCGCACTCAGCAATATTCCAGCTATATGACGGCGGTCTGTAAATAATCGAGTCTGGACCAGACAATCCAGTGATTAATGTCATGAGCATCGATCCACGCAATTGGGAACGATGACATGCATCAACCAAGTCAACGAGCCTGGTCACCCGATCCCGTAAGTCGCCTTATACGACAAGCATAGTCGCCTTTTACGACAAGCATGGGTTGCTGAAGACCTATTCTAACCCGGAATCTTCACGGGTCTAAAACGTAAATTGAATAATCATTAACTCTAGAATGGGAACTGGGTCGGGTTGGATCGCGAGAATGCGAGATCGCGAGAATGTCCCTTACAGTATTCCATAGCTGAGTGATTCATTCACAATCAGAAATCAGTGGTTATTTCTAATGAAAGTGAAATTCTAAAATTCATACCTTTCAGAGCAGGTATTGTCTAAAATATTAACGTTGATGACAAAGGGTCTGGTATTGACCATCCACTAACTTATGGTTGTTTGTTTTCTTAACTATGTCTGTAATCTGATCATGCATCGTTCTGTACAAAAGTATAAATACAGCATTGGTCTTGCATCAAGCGATAATCGAAGAGCAAGGTACGAATCCTCTACACAAATAAAGACGAACAGGAATTGTGTACATGTTTCTTAATATTTAGGGGCGGTCGGGTAGCCTCGTGGTTAAAGCGTTCGCTCGTCTCGCCGAAGACCCGGGTTCGATTCCCGACATGGATACAATTTGTGAAGCCCATTTCTTGCCCCCGCCGTGATATTGCTGGTAAATTGCTAAAAGCGGCGTAAAACCATACTCACTTACTCACTTAATATTTAACATTAACACCCGAGAAGAATCAGTCTTGACCTTCTGCGGAAACAGATTCTTTTGGGCGTTAAAGGTAAAATAGTGGTGGAAAATATATGTTTGTTTTGTTTTGTTTTGTTTGTTTGTTTGTTGGTTTGTTTGTTGGTTTGTTTAACGCCGCACTCAGCAATATTCCAGCTATATGACGGCGGTCTGTAAATAATCGAGTCTTGACAAGACAATCCTGTGATTAATGTCATGAGCATCGATCCACGCAATTGGGAACGATGACATGCATCAACCAAGTCAACGAGCCTGGTCACCCGATCCCGTAAGTCGCCTTATACGACAAGCATAGTCGCCTTTTACGACAAGCATGGGTTGCTGAAGGCCTATTCTACCCCGGAATCTTCACGGGTCTAAAACGTAAATTGAATAATCATTAACTCTAGAATGGGAACTGGGTCGGGTTGGATCGCGAGAATGCGAGATCGCGAGAATGTCCCTTACAGTATTCCATAGCTGAGTGATTCATTCACAATCAGAAATCAGTGGTTATTTCTAATGAAAGTGAAATTCTAAAATTCATACCTTTCAGAGCAGGTATTGTCTAAAATATTAACGTTGATGACAAAGGGTCTGGTATTGACCATCCACTAACTTATGGTTGTTTGTTTTCTTAACTATGTCTGTAATCTGATCATGCATCGTTCTGTACAAAAGTATAAATACAGCATTGGTCTTGCATCAAGCGATAATCGAAGAGCAAGGTACGAATCCTCTACACAAATAAAGACGAACAGGAATTGTGTACATGTTTCTTAATATTTAGGGGCGGTCGGGTAGCCTCGTGGTTAAAGCGTTCGCTCGTCTCGCCGAAGACCCGGGTTCGATTCCCGACATGGATACAATTTGTGAAGCCCATTTCTTGCCCCCGCCGTGATATTGCTGGTAAATTGCTAAAAGCGGCGTAAAACCATACTCACTTACTCACTTAATATTTAACATTAACACCCGAGAAGAATCAGTCTTGACCTTCTGCGGAAACAGATTCTTTTGGGCGTTAAAGGTAAAATAGTGGTGGAAAATATATGTTTGTTTTGTTTTGTTTTGTTTGTTTGTTTGTTGGTTTGTTTGTTGGTTTGTTTAACGCCGCACTCAGCAATATTCCAGCTATATGACGGCGGTCTGTAAATAATCGAGTCTTGACAAGACAATCCTGTGATTAATGTCATGAGCATCGATCCACGCAATTGGGAACGATGACATGCATCAACCAAGTCAACGAGCCTGGTCACCCGATCCCGTAAGTCGCCTTATACGACAAGCATAGTCGCCTTTTACGACAAGCATGGGTTGCTGAAGGCCTATTCTACCCCGGAATCTTCACGGGTCTAAAACGTAAATTGAATAATCATTAACTCTAGAATGGGAACTGGGTCGGGTTGGATCGCGAGAATGCGAGATCGCGAGAATGTCCCTTACAGTATTCCATAGCTGAGTGATTCATTCACAATCAGAAATCAGTGGTTATTTCTAATGAAAGTGAAATTCTAAAATTCATACCTTTCAGAGCAGGTATTGTCTAAAATATTAACGTTGATGACAAAGGGTCTGGTATTGACCATCCACTAACTTATGGTTGTTTGTTTTCTTAACTATGTCTGATCATGCATCGTTCTGTACAAAAGTATAAATACAGCATTGGTCTTGCATCAAGCGATAATCGAAGAGCAAGGTACGAATCCTCTACACAAATAAAGACGAACAGGAATTGTGTACATGTTTCTTAATATTTAGGGGCGGTCGGGTAGCCTCGTGGTTAAAGCGTTCGCTCGTCTCGCCGAAGACCCGGGTTCGATTCCCGACATGGATACAATTTGTGAAGCCCATTTCTTGCCCCCGCCGTGATATTGCTGGTAAATTGCTAAAAGCGGCGTAAAACCATACTCACTTACTCACTTAATATTTAACATTAACACCCGAGAAGAATCAGTCTTGACCTTCTGCGGAAACAGATTCTTTTGGGCGTTAAAGGTAAAATAGTGGTGGAAAATATATGTTTGTTTTGTTTTTTTGTTTTTTTTGTTGGTTTGTTTGTTGGTTTGTTTAACGCCGCACTCAGCAATATTCCAGCTATATGACGGCGGTCTGTAAATAATCGAGTCTTGACCAGACAATCCAGTGATTAATGTCATGAGCATCGATCCACGCATTTGGGATCGATGACATGCATCAACCACGTAAGCGAGCCTGACCACCCGATCCCGTTAGTCACCTTTTACGGCAAGCATGGGTTGCTGAAGACCTATTCTATCCCGGATCTTCACGGGTCGGAAAATATATGAATGGATCACTGGAAGTCAGTGATGAAACCAGGTGTTTGTGGAAAGGGTAAACATGTCCTGGCCTATAGGGAGCACCCGCCATTCACATTGGCATCAAAGAGTAAGCGTCTGTTGCCTGACGCTGCACGGCAGTACTACTTCTTGTTACAAGCGGGGAAACTAAGCCGAGTTTTGGTAATTTGACCCAACCACTGTGTCAAGTGTATCATGTCATGTCTAATATGTTCATATGTATTGTGCAAGTATTTCCGGGCAAGCCACCACTTCAGCATGACACTTGAGTTTACAATAGAATCTCGTAATATAGGAACCTGAAAACTAAAGATAAATATACAGTAAACTACGGTTATAACGAACACGCTTATAACGAACTGACGGATATAACGAACTTACTTTTTTGGTCCCGACTATTTGCTGCAGTTATGCAGTATATATGCTTATAACGAACTATGGTTATAACGAACTAAAATTAGTAGTCCCTTTGAGTTCGTTATAACCGTACTTTACTGTACACTACATCTTTATATATCATCCCTTGAAAACGGATCATTAGAATCATGTAAGAAGACAACATGTAAGTAGAACATTTCCTTGTTCACCTGATTCAGAAGGTGTTTGATGAGGTGGCTTGATCACGTACATATTGCATTGTACTATTTTACCAAATTGAGAGAACTGAATCGGGTCTGAGTTGTTTACTGTAGCATGATATTTGAAGAAGCTGAATGAGCATGAAGTCTTTGATAGGCATTTGGGAGAGGAGGAAGAATATGAATACATGAAACTGTTTATTGGTAACAACCTAGGCTCATAAACACCGTATTCATCTTCTATTAGACAGACTCACTTTTGAAAAATGTGTCGGTGTTTGGGCAGATAGGCCCATATAAACCTTGTCCATCTTCTATTAGACAGACTCACTTTTGAAAGATGTGTCGGTGTTAAGGCAGCTGGGCCCATATACACCTTGTCCATCTTCTATTAGACAGACTCACTTTTGAAAGATGTGTCGGTGTTTGGGCAGCTGGGCCCATATACACCTTGTCCATCTTCTATTAGACAGACTCACTTTTGAAAGATGTGTCGGTGTTTGGGCAGCTGGGCCCATATACACCTTGTCCATCTTCTATTAGACAGACTCAATTTTGAAAGATGTGTCGGTGTTTGGGCAGCTAGGCCCATATACACCTTGTCCATCTTCTATTAGACAGACTCACTTTTGAAAGATGTGTCGGTGTTTGGGCAGCTGGGCCCATATACACCTTGTCCATCTTCTATTAGACAGACTCACTTTTGAAAGATGTGTCGGTGTTTGGGCAGCTGGGCCCATATACACCTTGTCCATCTTCTATTAGACAGACTCACTTTTGAAAGATGTGTCGGTGTTTGGGCAGCTGGGCCCATATACACCTTGTCCATCTTCTATTAGACAGACTCAATTTTGAAAGATGTGTCGGTGTTTGGGCAGCTAGGCCCATATACACCTTGTCCATCTTCTATTAGACAGACTCACTTTTGAAAGATGTGTCGGTGTTTGGGCAGCTGGGCCCATATACACCTTGTCCATCTTCTATTAGACAGACTCAATTTTGAAAGATGTGTCGGTGTTTGGGCAGCTAGGCCCATATACACCTTGTCCATCTTCTATTAGACAGACTCACTTTTGAAAGATGTGTCGGTGTTTGGGCAGCTGGGCCCATATACACCTTGTCCATCTTCTATTAGACAGACTCACTTTTGAAAGATGTGTCGGTGTTTGGGCAGCTGGGCCCATATACACCTTGTCCATCTTCTATTAGACAGACTCACTTTTGAAAGATGTGTCGGTGTTTGGGCAGCTAGGCCCATATACACCTTGTCCATCTTCTATTAGACAGACTCACTTTTGAAAGATGTGTCGGTGTTTGGGCAGCTAGGCCCATATACACCTTGTCCATCTTCTATTAGACAGACTCACTTTTGAAAGATGTGTCGGTGTTTGGGCAGCTAGGCCCATATACACCTTGTCCATCTTCTATGAGAGCATGCTTTTATACAATTACTACACATCTATTCACTTCCATGATGTGTATTAATGTGATAGATAACCAAAAGAAGGAATATCCTTGTTCGCAAACGGGATAACAAGATACTCTTTAACCAGGACCAGGACTTGCTAATTAAAGAGAGTGTACTGTTAATATCATTAGTAGTATGTAACTTCATAGAAATACATATGTGTTATTATAAAAGGACATGCTTTGAAACAGTATATACTACTCAAAAGAATATAAAGAACACCCGATTCTTTTCCATTACTATCGTTAATATCATAGTAGTATATTGTCGAATGAACATTATTATTGAGTATAGATTATGTAGAAACAATAGAGGGCTTACCATCTCCGTAAACCTGGATAAGACACATACAAGCACACAGAGCATTGTATTTTCCAACCATTTTGCCAGGCAGTTATCGCTAGAGTACAAAGATTGTGTACAGTACTTCCGCGTAACACTACTGCGTATGGGATTTGGTCAGGCTAAGACAAGGAATTTCTGCAGTTTTTCGCAAAACGTATAATGGTAATGAAAGATATAGTGACATCTTTTAATATGTTTACTGAAATCATGAAACTACTTGTTATACAAATATGATTATTTTCAATCTTAAAGGACTAACATCCTAAGAGGCGACTAACGGGATCGGGTGGTCAGGCTGGCTGACTTGGTTGATGCATGTCATCGTATCCCTATAGCGTGGATCGATGCTTGTGATGTCAATCACTGGATTGTCTGGTCAAGACTCGTTTATTTACAGACCGCTGTCATATAGCTGGAATATTGCTGGGTGCGGCGTTAAATAACAAACAAACAAACACAAGGGGCGAAAGTTTCCTTTCTTCAGCCACACTATAAAATGGTAAGTGACGTATTTGTCAAGCCAGCGAGCCTGACCATCCAATCGCCTAGTCGCCTCTTACGACAAGCATGGGTTGCTGAAGACCTATCCTACCCCGGATCTTCACGGATCTGCTTTTATGACGATTGGGCCACCGCAGTTTAGAAACAAATGGGTAATTTTTTTATGTTTGTTTGTTGTTGTTGATTTCAGTGGTATATCTTGATGAATGTAAATAACATAAAAGCAAAATCTATCACAATTCTAGAATGACCGTATTTGCCACAGGAATAAAATAAATAGGCTATCACCAATATATAATAACCAATGGCGACTATGAATAGACAACCTTATACATGCGTTTGTATTGTACAGTATGACCTACCATTAACTGTTGTAAACGAAGTAAGTGTCGGTACTGTAATATACCCCTTTGTGAGTGGGTACAGTTTGGGAATGTACTTTTCGCATCTATTTACACGTATGCCTTCGGAGTTTACTTCTCTCTTCTTGAAAATTAGAACTTGCCTGTGCATGGTAACCAGCTAATGGTCATACCAGTAACGATTAACTGGTTGATGTATTCCTGTTGATCAGCGTTTGTGGGAGCTACGGGTAGTTAAAGCACAGACATAACTTGTGGTTAGAGGAATACATCTATCGGCGTTGTACAAACGGTTTGGTGTAGTATATCCTGATTCACCCGAACTTACTAGCGCATTCTTCATCTGTCACCATTTTGTCACAGAAGTGAAACAGCACATGGAATAGTGAGTGAGTGAGTGAGTGAGTGAGTGAGTGAGTGAGTGAGTGAGTGAGTGAGTGAGTGAGTGAGTGAGTGAGTGAGTATGGATTTATGCCGCCTTTAGCAATATTCCAGCAATATCATGGCGGGGGACACAAGAAATGGGCTTCACACATTGTACCAATGTGACGAGGGAACGCTTTAACCACTAGGCTACCCCACCCCTCATGTAATCATGAAGAATGAAATCTACAACATCAAATATTACAAAACAACTCAACCTGTTTGCATGTTTAATGTACTGATACAGTATTGATCAATATCGTCCCAGAAGAGGGAGCTGATTCTTTAAACATATATGGTTGTTCAAGAACTATGATGAATACGTTCATGGAAGTAATTTCTCACAACAATTTACAATTCCCCAGTTTGATGTTATTGCCATGATAACAAGTCTTACACTTTGAAATAGACTTGTGGATTGACCATTGGATATTCAAGGGGACTGGGATTTTATCGAAAATCAGAATTTTCCCAGAAAATGCTTGAAAAAAATAACTTTGTGTCAGATTCTTCTAAATTTACATTGTTGCCAGGTGTTTTTAAAAAATTAGGCTGATAGTTGTAATTAAAGAAATATTTGGTTTTGCATCTGTAGCTGATAAAATGGCTCATCTCCATACAAAATTCCAGCCCCTACCCCCCTCAAATGGTCAGTCCCTTACTATACTGTTATATGTCTGTTTAGAAGAAAGTCATGGTCATAAGCCTAAGTACTTCCATTGACCTGTCACCACTGCCTCTATACACTAGATGTCCTTCTTCACAGAAAACTACTATAATATAGAAACCTACTAAAGAAAAAAGAAATAAAAATATTTCCCAAGAAATAGTTTAATTAATATGAAATATGTATAACAAGGACTAATAAGAAAAACAAATAACAAATATATTTATTGTGGCATACTGTAACTTGAACAGACTGCAAAACCAGTATAGATAGGTATTTCTTGGGCTTGCATTGCTGTGAGGGTACATCAATTATATGATTTACAGTACATCTATGCATACATAACAAGTGCATACAGGAAACTTTACCTACTTGTGTTGCAGAGGCTACATCCATTACATTCATACAAAGTAAACTGCCAGGCAAAAGATAGTATACAATTGAGAATTGGATTTGACAAAAAAAATACAATTACCTTTTCTTGTTTGTTTTATTTTCAGCCACCATCAAACATGGGTGCTTAGTTTCTTTTGCCTGGCAGTTACTACTGTGTGTCAAAACATCTAACATTTTAATAAATATACAAAATGTAACAACACATGTTTTCTATTCTGGTACAGATCTTTTCTAAAATACAACATGCTTATACATAACAACTGTTTTCAAGGAACTCTACTGAGTTATTTATCTAACAAGGAACATGAACGGTGTGTGATTCTGGTTATTCTGTTGAGTAACGGTTACTGAGAATTGTCAAGGGGCTTCAGCACTTGGGATAACAACATGGACAGTTTCATTTCATACATTTTTCACCAGCTCATATTCTTTCTATTTCTTATATACTAGGTATCTAGTGGATAATCTCATCACTCAACTATATATATGTTAAGATCTTGTTACAAATCTTATCAACATCATAGATTACACATAAATCAATTTATCACTACTCATTTAAGAATCTAGACAAATGGTTGGCCAGTTGCTGTCTTGTAAAAACTCATTAAGTCGGCTGGTAAGCTTTCAGGGATATCATGATGTCATAATGATTGACGTAATGTCAGAATTGCCAGGTCACATTTGAGTTACCTCACAAAGCTGGTCACAAGATAGATCTAATTGTCACACACAAATATTTCCCTGAAAACAATTCATAACAAAGAGTGAATCTGTAGTGATATATGTGTTATGTGCGTCATCAGCAGGATGTATGGTCCATGCCCACCTCTTGACATGTGGTTCTGACGTACAATCCCTTCATCTCGTAAAATCCCTTGCTACTGACACACGAAACTGATACTAACCACATTATCGACCCCATGTCAAACAACATAAGCACAGAATAGGACTACTCCAGGTCAGTGAGTGAGTGAGTGAGTATGTTTTTTATCCTGCTTTTAGCAATATTCCAGCAATATCACAGCAGGAGACACCAGAAATGGGCTCCACACATTGTAGCCATGTGGGGAATCGAACCCAGGTCTTCGGCGTGATGAGTGAATGCTTTAACCACCCCACCACCCCATTCCAGGTCAGTGAGTGCTCAGCATCAGTCATCTTGCTGATCAACAACAGTTTGCATTATCAGCTAAGCAACTGTGTGCCGCTGTACAAAGCAATCTTAGCGCTAAGGTGATCGTAACTCCCATACCTTACCATAGACTTACGCCAGTCGTGTCCTTCAGGTTGTTTTGAACAACGGCACCCTGGTTATTTATTATAGGAGTGGGGTGGGGGGAATAGGTCTTCGAACTCTATCACAGTTTGCTTTGTTCATTCTTTCATTCACTTGTTTGCCTGATCAAGACAATTATTTTCAGGCTGCTGTGAAAAAGCTGAAATATCACCAACTGTTAAAGGGGCACTGATCTAACGCAATTCCCCGGGACTGGTTGTTGCCTTTGTTATTGTTTTTTCCCAGTGAGTACCCGGATGTATAGCAGAAATCTAGACTAGTTCGCGACCTCTGCTGCGCCTTTCGTAAGCGCATTAGTCACTTTTATGGATACCGGTAGTAATAAGGGCGTATGGTCACATTGATCAACAAAATGAAATACAGTTTTCGAGATAATAAGGAAATGTAGGTATCTTTGGGGGTGGCATCGATAATGGTGACGAAGTTTTGATAAGTCACTTGCTTGGTAATTTTGCGATTCTAGTTTACACTATTTTTACTTGCAACACGAAGTAAATATTTCACCTAAGCATTGCTTTTTTATAGTGTGCATATTTTTTTACGGTCAAAATGTGTAACATATTTATTAAACGTCTAAATATTTTACAAAGTGACTGAAAAACATTTCGTTGAAAAGTACATTTCTATGCTGTTTGGCTTCTAATCCTACATAATAATCTGTTGTGATGTTTGTAGGCCCTTTTGATCGTCTTAATCAATCTGGACAGAATTCTTAGTCAAAATGGCTGAAATATTTACACATTTTATAAATTGCCTGAGAGAATCAAATTTTACAAATTGACGGTAATATATACACGCTTACAAAGGAAAAGACCGGTGAAAACAACTCCTATCGCGCATTGAAGAATTTCCCAACCAAGACGTAGAGAAACAAGAACGAATCGGTTCAAATGAAGGAAAACAAAATGCAAATACCATAATTACAACCCACCAAATTTATGTGTATAAATTTTAGGCAGCTTCCTTGTTCGAGGAATGTATCCGTGAATATCCACACAAAGGAACAATATCCCACTCGTCTGCAGCTGTACAAAGAAACTTATTCGATGTCACGTGTCTCTGTAACAATCAAATATTTTAAAAGATATATATCGTTTCGGTCCACGGTTCCATTGAGTGATAGATAACAATGATCAACGTATTATCAGTAAACCCTTTGAACAAAGTATGCTGTTTTTACATCGGCACTTCACGCCATGATATGAGTGTATTCCCTTTGTTTTAGTAAACCTAGACATGTCTACACTCCCTTTTGACATATCCACTGTGCAAGATAACAGTGATTAATCAATCAACGTATTTTCTGTTAATCCTTTGATGACCAGGAACGATCCGTTGATTTTCAAAAAAAAGTAAATGAACTGATCATTCATCTCTTGCTTGGCTGCCACGTGCATATTACATAACACACATTTCACCTCACTTCAAACCTGGATTTAGATTGAATAATTACCCCAGACACAATAAATGCCAAATGGGAACCTTTGTCAGGTAATCTAAGTGGTGCTACCACTAATTGTACCTGTAATAAATTCATTAACTGAGCATCAAGGGAATGACAACAAATACACAAGTGTAGGGTTAGACGAGAAAAAGTGGATGACAACAAGGGAGTAGTAATCGTATTATCGACGCAATCCAAAACCCGAAAATGCTTTCACTGCATGGATACTTTTTTTAGTATTAAACTATAACCATCTGGGGTATTTCCAAATTACGACATCCGATAAGCTCCGCCGTTCTTTTTGTCTCTTTGTTTAGGCTGAAGAAATTAATTAACATGCGCCCTTTGTCGAAACCTTTATAGATCACAGTTAACCAATCAGTGTTTATGCAAAATTGCGTAAAACAAATATTGCCTCCAGCCTCCAAGTTCATTTAGCTGTCCTTGCAGACGGTAGCCCAGTCTCTGGTCACGCTCAGTTGCGTTGCGTATCATCCGGGTACTCACTGGGAAAAAACAATAACAAAGGCAGCAACCAGTCCGGGGAATTGCGTTAGATCAGTGCCCCTTTAACTAACATTCACTAGCTAACCAGACTAATAAAAAAAACATAGATAACAGAAAAAATTAAAAAGTCACGAGATCTTGTGTGAGCAGAGTGGAACAAGGTAAATGCCACATCATGTTGGAACTTCCAACTTGGAAGTCTATGAAATAGCCCTCCATACAACAGTCATGTGTTGAATGTAGAAACCAATTCCATTTGCTTTGAATATGCGAAGAGTTACAGTGTAGTTAAAGTAATAACAATGAGTTCTGCTGACATTATTTTACCAATACTTAGCCTCTGTTGGCTCTGACTGGGAATCAGGTTCACAATCACTGCATACATCACATGATACACCTGTGGTCATTGTGATCACTTTGTACAACACTGTTTGGCTCAGTTCCACAAAACTATGAGAATTACCAAAGTTGAAGTACAGATCAGCAGATCCTTGCAACTAAGGTAAGCAACTCTGCACCGCAAATTGTGGTGGCTTAGAACACAAGGCTACCCATGCTCTATCATTGAATATGATACACACACACACATATATATATATATAGTCATGTCATATATATCATAACACTGATAAATTAAAATAGACTCTAATATTATCATGGCGACAGCCTTTATAAAGCATAATATCACATTTTCTTCATATCAAAAATGATCTCATCATATATTATCACAGGTCCTCTATCCATATTCTCTAGGCAGGTGATATTTTGCAGCACTATCAGCATCACGGTGAACACTTGGACATCCGCATCACGAGATGACACACATTTTGGATCTCTTTTTCTGTGTCTCTTCGTTTTCCTGTTCCTGTTCCTGTTCCGGCTCCACCGGAGGCTCCCCGTGTGGCTCCCCGTGTGGCTCCCCTTCATCCTGCCTGAACTGATGGTGGTACTTCAGCATCTGCTGCTCTCTGAAACAGCCATGAAGAGTGAGTGAGTGAGTGAGTGAGTGAGTGGAATTTAAAGCCGTTTTGAACAGTATTACAGTTATATCACAGCCTGTCAGCCCGATGTGGGAAGGAAGCCCAAAGTGATACAGGTCTTAAACATTTCCCATCAAACCCACGACGATAGGTTTCTGGCATCCGCGAGCACACAACTCTATCCCCACTGCTGAAGAAGTGTCAGTGACAACTGATTTACAGTAAGAAGAACGAGGGCCCTGTTCCGCAAAGCGATCGTCGCACTACGACTATCATAAGTCCATGATAAAGTATGTGAGTTACAATCGTCTGAGCGTTAGGATCACTTTGTTGAATGGGCCCTGATCGGATTTATTGCCTGTGAAAAACACAATCATCAGCGTAATACTGGTCTGAATTTTACTGTCAAAGTCAAACATAAAACGACAATGAAAAACAGCTTACGATAAAACAAAAAAAGCTGCTTATCATTAAGTTGAAACTTGTTCTTGGTACTACTAGGCAATGGACACTTTGGCATTATTAACTTTGAGAGTAGTGGTCAGTGCAAGCTGTTTGGTAAAGCGTAATTTCCATGAAATAATAAACAGAACAAAGAATACATGTTTCTTTCAGTATTCAACAATTTTCTGTCTAAATAAGACTTGAAAACTCATTTGCATCAATTTGACTTAAGTAATAAATTAATTACCACCTACTGCGTAAATGCCCTTTATCATATAATGGGTAGGATTCTCGGCAGGGATGAAGCCAACTGATAAAAGTGATATCAGTTGGGGTCAAATGCGGATAGAGATGCAAATATCGAAGGTCAAGTAGGCTCGCTAAATATAATGTTTATTCCTAATACAGGATATTTACCATCCCCAAACACACTTGCGTGAAAACCTCTTGCCTTCTATGGACAAATAATCATCCAGTCAGGATGCTCTTAATAGGGACTGAGATACTTAATCCATGAGCCACTGGGCCACTGGCCTTTGTGAATAATAATGCTCAACATCACTGTAACACTGTGTGATATGGGCCACTGGCCTTTGTGAATAATAATGCCCAACATCACTGTAACACTGTGTGATATGGGCCACTGGCCTTTGTGAATAATAATGCTCAACATCACTGTAACACTGTGTGATATGGGCCACTGGCCTTTGTGAATAAAGTTGATTGAATTGACAACATCATATTTTGTACTTTGATGTCCTCCCAAAACAAGCTTGCTTGCCTGAGACCAAGCTGTTCCTATTTTCAGCAAAAATGACAATAATGAGTTTCAAGTCACCTTTCTGCTCTAGACAGTCCACGGTCTGCATCCTCCTCACTCTCATCTCCGGAATATCTTTCTGAAGGAGCTGCTCCACCACCTTCCTGTGTGTCTGATGGGGCTGCATTGTTCACTTGCCCATTCCGGTCGGAGTCAGGGGGTCTGATGGTCTCATACACTGTAGCATCGCTTCGACTTGTCTCCCCTTGTTTCGTACAATATTTGGAATTAGATTTATGAATACACTTGGATAACACTAGCAGTGAAAGCTTCTACACTTGTTTATGTTAATGGAACATGTGTTTCAAATGAATTATAATTCAAATATTTTTTAACTCAATTTAAAGAAGTCTTTTTAAATTTATTTAAATCAAGTCTCACTTTTCAGCTGAAAAGGATATATCATCAAAGTTACTCTAAACTAACCATCACCATGGTTACAGGATATCATCCAATCCAACAGTTAGGATATGTGCTTCTTGAAATACTTATCTATGACAATGTAAGGTTAATTGTTACATGAAGTGCTCACGATCAAACTCGATGATGTAAGATGAGCAGTTGAGGTACCGATCCAGAATCAACAAAACATTTCAGCACTCAAGCAATGCGATTTGTTATGATGTATTAATATCTATGTATAAATATTTTTACCTGCTTAAGTTTCTGCTATTAGTTTCTACTTGTGATCAGCTGCCTACTGGAGCACAAATGAAGTCATTTTCTGCATGTTCAGTGTACCCAGTTTTAATATTGCACTCACTCACTCACTCACTCACTCACTCCATGCATCTCAAGATCTGGAGATGGAAAGACAAATTCAGTGGCACTGAACTACATTTTGTTCCTATTTTCACAAACGTACTAGATGCTATACAATTACTTCAAACCATATTTCTGCAACAAACTGTCTGTCAATACTACAACTTTAACTTTTTCATTAATTATATTACTTTCACAATCCTTAAATTTAAGTTCTTCTTATATTATAGAAATACCACATCTATTAGCAATTATTGCTCTTCATTCTTGTTCCGTAGTTTCTTTTCATTGTGAGTGAGTGAATGAGTATGGTTTTACGCTGCTTTTAGCAATATTCCAGCAATATCACGGTAGGGGACACCAGAAATGGTCTTCACACATTGTACCAGTGTCGGGAATCGAACCCGGGTCTTCAGCGTGACGAGCGAACGCTTTACCACAAGACTACCCGACTACCCCTCTTTTGATTGTGTAACTATGTGGTATCACCGTGTGTTAATACTAACTTCCCTGAGTCACTTTGCCTGCTTATCATCAAAGAGGGAACAGAGGAGACAAAGTAAGCCAAACAATAGGCTCAATTTTAAGGTTTCATGAAAATGGGCTTAGTTGTTTCCAAATTATTGACTAATAGCAAAACTTGCTTAATAGAATATGTAAACAAGCTATAACATGTTTGTCAGCAACCACAGCTTACACAAATATACTGTCATGTCGTTTTTGCATTGAACACCAAGGCCGTAGTTAACTTTTTTTGACAGGGGGGGCAAATATTTGTACAAGTATCACTTGTCCCCAACTTCATTCAAATAAAACTGTTTCCTATAAAAATCTAGGGGGGCAACTGCTGCCAGAATGTTCTTTTGTTCACGTTTCAAATTTGTAATCGAGAATTTGTCAAAATATGTTTCGAAGAGTAGTCACCAATTTGAAATTGAAGCACGAGAAAGCTGCCTTCTGATTGGTCATTCCATTGGTCGGTCAAAGTTCGCGCAAGGTCGGTCTGACGTGACCCGTAATGGGATGTCCTCAGATCTTTGTTTAGCGGTAGCGAGAACTAAGATCCGATTTTAATGAGATTGAGTTAACGATTGACATTTTTCACTTGTCACAGGAACATGGACATTGGGCCATGCAAAGCATCAACTCTTAGATCAATTGTTACATCCCTATTGACTTGGCACTTCCTATCCTCCTCCTGCGCACAATGTCACAATGTGCCCCCTCAAACAAAATATCCCAAACAATTAGTATTTACTTACTCAAAGTCTCTCAGAATCTGCAATATTGTTCAAGTAAATTTCAATTGAAAAGAACTTCAAAAACAATTTGTTTGATTTATTTTAATTTTTTTTAACTCAAATCACAGTTATTTTTAGGACTTTATTGAGTCTGCCTAAAAACATGAAAATAGGACAGTCAATAAGTTAAAAACACTTGGTAGAATAAAGACCTGATTATTAGATAAACAATATTTCTAGAAAATGATAATTAAGAAATAAAACAAAATTAGTAATAATGCCAACTACTTGTAAAAATTAATTTTAAGGTGAACTGTTAGGAAAAGCTTCAAGAATGGTTATTGCTGCTGAGCTATCACTACCAATGCCACTGAAGTCTGTCACAAACCTCCAGGCCTCTCAGATGCAGGAACGTTTGTTTTCCTGGGTTCAAACACAGCTTTCTCAGCCTCAATTTCATCTGAACTGTAGAAGAAGTTAGGTCCTCGGCGCATTTTATTCTGGAATTCAGCAACAGTGTTGGTCATCTCACCTTGTCGAAATTCAGGGGCAGAATTTTCAAAGTCAATTTCAGCATAGTGCCCTGTTGACTCCCGAAGTCTGTCATCCTGGTACAATGAATTCTCCTGCATGGCCGGACCCACTGGTGTCTCATATGTGTTGTTAGGGCTGACTGGTGGGGACTGAGTGGGAACAGGTGGAGGTATGTTCCTGGCATTCAGAAAAGACTCACATGACTACAATTGTGAAGAATTGTAGTAAAAAAATGGATAAAATTGTCACAAAAATGCCATGTTATCAGAAATCTGCAGGCCACTGTGACTTGATAGCAGCCGCATTTCCCGAACAACAGCTGCTATCTATTCTATTGTTATGTGACATCATTGGCATCACGTTTCTTGTTTTGGACGCCATCCAATACTATGTTCTATGACGTTGCTATTTGTGTAAATCAATTACCTCTGTTAAGAGGCTTTTAATACAGCCACTAAACATATGCTGTTGTTTGTTGTTTTGTACAGTTTGGGATTAGCTACAAATTTGAGCCATTTTAGCTATAATAACGTAACATTATTTTTCAGGACATTATCATATACAGAAGCCCTCGGTCCATTTAACTGCTCTTCCTCATCATGCAGTTAATGGCAGACCTTAGGCTTCGGCAAATTATTATGATGCCCTGAAAAATAATTTTGCCTTTATAATTGAAACAGTTAAATACTATTTGTCCAAAATTCCATATACACAAATTTTCAAACTACTGTGTATGACTGACAGTTTGCTCATTTCAATACCCTGCATGTTGGTAATTTTCATAAATTTTAACCGCAAGATACGATTTGAGAAATATTGAAACAAAAAGCCATAAGGTAAACAGTTTTCTTAAAAATACAATGCTGCTCTAGAGATCACATACCTCCAGGTATAGAAGGGCTTGGATTGCAGCTCTATGCTTTCAATGAGTTAGTGATGCTGCTTTCAACTGTATTTTAGTCATCTAAAAGAGGTACCGGCTGATGACAATCCCCGAAAGATTAATTCAAGTTCTACTCAACCCACCTTGTTTCCCTTAACTAAATCTATATCATTTGTTAATGAGGATCCACATTATGCAGTCACAGGCAATGTCTCAATTTCCTAAAGGGCAAAAATTATAAAATGGGGAAACTGGTTCAACTATGGACACCAGATCAAGAAGCATATACCACATTAAAACATGTCAGTTTAACATGGGATCATTACAGAAATTACAGCTTCTGATTGGTCAAATAGCTTTGGAGGCGATCGTGGCACAGATAAGACACCCATACCATGATATAGTTGTCCTCAAGTCTAAACACTATTGTTCAGTGTACACATAAAATACAAAACTGCTAGATGAATGAACACAAATCTTGGAAACAGTTTGCATTTGTTTGCCAAAATTTATTTTTTTAAAGGTTACGTTGGTTGAAAACATGTCACCAGATGATTATAAGTTGTATGTTTTTCTTAGCATCAACATTTTTAGCACTGCACCCGCTTCTAGATCCATGTAAGTGCATCCTCCTGCCTGGTTTAGGAGGTGGGTGGTGAAATGGGGTTTAACGATGCGTCAAAGATTATTGCACTTATATAGCGACGTGCATGCACGTGTGTGACTCCTTGTACTAGTCCAGACTGATGCCGATTTATAGTGCTTGCCCAATGAGATACCATGCCGCAGTTTAACATGAATACCCCACTTAGACACAGTATGACCAGTCCTTGTTTTACCACCTTAATGCCGAGGATAACAACAAGTACCATCTTTTAACGTCTTTTGGTATGACACGGCCTGGGATCGAACCCTGGACCTTGTGCTCTCCAGACGGACGCTCTACCACTGGACCACGAAGGCAGTCTGTCTGGTTTAGGAACTACAAAGCCAGAAGAATGACTTACCCTATTTCTGTCTCCTCGTGGCTGAGATCCCCATCAGAATATGTGTCTGTGTCCTCTGACTCCACAGAATCCGACTCCACAGAGTCCGACTCTTGGCCTTCATCGCTGTGTGGATACTGAAATCAGTCATAATGATATACTTGTAACTTCTTTGATATACTGGCTTCACTGGTACTGCCTTTACTACCCTTTTGTGTACATAACAGGCTTCTCCAATCCAGTATAATTACATCTGATATACACCTCCTACCTGTATATATATATACTTGTCAACCTTACTCTGTATATCACTAGCTTGATAACGGTGTTAGAACCTACACCGAAACGTTGCTCTTAATTGTAGTAAAGAAGTTGTTCATCCATAACATCTTATCCTTACTGGTATACTTGTATATGTTAAAGGCATACTGAAAGGAAACTACATTGTTAAAATAAATTATATTACAAGTACATTGCAACGGTGACACCCTGTCAAACAATGATATCACAAGGACAATGTGACGGTGATCAGATCCCCAATGAAACAATGATATCACAAGGACAATGTGTTGGTGATCAGATCCCCAATGAAATAATGATATCACAAGTACAATGCAATGGCGACACCTTATCAAACAATGACATCACAAGGACAATGTGACGGTGATCAGATCCCCAATGAAACAATGATATCACAAGGACAATGTGACGGTGATCAGATCCCCCATCAAACAATGATATCACAAGGACAATGTGACGGTGATCAGATCCCCCATCAAACAATGATATCACAAGGACAATGTGACGGTGATCAGATCCCCAATGAAACAATGATATCACAACAAGACATTGAAACCCTGAAACCAATCTTGTAGACACTTTCTTAATTTTGGCTTTGATGTTTGGTGACAATTCTTGGTCAAATGTTGATCCACACATTGATCTAAACCAGAAACATTTTGAACGATGACTGCATCTCCTTATCAACACCACCACCTTGAACTCAACGTGTTTACTTTGTATTTGGTTAACAAACCTTCACCTACTGCTCACCTTCTCATGGTGGACATCGGCCTTGACCTGTTCTCTGTGGTTGACTTTTCGTTGGTCATCATCATCATCATCTGAACTGTCCACAGGTGGTGTCTTAAACCTCAGACTCTTGGTGTGTGACAAACTGAATTCCTCTCTCTTCATGGCTGTTTTGGGTGTATGTTCCAGGCCACTGGAGGAGGGACGTTTATTTTGTTCTTTCTTCTCCTTCTCGCCATCGTCTTCCTCATCACTTTCATCCTCTTTTTTGTCAGCGTGGCGATGTCCATTTACTTGAGGTGCCCTGGGTGTTCTAGGCGTCTTTGTTTCATCAAGTGAATCTGCACCATCAAAATCTGCAAGAGAGTCCAGGCAGGTCTGCAGTGGGATGATATACATGAATTATCTCCCTTGGATTTTGTCCAAATAAATCTTTATCACATCCGGCTTTGAAAATACCACATTCTCTTCAAGCCCCCTCCAACACCAAATATACCACCAGCTATCCTCGTACACTAACCACACCCTGTGGCTATGGCCTTCATAATCCATTCGTGACCAACTCGTGTTATTCCGGGACAATCCGAATAGCGACTCGTGTCCCTCACATGGCCATTTTTGCGACCAGGTTCCGTCTTAGCGCAAACGGGCATACCAAAAATAATTGTCAACTCATCGCGTTATAGTTCACATATATTTCCCCATATACTATATAGATTTCAGATGCAATTTAAAGCACATCTGGACATACGGAATTATACAGTATGATTGAACACATTTAACTGTGCCTTGGGTATATTTTTAGATGCAAGACACATGTAAAATCAAAAAATATTTCTGAAGGATTCTTTGACAGAGAACTTGAAATCATACGTGCATTCTGATTGGTTTTCGCACATAACATTCATCGATAGGGGGACTTGTCTTCTTGCAGGTTACGGAAAGTGGTGAGTGGTGACGAATGTTCATAATCCTGTCTGTACACACACCACACCCTGTGGCTATGGCCTTGTAACCCTGTCAACTAGCCCCTGTCTGTACACTCACCACACCCTGTGGCTATGGCCTTGTTAACCCTGTCAACTAGCCCCTGTCTGTACTCTCACCACACCCTGTGGCTATGGCCTTGTTAACCCTGTCAACTAGCCCCTGTCTGTACTCTCACCACACCCTGTGGCTATGGCCTTGTTAACCCTGTCAACTAGCCCTTGTCTGTACACTCACCACAACCTGTGGCTATGGCCTTGTAACCCTGTCAACTAGCCCCTGTCTGTACACTCACCACACCCTGTGGCTATGGCCTTGTTAACCCTGTAAGACAGCTCATGTCTGTACACTCACCACACCCTGTGGCTATGGCCTTGTTAACCCTGTCAACTAGCACATGTCTGTACACTCACCACACCCTGTGGCTATGGCCTTGTTAACCCTGTAAGACAGCCCCTGTCTGTACACTCACCACACCCTGTGGCTATGGCCTTGTTAACCCTGTAAGACAGCCCATGTCTGTACACTCACCACACCCTGTGGCTATGGCCTTGTTAACCCTGTCAACTAGCACATGTCTGTACACTCACCACACCCTGTGGCTATGGCCTTGTTAACCCTGTAAGACAGCCCCTGTCTGTACACTCACCACACCCTGTGGCTATGGCCTTGTTAACCCTGTCAACTAGCCCATGTCTGTACACTCACCACACCCTGTGGCTATGGCCTTGTTAACCCTGTCAACTAGCACATGTCTGTACACTCACCACACCCTGTGGCTATGGCCTTGTTAACCCTGTAAGACAGCCCCTGTCTGTACACTCACCACACCCTGTGGCTATGGCCTTGTTAACCCTGTAAGACAGCCCATGTCTGTACACTCACCACACCCTGTGGCTATGGCCTTGTTAACCCTGTCAACTAGCACATGTCTGTACACTCACCACAACCTGTGGCTATGGCCTTGTTAACCCTGTCAACTAGCACATGTCTGTACTCTCACCACAACCTGTGGCTATGGCCTTGTTAACCCTGTAAGACAGCCCATGTCTGTACACTCACCACACCCTGTGGCTATGGCCTTGTTAACCCTGTCAACTAGCACATGTCTGTACACTCACCACACCCTGTGTCTATGGCCTTGTTAACCCTGTCAACTAGCACATGTCTGTACACTCACCACAACCTGTGGCTATGGCCTTGTTAACCCTGTCAACTAGCACATGTCTGTACACTCACCACACCCTGTGGCTATGGCCTTGTAACCCTGTCAACTAGCACATGTCTGTACACTCACCACAACCTGTGGCTATGGCCTTGTTAACCCTGTCAACAAGCACATGTCTGTACACTCACCACAACCTGTGGCTATGGCCTTGTTAACCCTGTAAGACAGCCCATGTCTGTACACTCACCACACCCTGTGGCTATGGCCTTGTTAACCCTGTCAACTAGCACATGTCTGTACACTCACCACAACCTGTGGCTATGGCCTTGTTAACCCTGTCAACTAGCACATGTCTGTACACTCACCACAACCTGTGGCTATGGCCTTGTTAACCCTGTAAGACAGCCCCTGTCTGTACACTCACCACACCCTGTGGCTATGGCCTTGTTAACCCTGTCAACTAGCACATGTCTGTACACTCACCACAACCTGTGGCTATGGCCTTGTTAACCCTGTAAGACAGCCCATGTCTGTACACTCACCACACCCTGTGGCTATGGCCTTGTTAACCCTGTCAACTAGCCCTTGTCTGTACACTCACCACACCCTGTGGCTATGGACTTGTAACCCTGTCAACTAGCCCTTGTCTGTACACTCACCACATCCTGTGGCTATGGTCTTGTAACCCTGTCAACTATCCCCTCTCTGTACACTCACCACAACCTGTGGCTATGGCCTTGTTAACCCTGTAAGACAGCCCATGTCTGTACACTCACCACACCCTGTGGCTATGGCCTTGTTAACCCTGTCAACTAGCACATGTCTGTACACTCACCACACCCTGTGGCTATGGCCTTGTTAACCCTGTCAACTAGCACATGTCTGTACACTCACCACACCCTGTGGCTATGGCCTCGTTAACCCTGTCAACTAGCACATGTCTGTACACTCACCACAACCTGTGGCTATGGCCTTGTTAACCCTGTCAACTAGCACATGTCTGTACACTCACCACAACCTGTGGCTATGGCCTTGTAACCCTGTCAACTAGCACATGTCTGTACACTCACCACACCCTGTGGCTATGGCCTTGTAACCCTGTCAACTAGCCCCTCTCTGTACACTCACCACACCCTGTGGCTATGGCCTTGTTAACCCTGTAAGACAGCCCATGTCTGTACACTCACCACACCCTGTGGCTATGGCCTTGTTAACCCTGTCAACTAGCACATGTCTGTACACTCACCACACCCTGTGGCTATGGCCTTGTTAACCCTGTCAACTAGCACATGTCTGTACACTCACCACAACCTGTGGCTATGGCCTTGTTAACCCTGTCAACTAGCACATGTCTGTACACTCACCACAACCTGTGGCTATGGCCTTGTTAACCCTGTAAGACAGCCCCTGTCTGTACACTCACCACACCCTGTGGCTATGGCCTTGTTAACCCTGTCAACTAGCACATGTCTGTACACTCACCATTCCTACTCAGTTGCCTCATAGCTTTCCGTACAGCAGCTTGTTCCTGCTCCTCTTCTGTTGACAATCCCACATCCAGCAGAGTTGTGCGTAGACCACGATCGCTGCTACGTCGTGCAGCGTCAGAAGATCCTCGGGAGGTTGGTCGCTTACTGCTCATTCTGAACCATACAAAATTATCACACTTTTGTGTTTGTTATTTGACACCAGCACCAAATTGCCTTCCCTTTAACAGTTTAAACACATGGAGGTGCAAGATCAGATTTCATAGTTGTAATATACACACACTAAATAAGGCATCTATCAACCTAGCCAGTGTTTGAAGTCAGTAATTGGATAAAAGGAAAATGATTAACAACTGTTTTCTGAGATTCATCAGCGTAAATTGCAACAAGAAGGCATTTCCATTATTATAAAGGTGCTGCAACACATATACAGCACGGAACCAGTCTCTCTGCCAAGGGGTGAGTGAGTGTGTTGGGCTAACGTTGATTTGAACAGTATTTCACTTATAGCACCGGGAGTCAAATTGATGTTGGAGGTAAGCCCTTAGTGATGCAAGACTTAAGAGTTTTACCACAAGCATGAGTATGGTGCTCACAAAAATAGAAACATTATCTGGGTAAACCAGGATCCAGGATCACAGGTTACTGAGGCATCCAGCAAATTGCGGCGCCTTCGACAAATGAGTCACTAACGGAAGGGTTTCATGTTAACAAGTAACATATTTGGAAGGATGTATTGCTGTGTTGAATTTGGATTGTACACACACAAAATAATGTCCTGTATTTACATGTCAAGACAAGGTAGTATAAACTTGATTGGATACCCTAAACAAGTCTTCAAAATATTTCTATTTCAGAACATGCAAACAACTCATAGAAAAAAACTCATCTTAAACCCTAAACTAATTCCCTTTGCTATAAAAATCCATCCAGGAAAAAGTTGATATGATAGGTGCAAATTTAAGCTGAAAATTGTCAGTTTGTTGGTACGGTTATTTAGAAACCATGTCATTACAACTACAGTAGAACATGGATATAACGAACTACAAGGGACCAGAGAATTCAGTTCGTTATATCCGTTGTTTGTTATACACGTTTTCGCTCGGATACCGCCATCTTGGATTAAACAAATCACAATACACGTAACTGCAGCATTGACTTGTAGTCGCAGTGATCACTTCATAGCATTCAATTGATAACATTAAATAACATTCATTTAAGTTTTACAAGGTTTATCCGTAACCGCTAAAAGTGTTGGTTCACCGCTGATTGCGCAAAGCCAACTGTCCGTGACACTTGACACTGAGAGAGATTTCTTAGTTCGCTATACACTATCACTAATTAGTGGTAGATGGGCTTGTCGGTGATCAAATATCAGTTCGCTGTATCCGTTAGTTTGCTGTAGAGAGTTCGTAATATACGTACATTTTGTATGATATTATGTAGGAGATAAATCGGGGATTTTTTAACAGTTCGTTTTATCTGTTTGTTCGCTCTATCTGTGTTCGTTATATCCGTGTTCTACTGTACATATATTTTCCTATGTCAAAGCAGCATGACTCATTTGACCACTGTATAGCCCATTTTTTAAACAGTTGTATATTATATTGCTAATTTGCTATGCTAAAATTTGTTTGATAAATTGCTTTTAAACATGACTTTGTATTTATGACAAGCATGTAGATAGAAACTAGTTCTTGTCGCTTTATGGCTGGAATAATGCCGATGCGATGTTAAATGTTAACTTACTCCCACACTCACCCACTGACCAGTGCTGTTGATGACCATAGAGCATTACAAAACACTCACCTTCGTATGATGACCTTCTTTTCAACATCAGCTTGTTTTGGCCGAGCAACTTTTGAGTATGGGTAGCTAGAATAAATAGAAACATTATAGGTATCTTCCCGACCTAGTGCCTTTTATGAATTATCAACACACAACAAAACAGCACAAACAATCTTTCTCTCATGAAAAGGTGTTAGCATAGGGTATTGTGGGTCTGCTTTGCCTCAGGATCCCCACATGGAGAAAAGCATGAGGTACTGTGAACCTATTCCGCCCTGGGATCACCACAGAGAGACAAGCATGAGGTACTGTGAACCTATTCCCCCTGGTATCACCACAGAGAGACAAGCATGTACTGTGAACCTATTCCGCCCTGGGATCACCAAGGAGAGACAAGCATGAGGTACTGTGAACCTATTCCGCCCTGGGATCACCACAGAGAGACAAGCATGATGTACTGTGAACCTATTCCGCCCCGGTATCACCACAGAGAGACAAGCATGAGGTACTGTGAACCTTTTCCACCCTGGTATAACCACAGAGAGACAAGCTTGAGGTACTATGAACCTATTCCGCCCTGGGATCACCACAGAGAGACAAGCATGAGGTACTGTGAACCTATTCCACCCTGGGATCACCACATGGAGAAAAGCATGAGGTACTGTGAACCTATTCCGCCCTGGTATCACCACATAGAGAAAAGCATGAGGTACTGTGAACATATTCCATCCTGGTATCACCACATAGAGAAAAGCATGAGGTACTGTGAACCTATTCCGCCCTGGTATCACCACATAGAGAAAAGCATGAGGTACTGTGAACATATTCCATCCTGGGATCCCCACATGGAGAAAAGCATGAGGTACTGTGAACCTATTCCGCCCTGGTTTCCCCACAGAGAGACAAGCTTGAGGTACTGGGGGCCTATTCCGTCCTGGGATCCCCACATGGAGAAAAGCATGAGGTACTGTGAACCTATTCCGCCCTGGTTTCCCCACAGAGAGACAAGCTTGAGGTACTGGGGGCCTATTCCATCCTGGGATCCCCACATGGAGAAAAGCATGAGGTACTGTGAACCTATTCCGCCCTGGTATCACCACATAGAGAAAAGCATGAGGTACTGTGAACATATTCCATCCTGGGATCCCCACATGGAGAAAAGCATGAGGTACTGTGAACCTATTCCGCCCTGGTTTCCCCACAGAGAGACAAGCTTGAGGTACTGGGGGCCTATTCCGTCCTGGGATCCCCACATGGAGAAAAGCATGAGGTACTGTGAACCTATTCCGCCCTGGTTTCCCCACAGAGAGACAAGCTTGAGGTACTGGGGGCCTATTCCATCCTGGGATCCCCACATGGAGAAAAGCATGAGGTACTGTGAACCTATTCCGCCCTGGGATCCACACATGGAGAAAAGCATGAGGTACTGGGGACCTATTCCACCCTGGGATCCCCACATGGAGAAAAGCATGAGGTACTGGGGACCTATTCCACTCCTCTCGTGTACAGTTAAAACCATACCGTGACATTGGAACCGAGCCTACAGCTGAGGAGGAGGATGACGATGTCGATGATGAAGACGATGTCGATGTCGAAGAGTCATCAGAATCATCCCTGCTTCCAAGTGTGAGATCAGGTGTACCAGCAGCCAGACCATAGGCAACTTTGGGAAACTGTCTCAGCGAGCCAGACCTTCTGACTTGTAGCTCTCTGCAACAACAAAAACACACAATATTTAGAGAATCTCACCCGAGTGTCTTTTGATATCAAATATATCAACACGAGTTGATAAAAGTGGAAAAATCCGAGGCTTGCCGAGGATTTTTGCCACTTTTATCAACGAGTGTTGATATATTTGATATCAAAAGACACTCGGGTGAGATTTTATTTATCATCCAACATCATTCTTTCAACTTTTTCAATTTGTAGACAGTAATTAGCAGTGTCTTCAGTGTAAAAAGTACTGCAAACAGCTTCAGTAGCAGAGCCATTAGTGATGTCATTTGATTGTGACGTCATGGTAACCAGTGACGTCACAATGGTCTGCAAAGCATTGTGATGTAATTTCATTGCAGCGATATCTACAGTGTAGATATCGCTTGATCTCATCCAAGCGATATCTCCTGTGGGAGCCAGTTTTGGATGATAATTAGTTTTATTTGTTTATTTTGTACATAGATACAGCATACACTTGCAAGCTAGGACTTCTCAGAGCAGTGTGAGCTTTGTTAACAGGGTACTTCAGAATTGCCTGACAAAAGTAATTTATAATTGGTCATAACAAAATCAGAATCTTCCATCTATTGTTCACATGTAAATACTAATTCTGTGTATAACCCATTGAATACAAGTGCAATGTACCCTTTATTCCTTCAAATAACCGATCTATGTACGGGACATGAATAAGGAATGCCTTGCCATTGTCAGTCCCTTCTGAATGGATGTAAAATGGTGATGGATTGAAGGTTATGTGGTTTACGGTTCCATAGATAAAAAAAATATAAAAAATGTTGGAAAACCATTATTTCAGTTTATAAAAACTGTCAGAGTAGATAATCATATAGGAAGCAAAGCAACCATTTCACTTGTCACTCCAGACCAACATATTTCATTTTTCAATGATTCATGTAGAAAAAGGCAATCAATCAAAATAATGTGCTAAAGGGGCATTCACACGGTACAACTCTGTTGTATGCAATTAGTTGTACGAACTGAAGTTGTATACAACTCGGCATTCACACAGCGGTAAGTTGCATACAACATGGATCTCGTGAGATCTCTGACCAAAAGCTTGTGATTCACAACATTACCGCTCGAATCCTGGTTGCCGAGTTAATTCTCAGACTCATAGTTTTCAAAAATCAACACTGTGCGAGAATTGCGGTCACGTGGTACTGTGTCACCTCTGAATTTGCAACTTAAAGGAGTTGTATATTATTGAATTTTAAACCCCCAAGACTGGTTTGAAAAGGAAAAAGTGCTAAATGTTTTCAAGTTTCTGTTTTGCTAACAAAAAAGCCTCTAAAACATGTATCCATATTTATTTGTACATAGTCGGCCCCTGCTGTTAAAGGAGCACCTGATTCAATCTTTAGATATCTTGTTCGCAATCAAATGATAAAATCCATATGTAAAACAAATAGTTTTGTCCCCACTTGTGTATACATTAATAAAAATACAATGTGATGATTTACATTTAATTTAAGAAATGATCGAAGTGGCTATTTTATTTAACCTATTTGTATACATTTACCATATATACATCAGTGAGTCATGTAAGTTTAGCAATCAGAATCAATCTGAAATCAATATGTTTTATTTGTTTTTATGTTTCCACTCTAGCCTTGATACTATGTGGAAAGGCAGACCAATACCATCGTCAGTGTGCGTGATTTTGTGTAAATCATGGCGTCACGTGGAACGATTTCTGTTGACTTTTCCAATTTTCCAAGTATCTAATTATTTATTCCTCGATTCTTGCAACAATTATCGACCCATGCATATTCGTAATAATCTGAGCTAATGTATGCAACAAGTTGACGACTGAATCTATCGGAATAGTAGAAAATGTTAAGTAAAATTATAAAACTAGAGTTTGGTTGCACACTTGATTTCATTTGGACCGTTTGTATTAGTGACTTAGACAATGTGTCAATAGATTGTTTATGGTATGATGAATTCAGGGATGTATGTATCGTAGCTGAGTATGAAATGCATGTGATGTGACAGGCATCTCGCCTGACGCGAAAAGAACCGTGATTTTACAACACTATCCACCATGGAGGTTCGGTCCAGAGTTTATGATTTGAACACGAATAAAGGGTTATTGGAGTCTTTTCGGAATGATGATTGGTGTTTGGACAAAAAGCAGACACCCAATGGTTTTGTAATTGAACTTCTCATGTAGCTATACGTTATTTGAATAGATAATCACATTTAGAACAGGGAATTGGTAAAATGCCAAAATGGCAATATTTACGTTGTTCACTACTTTCAGATGTCATTTGTGTACATCTGCTTTGCCTAAAATAGTTGTTAATGGCATCACATTATAGATATTTTCCCACAGAATCCAAAACAGTGACATGTATTTGTGTGTATGATGTATTTTAAGTTTTAGAAACGTATTATGGACCTTATCTCATCTTGGTCTACACTACAGTGTACAGTTACATAGCCTGTCGATTCAAATAACACCATGAACAGTTTAACCAGGAGAATTAGACCGATGCAACTGTCAAAATATATAATTTGTTACAGTGTTGTTCTACATACCTACTTTTCATAGGTCCTTTATTGAGCAGAAGTTAGTGACGTGAATCGGAGTCGCCATTTTTATTTACAAATTGATGTGTAAATATCACGTGATTTTCATGCATGTTTTGATTGGCTGCGTTCATACAACCTATCACATGAAAATGGGGCATGTCCTATTTCGTACAACTCACGTCCAACAAGTTGCATACGGTGGGACGGACTTGCCTGTTCACACAATGCAATGTGTTTCATGCAACAAATGGTATACAAGTAGTTGTACCGTGTGAATGCCCCTTAAGGGGCATTGAACCTCTTCACCTCTCTAGTATACCGCAGGACAACCCTGAGTTAGCCTGTGTCCAGTGAGTGAGTGAGTTGTGTTTTATGCAGCCGTGAACAGTATCAGATAAATGTTTCAGGAAAGTTTGTGTGTTTGTTTGTTTGTGAGCTTGTTTGTTGTTTAAAGCTGCACTAGGCTATATTCCAGCTATATGATGGTGGTCTGTGAACAGTATCAGATAAATGTTACAGGAAAGTTTGTGTGTTTGTTTGTTTGTGAGCTTGTTTGTTGTTTAAAGCTGCACTAGGCTATATTCCAGCTATATGATGGTGGTCTGTGAACAGTATCAGATAAATGTTACAGGAAAGTTTGTGTGTTTGTATGTTTGTGAGCTTGTGTGTTTGTTTGTTGTTTAAAGCTGCACTCGGCTATATTCCAGCTATATGATGGTGGTCTGTCAATAATCAAGTCTGGACCAGACAATCCTTGGATTGAACATTTCAGCCTGTGACATTCTCTCAAGTGTACTTGTCACTTTCGTAGTTTACATCCCCCCTTTTTAAATCCTGGATACGAATATCAATATGAATATTTATACTGTGCCAAATCCCTGCCCAAGTGCATGCTCAAAGTGCTACATTATTACCCTGGTCAATGGATCAGTGTGCACTTGATTTTCATTCTCAGCTCCCTGGGGAGTATACAACTCCAGCAGCCTGTGAGGTGCTAGAAGGTTAACCGCCACATTACCATCTCATCCTACCATGTACCCATTCACTGCTGGGTGAACAGAGGCACATTTTGCACAAATCCACATGCCGTCATATAGCTGGAATATTGCTGAGTGTGGCGTTAAACAACAAACAAACAAACAGTGTTGGTCACCTTAGTGATTGCATTCTACTCCAAAACACTCTTCCCCCACACAGTGGCATTAATGTATTTCAAACAAATTAACATTGATTTATAACCTTTTTTCCCTTTTCGTAAGATTCCCGGAAAATTCTTCCCACTCTATTGACCTTGATCCACGAAGAGTGTTTATCAAGGTCGATGTGCCAAGTCCGCTTCCTGTAGCAAGACCTCCTTGCTGGAACATAATATCACATCAATGAATACAACAGAGAGTTTTTGTCTCTTTGTTTGTTGTTTAATGCTGCACTTGGCAATATTCCATCTATATATGACACCGGTCTGTATGACACCGGACCAGACAATCCAGTGATTTATATCATGAGTATAAATCTACACAATTAGGCTAAGATTACTTGCATCAACCAAGTCAGCGAGTCTGACTACCCGATCGCCTCGTTAGTCGCCTCGTACAACAAGTGTAGTCGCCTTTTACGGCAAGCATGGGTTGCTGAAGACGCATTCAACCCCGGATCTTCACGGGGTCTTATTATTCATCTCTAACGGCACAGCATGTGCTGCTGAAGACCAATTCGACACCGTATCAACGGGTAGAATACAAAATAAAGATGCCATATTGTTACAATTCAAAGACATCCACCACATGTCTCACTTTATTACTACTGATCAGTTAAATATTAATTATATACCACTCAACCTTTGAGAGGGAATACTGGCCTATTTCATACTGTTTTGTAACCCGAGGAAAACACCTGATGTACTTGAACTGTGTACCTACTTTTATTAACCTTAAATGAAGCTGAAAATGCTCCAGTTGCATGGCAACATGGGATACTATTTGTGACATCATCCCCAAGCAGCCAATAACACACATTCAGCATTCGTGACCAACTCGTGTTATTCCGGCACAATCCGAATAGCGACTCTTGCTCCTCTCGTGGCCATTTTTGCAACCGGGTTCCGTCTTAGCGCAAACGGGCAAACCAAAAATAATTGTCAACTCTTTGCTTAATGGTTCACATATATTTCCCCATATATTATATATATTTCAGATGCAATTTAAAGCACATCTGGACATGCGGAATTCTACAGTATGATTGAACACATTTAACTGTGCCTTGGGTATATTTTTAGATGCAAGACACATGTAAAATCAAAAATTATTTCTGAGGGATTTTTTTATGAAATCAGGTTACGGAAAGAGGTGAGTGGTGACGAATGACATATTCAGGTCCAACACTCAGAATATCCCTATCAAATGTTGAGTTGCATATTTAACAAAAGCAACAAGCTGATTTATGTTCCAGTGACCAGTGACTTAACCACTTCACTACAGGTATAAAAAACTGGTTCTAATGAAATTGATTTAGATTGTGAGGAGGATTATTTGAACCCAGTGAAAAACATCCACTAAAACTGAATTGTTTGTCACAAAGCAAAGAAATATTTTCATGAAGGGTGTTTGTGCTGATATGTCTAAGTGAGTGAGTGAATTTTGTATAAGTGCACAGTCAATAATACTCCCCCTATATGTCCAGAAGGACACTAATAGTGTCAGGACCAGGTAAACAAGTGACTGAAAACAGGAGAGGGCCCCTGAAAGCTCGATCGTGCATTTGAGTGAGTGAGTGAGTATGGTTTTACGCCGCTTTTAGCAATATGCCAGCAATATCACGTCGGCGGACACCAGAAATGGGCATTCACACATTGTACCCATGTCAGGAATCGAACCCGGGTCTTCAGTGTAACGAGCGAATGCTTTAACCACTAGGCAACCCGACCGCCCTCATGCATTTGAGACAGATCCTACAACAAGCATAAGGTAATGGGGACCTACTCGGCTCCTGGAACCTCGATCATGCATTTGAGACAGTTCTTACAACAAGCATGAGGTAATGGTGACCTACTCAGCCCCTGGAAGCTCGATCATGCATTTGAGACAGATCCTACAACAAGCATGAGGTAATGGGGACCTACTCGGCCCCGGGAAGCTCGATCATGCATTTGAGTCAGTTCCTACAACAAGCAAGTGGGAATGGTGACCTACTCGGCCCCTGGAAGTTCGATCATGCATTTGAGACAGATCCTACAACAAGCATGAGGTAATGGTGACCTACTCGGCCCCTGGAACCTCGATCATGTATTTGAGACAGATCCTACAACAAGCATGACGTAATAGTGACCTACTCTGCCCCAGAATCTACACAGGGGATCAATTCTCAACTGTCCTTGTTAACCCCTGACCATCCTACAACTCTTGCCTTGTTAACCCCTGACCATCACAAATGTTTGCCTTGTTTACTCCTGACCATCCTACAACTCTTGCCTTGTTTACTCCTGACCATCCTACAACTCTTGCCTTGTTAACCCCTGACCATCACAAATGTTTGCCTTGTTTACTCCTGACCATCCTACAACTCTTGCCTTGTTAACCCCTGACCATCCTACAACTCTTGCCTTGTTTACTCCTGACCATCCTACAACTCTTGCCTTGTTAACCCCTGACCATCCTACAACTCTTGCCTTGTTTACTCCTGACCATCCTACAACCGTTACTTTTGCCTTGTTAACCCCTGACCATCCTACAACTCTTGCCTTGTTTACTCCTGACCATCCTACAACTCTTGCCTTGTTAACTCCTGACCATCCAACAACTCTTGCCTTGTTAACTCCTGACCATCCAACAACTCTTGTCTTGTTAACCCCTGACCATCCTACAACTCTTGCCTTGTTAACTCCTGACCATCCAACAACTCTTGTCTTGTTAACCCCTGACCATCCTACAACTCTTGCCTTGTTAACTCCTGACCATCCTACAACTCTTGCCTTGTTAACTCCTGACCATCCTACAACTCTTGCCTTGTTTACTCCTGACCATCCAACAACTCTTGCCTTGTTAACTCCTGACCATCCTACAACTCTTGCCTTGTTTACTCCTGACCATCCTACAACTCTTGCCTTGTTAACCCCTGACCATCCTACAACAGTTACTTTTGCCTTGTTAACCCCTGACCATCCTACAACTCTTGCCTTGTTTACTCCTGACCATCCTACAACTCTTGCCTTGTTAACCCCTGACCATCCTACAACTCTTGCCTTGTTAACCCCTGACCATCCTACAACTCTTGCCTTGTTTACTCCTGACCATCCTACAACTCTTGCCTTGTTAACCCCTGACCATCCTACAACTCTTGCCTTGTTTACTCCTGACCATCCTACAACCGTTACTTTTGCCTTGTTAACCCCTGACCATCCTACAACTCTTGCCTTGTTTACTCCTGACCATCCTACAACTCTTGCCTTGTTTACTCCTGACCATCCTACAACTCTTGCCTTGTTAACCCCTGACCATCCTACAACTCTTGCCTTGTTAACCCCTGACCATCCTACAAGTCTTGCCTTGTTACCCCCCAACCTGATCCAAGAATGCCTACCAGTGTCGATCCTCCTCTCTTGAGTGTGAGCAGCTTCTCCAAGATCCGTTCACAGGCACTGGTTTGGGAAATATCTTTGTCGTCTTTGTGAACCAGCTCAAGAGCTTCCTTGTAGCATTTCTGAGCCTTTCCCACATCCCTGTAGTGGCAGGCAACTGCTCCGAGACCTTCCAGAGATTGCCACTGTGTCCGGATATCACCTGAAAATTAGTGTCACAGCATGTTGCAAGATATAGTGGATGAACAAGAAGCACCATGATTCCTGCAGTTTGCGTCTTAAACTCTGAGTAAATGTTAAGTTATATTTAATCCCGTGCTGCCAGTTGTTGATCTTTTGCTTGATAAAGGTATGAGTATCTGTACTTAAATGTTGTATTGAAAGAACAAAAGTCAATATTGACATCATTTTTCCTTGTAGATCACCTTCAGCTTTGGCAGTGGTGAGAGCCAGCAGATATGCCTCTTGGGCCCCACTGATGTCCTTGTTTATACTGGCAGCATATGCCTTGTTTACATGACAATGGCCTTGAGCCTTGTAACTCTTCTGTCTGCCTGAAAAGAATGAATATACATATGTGACACAACAGTAATCACAGTATATTTCTTTGTCTTTTTCAATGGTAAAAACACTATTTTGATATACTACAATATTTGGTAATAGATGCTAGATAGCGACAGGCAAACATACCATATTTGTCAATAGCTTCTTCATGGAACTTTAAAGCTGTCAGTGCTGCTTGTCTGTTGTCCACAGACTTGAAGTTGTGCACAGCACCAATGTTCTGGAGGAGGACAGCCTCGTTCCTCCGGACATTGTTGTCAGCGTAGGGCAGCATGTGCCAAGCCTGTTTGAAGCAGTCAAGCGCTCTATCCATCTCTCTCAGCTGGGTGAACAACAGGCCAATCTCATTCAGGATGGGCACTGAAATACACAAAGTCAACATCAACACAAGGTCAACATCAACACAAGGTCAACATCAACACAAGACCAACGTCAACACAAGGTCAACGTCAACACAAGGCCAATGTCAAGACAAGGCCAACATCCAGACATGGTCAACATCAACACAAGGCCAACATCAACACAAGGCAAACGTCAACACAAGGTCAACATCAACACAAGGTCAACATCAACACAAGGCCAACGTCAACACAAGGTCAACGTCAACACAAGGCCAACGTCAACAAAAGGTCAACATCAACACAAGGCCAACGTCAACACAAGGCCAACATCAACACAAGGCCAACGTCAACACAAGGCCAAGGCCAACATCAACACAAAGCCAACATCAACACAAGGCCAATGTCAACAGAAGGCCAACATCAACACAAGGCCAACATCAACACAAGGTCAACGTCAACACAAGGTCAACATCAACACAAGGCCAACATCAACACAAGGCCAACGTCAACACAAGGCCAAGGCCAACATCAACACAAGGTCAACGTCAACACAAGGTCAACATAAACACAAGGTCAACATCAACACAAGGTCAACATCAACACAAGGCCAACGTCAACACAAGGCCAACGTCAACACAAGGTCAAAGTCAACACAAGGTCAACGTCAACACAAAGTCAAAATCAACACATCAACACAAAGCCAACGTCAACACAAGGTCAACATCAACACAAGGCCAACGTCAACACAAGGCCAAGGCCAACATCAACACAAGGTCAACATCAACACAAGGTCAACATCAACACAAGGTCAACGTCAACACAAGGTCAACGTCAACACAAGGCCAACATCAACACAAGGTCAACATCAACACAAGGCCAACATCACCAAGGTCAACGTCAACACAAGGTCAACATCAACACAAGGCCAACATCAACACAAGGCCAATGTCAACACAAGGTCAACGTCAACACAAGGTCAACGTCAACACAAAGTCAACATCAAAACATCAACACAAAGCCAACGTCAACACAAGGTCAACATCAACACAAGGCCAACATCAACACAAGGCCAACGTCAACACAAGGCCAAGGCCAACATCAACACAAGGTCAACGTCAACACAAGGTCAACATCAACACAAGGTCAACATCAACACAAGGTCAACATCAACACAAGGTCAACGTCAACACAAGGCCAACGTCAACAAAAGGTCAACATCAACACAAGGCCAACGTCAACACAAGGCCAACATCAACACAAGGCCAACGTCAACACAAGGCCAAGGCCTACATCAACACAAAGCCAACATCAACACAAGGCCAATGTCAACACAATGCCAACATCAACACAAGGCCAACATCAACACAAGGTCAACGTCAACATAAGGCATACATCAACACGGTCAACGTCAACACAAGGTCAACATCAACACAAGGCCACCATCAACACGGTCAACGTCAACACAAGGTCAACATCAACACAAGGCCAACGTCAACACAAGGCCAACATCAACACATCAACACAAGGCCAACATCAACACAAGGTCAACATCAACACATCAACACAAGGTCAACATCAACACAAGGTCAACATCAACACAAGGCCAACGTCAACACAAGGCCAACGTCAACACAAGGTCAACGTCAACACAAGGTCAACGTCAACACAAGGTCAACGTCAACACAAAGTCAACATCAACACATCAACACAAAGCCAACGTCAACACAAGGTCAACATCAACACAAGGCCAACATCAACACAAGGCCAACGTCAACACAAGGCCAAGGCCAAGGCCAACATCAACACAAGGTCAACGTCAACACAAGGTCAACATCAACACAAGGTCAACATCAACACAAGGTCAACGTCAACACAAGGTCAACGTCAACACAAGGCCAACGTCAACACAAGGCCAACATCACCAAGGTCAACGTCAACACAAGGTCAACATCAACACAAGGCCAACATCAACACAAGGCCAATGTCAACGTCAACACAAGGTCAACGTCAACACAAAGTCAACATCAAAACATCAACACAAAGCCAACGTCAACACAAGGTCAACATCAACACAAGGCCAACATCAACACAAGGCCAACGTCAACACAAGGCCAAGGCCAACATCAACACAAGGTCAACGTCAACACAAGGTCAACATCAACACAAGGTCAACATCAACACAAGGTCAACATCAACACAAGGTCAACGTCAACACAAGGCCAACGTCAACAAAAGGTCAACATCAACACAAGGCCAACGTCAACACAAGGCCAACATCAACACAAGGCCAACGTCAACACAAGGCCAAGGCCTACATCAACACAAAGCCAACATCAACACAAGGCCAATGTCAACACAATGCCAACATCAACACAAGGCCAACATCAACACAAGGTCAACGTCAACATAAGGCATACATCAACACGGTCAACGTCAACACAAGGTCAACATCAACACAAGGCCAACATCAACACGGTCAACGTCAACACAAGGTCAACATCAACACAAGGCCAACGTCAACACAAGGCCAACATCAACACATCAACACAAGGCCAACATCAACACAAGGTCAACATCAACACATCAACACAAGGTCAACATCAACACAAGGTCAACATCAACACAAGGCCAACGTCAACACAAGGCCAACGTCAACACAAGGTCAACGTCAACACAAGGTCAACGTCAACACAAGGTCAACGTCAACACAAAGTCAACATCAACACATCAACACAAAGCCAACGTCAACACAAGGTCAACATCAACACAAGGCCAACATCAACACAAGGCCAACGTCAACACAAGGCCAAGGCCAAGGCCAACATCAACACAAGGTCAACGTCAACACAAGGTCAACATCAACACAAGGTCAACATCAACACAAGGTCAACGTCAACACAAGGTCAACGTCAACACAAGGCCAACGTCAACACAAGGTCAACATCAACACAAGGCCAACATCAACACAAGGTCAACATCAACACAAGGTCAACGTCAACACAAGGGAGCATGGCAGGCCAAGTGGATGAAGAAGCTGAAGAAATGCAGAGTTGTGTCCCCCTTGAGGTCCACTGTTTACCCTGTGAAAGTCTATATGAGAGAATACCCACTTTATGCCAGAAAGTAGGGCTGGGACGAGGCCAAATTTACTACCCGGGTACCCACCCCCCTATTACACAACCCTACCCGGGTACCCACTGTAAGTCTGAGGAGATGTCTCAAAATGTCCGAATGGGAACATTTTTAGCATAGCCCTTGCAAAACATTTTAAGATACATGCATTGAACAATCTGGTCATTCATCCACTGAAATTGAATTAAGTTTTAACTTGATTCAACCATATGAAAAATCAGAAGGAATGGGTGGGTAGTCAGAAAGAAATGCAAACATTAGTGACTTGTAGTGTAACCATAGAGTTTTAGATAATTTTTTCATTAAACAATATATCACGTGACTAACCACGGGTCCGGGTAGTCCTGTGGGTACCCGGGTCCTACTCAGTACCCACCTGACCCGGGTACCCGAGTTACCCATCCCAGCCCTACCAGAAAGCATGGGCTTTTCAGATCAATTGGGATTTCAACAATTGTTCAACATTTATTTATTTCTTTTGACAACTAAAATTCTAAGACAACCCAGCATCAGTTTTCATCCATAACTTGTTGGGATGAGGATGATTTTGGTTCACACCTTTACATAATGCCCTATAAGTCCCTTTATATTGGTGACAATAAGCTTTGTGGCGTGGTTTTTGTGGGCTACCCTGCTTCCAAATTAATACTCATGCTTAAGGCTACCTGCTTTTCAGCAGGAACCTTTCCAGGGTTACCAGCTTCTGAGTGGGAACCTTGTCTTTCCCGACTTTTCTGCCATGGAATCGTAAATAGCTTACATTGGGGCAACCAATTGCCACGCATATTGGCCTGGCGGCAGTAGTCGTCATGTCAGCAGTAGTTGACATTTGGGCTGGCAGCAGTAGCCGTTACACATTTGGGCCGCAGGTAGCCGCCACAATGGTTTTACTAATTGGGCCAGGCAATGGTAGCTGCTTTTGGCAGGGTGGTAGTTGCCAAGCAATGATAGCATTTACATATGCTATCTGGGCCAGGCAGCAGTAGCTACCACAGGGCAGCAGCAGTAGCTGCTAATGGCTGTTGGCAACAATAGTTGCCATAGCATCGGTAGCTTTTTCATATACCCAACTAACAGCTTAGTAGCCCATCGACTCATCTCGGGTTTTTATTATAGGTAGCCCGTGCCTCTCACACGATAATTGCATTTAGTACCAATGTTGTACTGAAAACCCAAGCACTATCAGTTTCACAGGGCATAATATCTATCCCTTTCCCATGTTCAGTACTTTGTTTCACTCTTAACCTACCCAGGTATTGTGAAGTTTGTGCTGAGTCAGCTAATTCCAGAACCTTCTTAGTTGTCTCCCTTATTTCACGGTCGTATCCTCCCTTGTACGTAACTGCACATGAAACAAAGCATTGATTTACTTGGGTAAGATAATCAGTAAGCAAACACATAAATAGATAAATAAATCTATCTCAGGAGTACATAGCAGGGGTCCAGACACAGACAGAATTGTATCTTAAACTGCTCACTGTCCCATATTCAGTAGGTCTGTAGCAAAAGTGAAAATTCCTAAATTGGAATTTTCCATTCATGTTGAAATAGTTATAACTATTTTTTACAGCTTTGTAGAAGTGACCTATTTCACTGATATCAGGATAAAAAGGAAGAGGTATTAACAATCATTTCTACATTATAGCATTGAATAAAATGTTAAAATACAATCTTAAAATACCTCTGAATTTAAGAAAAAAAGAAGTTTTAAAACATCCCAATTTAAACATACTTATTATTTTGGTCAATTTGCATGCCATTGGGGCACTCTACTTTGTAATCCTCCATTGCTGATAAAACTTGGGAATTAATGAGCAAACACAACTAAAGGGCTACGAACTAAACCGGCTATTGGACTAAATGTTTCAGAGGTTTCTTCACAAAAACAAGAAGAAATACTGCTCATTGATACAAGAAGTTATATTTTATAAACGCATTTACAGTAGAACACAGACAGAGGGAACAAACAGATACTACAAAATCCCTGATTTATCTCCTATATATTATCATTACGAACATAACAAACTCGCGTATATAGTAAATTGATGTCTGATCCCCGACAAGCCAAAATACAACTAATTAGTGACATGTATAGTGAATTGAGAAATCTCACTCAGTGTCAATTGTCACCGACAACTGGCTATATGCAATCAGTGGCAAATCAACACAATCGTGGCGAATCAACACAATCAGTGGTGACGATTCAATCTTGCTAAACTTGCTTTATGTTACTCCTTATCCATACATGTAATTGGTCTTATCTTGTCTGTAAAATAAACATTACTCCTTTCCAGTTTCACAAATGCAGTCAGCAAAACAAAGCCAGAGCAAAATCCCCGACTACACTTCTCCCCGTATGAAATTCCTCAAATGCTAAATACATATTTGATAAACACGGTTCTAAAAATGTTATGAATTTAATGTTATTTAAAGAATGTTCTGAAATATTAATACAAGTCAATGCTGTAATTACGTGTATTGTGTTTTGTTTTATCCAAGATGGCAGACGTCCTGAGCAAAAATGTATATATGAACAATGTAAATAATGAAGTGCATTCTCTGGTCCCTTGTAGTTTGTAACATCAGTGTTCTGTATTATTACTTCTTTATTTGTATCACATCCACAATCTATTCTGATTGGACGCTAAAACAATTTTTTTGCCTCTGATTCTACACATAAACTATACATCCTTTCCAAAGCCAAACCTTATTTGCAGTGGTTAACTGCATGGTAATCTAATCTTACGTACATCTTCAGAAAACATATATTTTTTGGATCATGCTGACCATGTTAACATACAAAAAAGTATGAAACTATCAAAAAGGTTTAAGGAAAAACAAAAACATATCACTCGTAAGGTGAAAAAAGTCCAATAATACTGGTAATGCATCAAGATGATGCAAAATCAAATATTAAGTGTACGTTTGGTTCAATACATCTAAAAGATTCACTATGAACATGATCTCACCTGTCCTCCTGCCAAACTGTTGGACCACCATGAGGCACTCGTCAGCAGCAGTGTATGCCTCATCGGTGTTGCTGACTTCAAACAGAAGATAGGCAATATCACACAGCATCTGCAGCTGCTTCAGGGGGGACTTCAGATACGCGTACACGCTCGACAACTGCTGCTTGTAGTCTATTAACGCTTCGAGGTTGTCCTTCTCAAAGTCGCACAACTGTTCCAGAATGTACTTCTTTAATGACACATTCATATTACTTTGCAACAAGTTTAACTGATCCAAAGCTTTCTTGTAGAAGAAAACGGTTTTGGACTGTTTTCCAGTATGGTGTTCAGCCAATCCGTGAATAAAAGACAGTTCACCTTCATTTAAAGTGTCAAGATAGCCCTTACTTAATTTCTGTAAATACTCAAGCGCTCTTTTTCCATTTCTGTTTGCAGCGTAGGCAGTGGCCAGATTGTAGATGCATGTCTCTTTGACCGAGATGGAGTCTGTCTGCACGGCAAGTTCATGCGCTTTCTTGAATTCCTCCAGGGCGCCTCTGGCATTGCCTTGTGTGTACAGGTTCTGTCCGTTCTGGGCCAACCTGATGATGTCCATAATCGCTGTGTCTCCCATCGTCATTGTTGTGTCTGTGATTAAAAGAAAATTGTACAAAATACTTGCTAAGAACTATTATATCATTCTGATTGAGAGAAATATTTTCCCTACCCACTTTATCGATCTAAGCTTTGTCTTGCGACTGTAAAATAGGTTTACTTAAGTTCTCTACACACATCTCACATTCACTGATGCAAACCTTCAAATTTGAGTAAGTGAGTTGGGTTTAACGCCGCTTTTAACAGTATTCCAGTTATATCACGGCGTGTCAGCTTAATGTGGGAGGAAAGCCTGAAGTGATGCAGATCTCAGACGTTTACCACTTCGGTGGAACCCTGCAGCACGGGTATGGTGCTGACAAATCTAGAAACAGAAACGGGGCGAACCGGGATTCGAACAAAATTTGTTACAAAATTCCTATGTGAGACTCAGAACTTATCAATCAACCCTGATGTAGGTGTGTGTGTGTTTGTTGTGAAAGGCCGTACTCCGCAATATCATGACAAATGGAATAAGGTCGTTGTTTTATTAAATTATACGTTCTGGGTCCTGTAAGAGAGACTAACAGAGCCCCATCACCCATCCGATGTAGTCATGTCTAGCAACAAGCACTGACTGCTTGGGACCTACTACATTGGCCGTATTAAGCACCCTGCTCCAATAAGCGCCCCTGGCCAACTTCTAGACTGATATGTAAGCACAGTAGACTATGTTTATAACAAACAGGCATTTAACGAACTGACGGATATAACAACCTTCCCGGACATTTGCTGTATATATGCTTATAACAAGTTACGGTTATAAAAAAAGTTATTAGTGGTCCCTTTGAGTTCGTTTTAACCAGAGTTTACTGTAATCTCTATAGGTGCCTCTGAAATTTAACATGACAGTTCATATTTGTGTATATGACAAATGTGTTTTTAAAAAAACAAAGCACAGAAGATGTATATATAAGTGTTTATTATTATTACTAAAAATATACACATTTTTAGTTTAATCAAGTCATCCAGTTGATTAGGTACTAGACTCGGGATATCATCCTAAATATAGATATATGATTCTAGATATATCGACACGCTTGCATACATGATCAATGATACATTGATCAAGCGCGAGACCCTTCATGAGCAAAGATCAACAAGGAAGACTGCTGACTAAGAGTAAGAGGCCATTGTATAGGCCTAGATGTATTGACCAGACAACCGAGGTAACCAAAATATGCAAATCTACGTACGTCAGGAGCCACACGTAATCATAAGTCTACTAAAACAGAAACTTACCTTTGTCATTTACATACAACCGCCCATATATTCGTGAGCACCAAGGCGCAACACCTGCTTTGTTTTGTGCTGTTATGGCAACGTCAATGTTTAGAGTTACTCCCCTTTCATTTCCCGACAACACCATTTCCAGGGGGCGTGGACCTTGTTTCTGAGTGACACTGTTTGAGAAATCGATCTTTGTATCAGGGTAACTTATCTTCTGGACTCCCTCTGAAAAGTTTTAAACGGTTAAACCACTTAAAATGGAACTCAGAACTGAAATGGATAATTTCAAGGATCGCTTTACAAAAAATATTGCTGAAACACTTTAAATATCAACATGTGTTTGTTTATTACCGAAGCGAACGTAAAATCGCCAATTTTAACCAACATGACATATTTTCATGGAATATACACTCGTCACACTGTAAGTAGCCGCATAAAGCCTAACGTGGGAAGCATAAAACCCCATGTGCCCCGAGTAATCCTGCTACAACGAATTTATCTTATCGACATGTTTTTTATATGACACTGTAAAACAATTCAAACAAATTCAAAATTGATAGAAAACAGCTGTTCGTTGAGCGGGGTTTAGCTTGTACTATTTCACGTGACTGTTATTGACTCGGAATAAGGATGATATGTTTTGCTTCGAAGCGGGGTATAAGGGATTTATGAAATAATGACACAATGCTATTTCTTAATTTCTTTAATTTCTATAAATGTTTTCCTTTTAAAGAAGGTTAATTGGATCTGTACTGTATATAATGCATCAAACGTATCTTTGCAAGTTTTCTTTCTGAGAATGAGTGAGTTAGTGAGGGTTTGCAACACTGAAACTCCTGGAGAGCTCATAAATTTGTGAAAATAAAAACACTCAGCCTGAAAAAAAGGTCTCGACCACAATATGGCCATCACCATCAATGCAGAATAGTTTCACAAGCGAGCAAAGCTTTAAACTTTGACAGATATGCCTGCAATCCTTATTTATCATCCAAAACTGGCTCCCACAGGAGATATCGCTTGGATGAGATCAAGCGATATCTACACTGTAGATATCGCTGCAATGAAATTACATCACAATGCTTTGCAGACCATTGTGACGTCACTGGTTACCATGACGTCACAATCAAATGACATCACTAATGGCTCTGCTACTGAAGCTGTTTGCAGTACTTTTTACACTGAAGACACTGCTAATTACTGTCTACAAATTGAAAAAGTTGAAAGAATGATGTTGGATGATAAATAAAATCTCACCCTCGTGTCTTTTGATATCAAATATATCAACACTCGTTGATAAAAGTGGCAAAAATCCTCGGCAAGCCTCGGAATTTTCCCACTTTTATCAACTCGTGTTGATATATTTGATATCAAAAGACACTCGGGTGAGATTCTCTATTTATTAATAATAATTTCAAATCTTCCATCTCATGATGCCAATACAGTTGTTGACTGTGATGGGAAATCACCGTTAACTATCATATACCCTTACTTGGAAACTGACTAGCAAAAGAAACGTTACCAATAAACATTTTTGTTCCTAAAAACAGAGTAGGAAGAAGCTTGTATGGTCAAAAGACACGAATTAACAACATCTTTCCAAGTTTAGCCATGAGAATAAAGTTGGCCTAAAATGTACCTTATTGTAGTTTGAGATGCATCAGTTGTGAGGATGAAGGGTTTGTTTTGGTTGGAATATGCAAGGATGGGGGTTGTTGTAAGGGTTTGCTTTAGCTTTTCGAATGCCTGTTGGCAATTGTTGGACCATTTGAAAGATGCTTCTTTTTTTAGAGGGTTGTGAAGAGGGAAGACGATGCCAGGAAGGTTTGCTACACATTTGTGGTAATATGAGACCAAATCTAAGAAATGACACGGGGTGGTCGGGTAGCCTACTGGTTAAAACCTTAAATTCGCTCGTCACGCCGAAGATCCGGGTTCGATTCCCGACATGGGTACAATGTGTGAAGCCCATTTCTGGTGTCCCCCGCCGTGTCATTGCTGGAATATTGCTAAAAACGGCGTAAAACCATACTCACTCACTCACTAAGAAATGACACACGTCATGGACATTTTTAGAACGTGGGATCTGTGTGACTGAATCTACTTTTGAAGTATTTCGACGTGGATGCCATCTTTGCTGAAGAAATGCCCTCGGTTTGACTTGGTCTTACATTTGCTCGGTTTTAGAGTGAGTCCTGCTTCTTTGATCTTTTGGAATACTTGAATACCTTTAGGTGACTAAAATGTTCCAAAAACGTTTTAGAAAATAGTATGACATCTACATATATGGCATCTACATATATTTTAGTGAACAGTGAGAAAATTTTAACATTCTTTCCATAGGTTGAATTCGATATGTACAGTAAAAAATAATCTCAGCTCTCATTTCAGAGGGAAAAAATCTCAGCCCCTAAAAATGACGAAAAAAACCACGACTCTACCCCAAAATAACATTGTTAATGTGTTTATTAAAAAGAAATTCCCTGATTTGTCATTCCCTGTAACATATACGTGGGGTTTTCGCACGCACGAGAATTTTTCCAGGAACCGACCATTTGATAAAACAAATTGTATTTGAAACACATAATTTTGCCTCAGGGTTTATACCCATCCAAATACACGCACGCACGCACGCACGCACGCACGCACGCACGCACGCACGCACACAAATTTCCTAGCTGTCCTGAAGTGTACGAAGTACGAAAACATTGTGGGCTCATCTTTGAGAAAAGATCTATCTCTAACAGTGGTAGATATGTATGCTCGCGTGTTTAGATCTCTAAACCATTGGATATAGGAGATATTAGTACATTCTACATACACACGCTACGTCATTCAAAGTGTGTCAGATTGGCAGGCCCACTAGCCGCGGTCGCCATCGAGCTTCGGGTCATGGGGTTCGTGGCCCCCAAAAGGTCGGGTGGTACTTAAGAATCAAGGTCTGGTTTGTCAGATTGGCCCTGCAAAACACCCCAGTGGGAATTCCGGGTTAGAATATCATGTCCTTAGCAACCTATGCTGGTCGTAAGCGGCGACCAAATGGTCAGGCTCAGTGATTTGATTAGTGCCTGGTACAGAATGGATTATTTACAAGCCTCCGACACATAGGTGGAATATTGCTTAGTTTAGACATTCAGCAACAAACAAATAGACTTCTAAAGAAATAATAACATAAAATTACATCCCCCTACCTACAGTTTTGAAAAGACATCACCAGACCCAAAAATATTTGTTAACTGAGATATTCACCTTTGAGTTTTTGTTATATTTTATTCACTTGAACCTCGGCAATATATGAAAGCTAATGTGAACGTCTGTTTAACATAAGTAACTTTATTCATAGTATGTGTGTTCAATCGTGTTTAATGTAATGGGTAGTTTTATCTGTTCTATATTACAGCGTTTTAAGCGTTTATTATTACACTAGACTTAAACTTTGGGGGCAGACACACTCTCAACTATTTTAGGCAATATGACACGCTTCTTCACAAAGCCCCCAGTTGACGCTCGCACCTCACTAACTTTCGGACGGTACGGGGTCGGACTTTGGCAAGGTTTTGTGACGTCATAATGAGGTGACGTTGGGTTTCTGTGTCGTCACAGCATTGTCTGGCTGATATTTGTCGGAGTTGGTCGTGTTCATGGGTGCTCCATCATAGTTAGTACCACAATGGGATGCAAGCAGACAAAGACGCGGTCTCTAAACCAGACATCGGTCAAAGAAGCTCTTGAGGGCAAGATCAACTGTCCCCGGGAACAGTACTTGGCCAAGAGCCAGCCCACGCCCACGCCCTCCGGTGAGGAGATACTGAAGCAGCTGCGAGAGGATGGGATCGTCCCCGACCGCCACCGCTCAGGTGGAGTTGCCTTTTCGGTTGCTGTCAAGGATGACGTTACCGCCCCTCGTGGGAAGCCACCCAGACGCATGGAGCGCATGCCTATCAAAGGCCATTACACCTCAGAAGAGCGCCAGATGATTGCTGATGTCGTTCGATTTGACAGGTACGTACATCATCTTATTTTAAAAGAACGAATGCTTTATCATTTCACGAAACACATAAGCACCATTGTCCACTGCAGATTTGTGGAGCAAGTTCAGAGGAGAACCCTTGATCGTGACATAAAAAGAAAGACGGTGCTTCTGGAGAAGGAGAGGCAAAATCCCATGAAGAAGATGATGGCGCGTCAGAAACTCTGTGAGCGGGAAAAACGTCTTCAGATATTTGCAGAGGAGGAGGCATCAAAGGAGGAGGAGAAGGTGGCAAAGAAGAAGGCGAAGGCTGCCAGGAAGAATGATATAATAAAGAATTCGCCTGCCAAGAAGTAGAGGAAGAATGAGGGAGAAGTGGGGGAGGACAGGCGCCTTGGTCATGAGGAGAGGGCGGTATATGAACACTCTTGTCATATTTTGTCATTATGAGTTGTTGTGATATGAATGCAAAGAAAGCTTTAGTAACAATAGCTTTTTAACAATATTGTATACATAAAAAAACAAAATAAAAAATGATATACTACAAAATATCTGAAATCTATGTTATAAATTCTTATCATCACTACCTGTGGAATACCTGTTCTGACGGGGAGAAGCCTCTGTTGAGAGAAGCGCCCGGGTTGTTAACACCATACTGTATGATATTGTATATCTTTATGTCATAATTATCACTTGAATGTTAGAATATGTTAGATAAAATATATAAAAAATACTAAATTCAAAATACAAAATAATTTCAAAGTCAAATTCATGGAGTCGTCTCAGTAGTACAGGCGCCTAGCTTGATCAAATGTATAGCAATGTCCTTCACATGGAAGTCCTTTCTTCCAAATATGATTAACAAAGACAGGGAACGTAGAGTTCAATCAGTTGGTGTACTTTTATTATGTAAATACATCATTACCGCCATCTATTTGTATTGAGATGGTCAGACCAATAAAGGTTTTTAATGAGATAAAGAATTTTGTCTTTAAAGTTTAGCGTATTTCTTATGTAAGTTCTCTGCTCTGGCCGCTCTCTGTGTGCGTGCGTGCGAGCTAGAGAGAGAGAGTGTGTGTCTTTACATCTCAGCGCAGGGTATACACATTCCCCACTGTGATGTACATGAAACCCAGCTAAGCGTGTGGTACTGACATACCAAGATTTATAATTTGGACGAATCTGTAAATCGAACCTGCGAACAGCGGACCTTGAACGTCAAGGGTCGCAACTCCAAACATATTATTGTGACTCATCACATCACGTGGATTAAGTTTTAATGACATCTATTAAAACAGCAAAGTAACATTTCTTAAAGGTCAGAATATAGAATATGTCCCTCCGCTATCACATTACTGTTCCATTTCAGATGTCAGGATATCTGCAAATGCTTTTAACGCGGTGCCTTTAAATTAGAAATACGGTAACATAACATCCCTTACGGAAGTCTTTTCTTATTGCAACACAAAGTTGTTATAAAAGTCCATCGATTCTAATTCAAGTCGTAACCTAACATTGCAGTGAACGAGTTTACACTGCAGCCAGCAATGGTCCAACGTTTTATAGGCTACCTGTTCGAGTATCTGCCAGAATAAACAGTGGTTGATAGCATGAACACGCACTACTCCTGGCGCCCATAACTGAAGAAAGATAATCGTTTAATGGAAACAAACAAATATTATGGCACCCATAACTGAAGAAAGATAAACGTTTAACGTAACCAAATATGTTGGCGTCCATAACTGAAGAAAGATAAACGGTTAACGTAAACAAAGAAATATTATGGCGCCCATAACTGAAGAAAGATAAACGTTTAACGTAAACTAAAAAATATCATGGCGCCCATATAAATCCACATAAACATGCTGCAACACACTGAAATGTACCATGTCCAGCAACAACACAGGGACATCCTAATAACCATATTTGTTGTTTCTTTTCGGAAGGGACCCCTGAAGATCCGGGGTAGAATAGGTCTTCAGCAATCCCTGTTTGCTGTAAAAGCCGACTGTGCTAAGAGGGACTAACGCACGCAGGAGATCAGGCTTGCTGACTTGGTTGATGCATGTCATCACATCCCAATTGGGTAGATCGATGCTCATGATGTCAATCACGGAAGTCCGGCGCATCATGTAATCAGGAAATGTTTTATTAAGTGGATGACACATATATATTGCCTGAAATTCGGATTAAAATAGAAAGACTTTGATTTGACAATATTTCCTTGTATATTAGGATTATTAGCAGGCATCCTTAAGAAAGTTTAATTCTTTATCATTAGAGAAACGATAAACTGAAAGAATTAAGGAAACAGACAGAAGTGCTGCACTTGATTGACATAAATAGTGAGGATAGGTTGATTTGCAGTATCAACACGCCATGTCTTATGTCATTGACATGGCAGCTGAAGTGTTCCACGTGGCTGTTTGTCAGATAGTCATGAGATTTGTGATAATCTGGAAAGACTGATTGTTTTCGCCCTAAATCAAGTTGTTACATAATTACATGCTGAGAAGCTGAATCAAACTCCATGTTTCTCCCTGAGCATTAAACATACTTTTCAGCTGTATGATCCCTTACATTATCCAAACAATTACTTCTGCAAATCAATGTTGGAGAGCTTTCTGCTGCAGGCTAATATGACAGCGATCTGCACACGTGATGTATAGATCAATGGTGCTTTCTGCTGCAGTCTAATATTACTGCAATATCACAGCGAACTGCACACCTAAGGTCAAGATCAATGTTGCTTTTTGCTGCAGTCTAACATTATGTCTAGCCGGGAGAGCCACATTTCAGAAATGGCTATTGCCGGTAGAGCCACATTTTTTTTTTAGCTGAGTGCATTTCACCTATTCTAGCGGGTAATTAATTAATCCGATTACCGATACCTTTATATGAGTGTCCCACATTTAAGTTACTAAGCGTGGTGTTCTTTAGAGATACCTTTAAATGAGTGTCCCACATTTAAATTATTAAGCGTGGTGTTCTTTAGAGATACCTTTAAATGAGTGTCCCACATTAGTTGGACTTTGAACGTGCAGCTCACAATGCCGGGACTGATGTATTTCCTGGGACATTAGTTAGAGGGTGTTTCTTTCACTTCACCCAATGTATCTGGAGGAGGGTGCAGAAAGAAGGTCTGGTGATGGTCTATAAGGAAGATGAAGAGGTGAAGAAGCTGGTGAGAAGAGCTGCTGCCCTCCCTCTACTACCTCGTGACAAAGTGGATGATGTGTGGCTTGATGCCATTGCTGACTCTCCTGCTGGCCCTAAAGTGACTGCCTTCATGCACTACGCGACAACCAGTTGGGTTCAAGGAGGCGCCTTCATGCCAGAGATTTGGAACCATTTCGAAAACCAAGGCCACCGTACCAACAATCACCTGGAAGGGTGGCACAACAAGATAAAGAAACTTGCCAAGAAGTGCCACCCGAACATCTAGGAGGTAGTGAAGCTATTTCAGCGAGAGCAGTCACTCAAAGAGGTTGCAGTCCTGAGACTCTCTCACCAGTGGTCAGAACCTTCACGAAGAAAGAAGTACAAGGCAATCGATGCACGTATTGCGTCCCTCAAGATCCAGCTCCTGAACCAACACCTGAGTGAGATGGAATATGCTGACCACGTGGGCGACCTCCTTCATCTGCAGTAATGACATTAAATCCATTATGATATTCATATGCTATTCATATTCATCAATGTAAAGTTTTGATGAATATGTTATCCTTGTGGAATAAAAAATGAGAAAACAAGACTTGTTTTGTTATATACGGTAACCCGTTAGAATCACAAAGCATGTTTTGACAGCATAGCCGCGAAAGCCACATTATACAATCACGCAACCATAACCATTGCCGCGAGAGCCACATCAATTTGGGCTATCTAGTTTCGAAATGTGGCTTTGCCGGCCTGTAACCAACATTACAGCTATATCACAGTGATCTGCAAACAGTCAAGTCAAACAGACTTGCATGAGCAAGAGTCCACACCACCAGGGTATGGCGACACAGCAGGTAGGTGCCACATTGTAACCACCCTGTCACCATGTAAGTTGGTTCTTATGACAAATACTGGTCAATACCACCCATGGAATTACTATGGAACACATATGTCAAATCTGTGGCAATTACAGGAAAAAATATAAAAATATGAGTGAGTGAGTATAGTTTCACCCCGCTTTTAGCAATATTCCAGCAATATCACAGCAGGGGACCCCAGAAAGCAGGCTTCACACATTTTACCCATGTGGAGAATTGAACCTGGTCCTTCAGCGTGACAAGCAAATGCTTTAACTACTAGGCTAGCCACTGCCCCAGCAAGTTAATGGATCGGGTGTCTAGGTTCGGCGACTTGATAGATTGATGTTATCGTATCCTAACTGCATGGAACAATGTTCATAATGTCATTCACAGGATATTAATTACAGAATGGCATCATCATGCTGGAATATTGCTGAGTGCAGCATTGAACAACAAACAAAAACATGTCTTGGCTAACTACAATTCTCACAAACATGTTTGTCTTGATATAAATTTATTTCATATTTACAGATTCTTACAAAATGGTTACACTGACAAATGTGTCAACAATAAATATATTTACACAACTATTTACAGAGATTCCTACATTTATAGATAAGTTTCAAACTTTACAATTCTCATAAATATAAAAAAAATCTACATGGAAGCTGACAGTCAAGGCATCATATTAACTGCTATGCTTGTAAATAAGATATAAGCAGGTCAGCAGCAATAACCGCACATACAGGTCCAACCAAGCACTTAGTCACTCTCCACTATACTGGTACATTACAGAGCCATGCTCCTTCAGAAAGGTCAGCTCATGGTGATATTCATGTGAACAAACAACATTTCATCAAGTGAGGAGTAGTTCATATGTTGCCACATTAAACAGAACTGTGTGCATCAAAATATACAAATCAAAGAAGTTAAAGAACACACAACTTTTTCAAACGACTATAGCTACTCCGTCATGACAAAATATGTTGTTCTTTAACTTCTTTTGAGTAGCATACATGACAATGCTGACATCATGCCTAAAGCAACAAACATGTTAGTTCTGAGATACACCTGGCATCACTGTTTTTCATGGCTGTCTTCATAAAATTTCGAAAACGGAAGACTCACCCAACAATGATAATGCCAGTATACTGATAAATGCGGAAGAAAACTTAATTTGGCAGTAAATACTAACATATATATACCAATCAGTTTTACAAACTTAGCATATCAAAAGTACATGGATTCAGGTCATTTAACTATAACATGGAAGCAATTCTAACTAAATGTCCAAGACACAACAGCTGCTGATGGTGACAGCATACTGTGTGGCCTGCCCTCACTGCTGACAGTGGTGTCTTGCAGTAACACTATTACTCCACATGCTACACTTCCCAGTGAAATCGTCCAGACTAACAAATTTCCGGAATAACAAATCATTGTTATGGAGAAATGTATTTGAAGGAAGGTTGACATCACAATAGTCGTCTGGATACAGGGATAGAAATCTGTACCAGCCCGCCTGTGATGCTAATGCTATATGTATCCTAAGGGCTGGTAGAATCTGTAACAGGTTGTGTGGTGTTCCTGTACGTATTAGTGTTCGAGCAAGTAGACTTCCTAGGTTAATTTCTATCCCTGAAAAGGAATCATTGTTAAGGAGAAATGTGTTTGAATGAATATTAACATTCCTGACAATAATCACCTGGATCCTTGGGTGACCGGACCAGCGGAGTTTTACTGTATCATTACTAAAATTACGAGCATTAACAAGTGATACTCTGCAAAATTTCGTGCATGTCATTGCACACCAACAAACTACCAGGGGGAGGCTGATATAACTGAGTGTCAATGATTATTTTCATATTTTATTTTGACATAACATTGTGTGGGTTTAGGAGAAATTCAATGCTAAAACTGTTCCAAGTGCAGGATACATACTATCTTAACAGTAACCATTAATCATCTGTCAGGAAAAGGTTTGTTCTGTTGTATTAATAGTTTACAGTGACCAGACACTATTCAATACATTAAATAGGTTATCTATTAGAAATTTTGGTTAGTGGCTTTTGGCTCTAGTTTGTCATTCTGTGCACCCACATATTTTACCAATATGTGGTGTTGATGTGGTCATTAGGACTAGGACAGGTAACTCAGGTTGGGTGGGTCGAGTAGGCCCTCGGTACCCACAGGATTACCCGAACTGTGGCTAGTCACATGATATATTGTTTAATGACAACAATTTATCTAAAACTCGATGGTTACACTAAAAGTCACTAATGTTCGCATTTATTTCTGACAATGCATGCATTCCTTCTGACTTTTACATGTTTCAATAAAGATAAAACTTTAGTCAACTTCAGTGTATGCGTGACCAGATTGTTTTGTACGTGTATATAAACACATTTTGCCAGGTCAACAGTCAAACTTGTCCCAATCAAAGAAGTTGTACCTATCTCTTGACACCTAGCTACACCGGCTACCTGGGTAGATTCGGGTAATAGGGGAGTGGGTACCTGGGTAGTATATTTGGACTTGCCCCAGCCCTAGTGGTCATATACAAATTCGACGTCCGACATCACATAACATACCAGCATGGTGGTGGTTTAGATGATATGACATTTCATTTGACCCAAGTAAATACTACAGACCCTATGCTGCTATAGCATCATTCCATCCAATGTCCTCCCTCACAAGCTGTAACACCATGGGCATGCCATTACAAGAGTCAAGCATGTCTCCGGACACTGATCACAGACAGCGGACATAGTACTTTAATACTTGATACAAAACCTATACCTGGCAGCATGTTGTCAGTGTGTGTTAGCTATTTTTATGTGCAATGGCCTCTCTAATCTGTCTGTCCAGCTCTGCAATGATCTTGTCCTGCGTGGTGTAGGCTCCGGTCTTCAGCAGAGTGTCCCGCTCTTCTATCAGACGGGTTATGTGTTCGTCCAGGCTGGAGTCCAGGTCATGGGACTTGTGGCCGTTTATCTGTTTGGGACTATTAAACTGCATGTTGTTGGAGTCGGTTGAAGACTTCAGGCGTTCTTCTTCAATCAGTTTTAATCTGAAATTCATGTATATCTCATGACAAACACCAAGTAACATATTTCAACCTTCTCTCTAACACGGGCAAAATATACAATAATGTTCTGTCAAATATTAAAAAATCATAAGCGGTTTCCCCCTAATATTGACAGATTGACCTTACTTTGTAAACTATAGTTTTAATTGATGTTACTTAATAAGCTGTAGTCTCAAAGTCATCAAACACTGCATACATAATTGACGTAATTCATTGAGCTGTTTGATATTTCTTGACACCAAGAATTGACCACCATACATCCCAACATCAAGACTACACCATACATCCCAACATCAAGAATACACCATACATCCCAACATCAAGTACACACCATACATCCAAACATCAAGACTACACCATACATCCCAACATCAAGAATACACCATACATCCCAACATCAAGTACACACCATACATCCCAACATCAAGATTACACCATACATCCCAACATCAAGTACACGCCATACATCCCAACATCAAGTATACACCATACATCCCAACATCAAGACTACACAATACATCCCAACATCAAGACTACACCATACATCCCAACATCAAGAATACACCATACATCCCAACATCAAGAATACATCATACATCCCAACATCAAGAATACACCATACATCCCAACATCAAGAATACGCCATACATCCCAACATCAAGAATACACCATACATCCCAACATCAAGAATACACCATACATCCCAACATCAAGAATACGCCATATATCACAACATCAAGAATACATCATACATCCCAACATCAAGTACACGCCATACATCCCAACATCAAGTATACACCATACATCCCAACATCAAGACTACACAATACATCCCAACATCAAGACTACACAATACATCCCAACATCAAGAATACGCCATACATCCCAACATCAAGAATACACCATACATCCCAACATCAAGAATACATCATCCATCCCAACATCAAGAATACACCATACATCCCAACATCAAGAATACGCCATACATCCCAACATCAAGAATACGCCATACATCCCAACATCAAGAACACACCATACATCCCAACATCAAGAATACACCATACATCCCAACATCAAGAATAGACCATATATCCCAACATCAAGAATACACCATACATCCCAACATCAAGAACACGCCATACATCCCAACATCAAGTACACGCCATACATCCCAACATCAAGAATACGCCATACATCCCAACATCAAGAATACGCCATACATCCCAACATCAAGAATACGCCATACATCCCAACATCAAGAATTCGCCATATATCCCAACATCAAGAATACACCATACATCCCAACATCAAGAATACGCCATATATCCCAACATCAAGAATACATCATACATCCCAACATCAAGTACACGCCATACATCCCAACATCAAGTATACACCATACATCCCAACATCAAGACTACACAATACATCCCAACATCAAGACTACATCATACATCCCAACATCAAGAATACACCATAAATCCCAACATCAAGAATACGCCATACATCCCAACATCAAGAATACGCCATACATCCCAACATCAAGAATACACCATACATCCCAACATCAAGAATACACCATACATCCCAACATCAAGAACACACCATACATCCCAACATCAAGAATACACCATACATCCCAACATCAAGAATAGACCATATATCCCAACATCAAGAATACACCATACATCCCAACATCAAGAACACGCCATACATCCCAACATCAAGTACACGCCATACATCCCAACATCAAGAATACGCCATACATCCCAACATCAAGAATAGGCCATACATCCCAACATCAAGAATACGCCATACATCCCAACATCAAGAATTCGCCATATATCCCAACATCAAGAATACACCATACATCCCAACATCAAGAATACGCCATATATCCCAACATCAAGAATACATCATACATCCCAACATCAAGTACACGCCATACATCCCAACATCAAGTATACACCATACATCCCAACATCAAGACTACACAATACATCCGAACATCAAGACTACATCATACATCCCAACATCAAGTACACACCATACATCCCTACATCAAGAATACACCATACATCCCAACATCAAGACTACATCATACATCCCAACATCAAGAATACACCATACATCCCAACATCAAGAATACACCATACATCCCAACATCAAGAATACATCATACATCCCAACATCAAGAATACACCATACATCCCAACATCAAGAATACGCCATACATCCCAACATCAAGAATACGCCATACATCCCAACATCAAGTACACGCCATACATCCCAACATCTAGAATACACCATACATCCCAACATCAAGAATACGCCATACATCCCAACATCAAGAACACGCCATACATCCCAACATCAAGTACACGCCATACATCCCAACATCAAGAATACACCATACATCCCAACATCAAGTACACACCATACATCCCAACATCAAGAATACACCATTCATCCAAACATCAAGAATACATCATACATCCCAACATCAAGAATACACCATACATCCCAACATCAAGAATACACCATACATCCCAACATCAAGAATACACCATACATCCCAACATCAAGAATACACCATACATCCCAACATCAAGAACACACCATACATCCCAACATCAAGTATACACCATGCATCCCAACATCAAGAATACACAATACATCCCAACATCAAGAATACATCATACATCCCAACATCAAGAATACACAATACATCCCAACATAAAGTATACACAATACATCCCAACATCAAGAATACACCATACATCCCAACATCAAGAATACACCATACATCCCAACATCAAGACTACATCATACATCCCAACATCAAGAACACGCCATACATCCCAACATCAAGTACACGCCATACATCCCAACATCAAGAATACGCCATACATCCCAACATCAAGAATAGGCCATACATCCCAACATCAAGAATACGCCATACATCCCAACATCAAGAATTCGCCATATATCCCAACATCAAGAATACACCATACATCCCAACATCAAGAATACGCCATATATCCCAACATCAAGAATACATCATACATCCCAACATCAAGTACACGCCATACATCCCAACATCAAGTATACACCATACATCCCAACATCAAGACTACACAATACATCCGAACATCAAGACTACATCATACATCCCAACATCAAGTACACACCATACATCCCTACATCAAGAATACACCATACATCCCAACATCAAGACTACATCATACATCCCAACATCAAGAATACACCATACATCCCAACATCAAGAATACACCATACATCCCAACATCAAGAATACATCATACATCCCAACATCAAGAATACACCATACATCCCAACATCAAGAATACGCCATACATCCCAACATCAAGAATACGCCATACATCCCAACATCAAGTACACGCCATACATCCCAACATCTAGAATACACCATACATCCCAACATCAAGAATACGCCATACATCCCAACATCAAGAACACGCCATACATCCCAACATCAAGTACACGCCATACATCCCAACATCAAGAATACACCATACATCCCAACATCAAGTACACACCATACATCCCAACATCAAGAATACACCATTCATCCAAACATCAAGAATACATCATACATCCCAACATCAAGAATACACCATACATCCCAACATCAAGAATACACCATACATCCCAACATCAAGAATACACCATACATCCCAACATCAAGAATACACCATACATCCCAACATCAAGAACACACCATACATCCCAACATCAAGTATACACCATGCATCCCAACATCAAGAATACACAATACATCCCAACATCAAGAATACATCATACATCCCAACATCAAGAATACACAATACATCCCAACATAAAGTATACACAATACATCCCAACATCAAGAATACACCATACATCCCAACATCAAGAATACACCATACATCCCAACATCAAGACTACATCATACATCCCAACATCAAGTATACACCATACATCCCAACATCAAGAATACACCATACATCCCAACATCAAGAATACGCCATACATCCCAACATCAAGTACACACCATACATCCCAACATCAAGTACATGCCATACATCCCAACATCAAGACTACATCATACATCCCAACATCAAGAATACACCATACATCCCAACATCAAGAATACGCCATACATTCCAACATCAAGAACACGCCATACATCCCAACATCAAGAATACACCATACATCCCAACATCAAGAATAGACCATATATCCCAACATCAAGAATACACCATACATCCCAACATCAAGAACACGCCATACATCCCAACATCAAGTACACGCCATACATCCCAACATCAAGTATACACAATACATCCCAACATCAAGTATACGCCATACATCCCAACATCAAGAATACACCATACATCCCAACATCAAGTACACGCCATACATCAAGAATACGCCATACATCCCAACATCAAGAACACGCCATACATCCCAACATCAAGAATACACCATACATCCCAACATCAAGAACACGCCATACATCCCCACATCAAGAATACACCATACATCCCAACATCAAGACTACATCATACATCCCAACATCAAGAACACGCCATACATCCCAACATCAAGAATACACCATACATCCCAACATCAAGAACACGCCATACATCCCAACATCAAGAATACACAATACATCCCAACATCAAGACTACATCATACATCCCAACATCAAGAATACACCATACATCCCAACATCAAGAATACGCCATACATCCCAACATCAAGAACACGCCATACATCCCAACATCAAGAATACACCATACATCCCAACATCAAGAATACGCCATATATCCCAACATCAAGAATACATCATACATCCCAACATCAAGTACACGCCATACATCCCAACATCAAGTATACACCATACATCCCAACATCAAGACTACACAATACATCCCAACATCAAGACTACATCACAC